TTTGATTTGTTAAAAATACATCATGCTTCCACTTGATTGACAGAATGCATTATGTTTAGTAGGGCTGGGGGTAAACGATTATTTTTTAAACGATTATTCTGACGATTATTTTATCGAATAGTCGACTATTCTAATGACTATTTAGACAATTAATCTAATGATTATTTTTCTATTGCACAGTTAATAAAAACCAAAAAATCTCTAATAAATTCCTCAAAAAAATTTATCAATTGTTACTGTAAGAGAATTAACACTACATGCCTTCCATTTTGTATAACACTGCTTTTATTGTGTTGGTTATGTTCTGGTGACATGTAGAACTTGGGAGTGCAGGCTGCTGCCTGAGAGGTTGTTGGAGACGGAGTGTCTCTATGCTGCTTTGTTTTGGTCACTTATGTGCGTGAGGCGAGTGGTGTTACGACCCTTGCTGGGGAGTTTGGCTCGTGTGCAAAAAGGAAGGGACACTAACGGGATTTAAAAGTTAAAATGATGATCAGGTTTATTTACAACTACAAAAAAACAAATCTTTCCATCCACAGGTTGGGAATAATAAAACTAATTCTGCCTGTGGGGAATTAAAACAAAAGTACAAATAAGTAGGGATGTCCTACTGGGCAAAGATTACTGGGTTCTGGACCAAAATAAGGATCTCCAAAGGTACAAACTCTAAACTGGGTGGTTAAATCAAACTCAAGGTGATATTTTAAACTAAACCGAAAACCCACAACACTCTAAATGTAATAAAAGGGAGATCTACACCACAAAAAAGATGAACTCTAAACCAAAACATAACAGCTTATCCAAACGCAAGAAGCTGTTGGCGAAAATGCTAACAGTAGCTTTACCAACATTTAGTTCGTTACCAAGTTTAAATAAACCAGAAACACCCAGCAAACAGACCAGCAAGGAGGAGAGACTGCTACCACCAAAACAGCTCTCCCAATGTCTGAAAGAAGCTCCTTTATGAAGGGAGAAACGCTCCCGGTGATTTTCTACATCTGCGATAGAGACGGAGCAGTGCATCTGACCCCGGAAGTTGTTGTCCGTTGCCGGGAGATGAAGGCGGCCAAAACAGGAAAGGAATCTAGTAGCGGACGGACATTTTTCCGGGTCTTCGGTTTTTGGCGGAGATGTTAGTGAAGGCGGAGAAGAGGGCGAACTAGAGGTAGAACAGGCAGATTCCTCCTCTATTTACAAACTCCTGCGGATGCAACAAGTGGGCGTGGTGCGTCGACTACCGGATCTGACATCGACAAATTTTTAGAAACGAGCCATCGACGTCATCAAGGCTTCGCTACAGCCCTAATGTTAAGCAAACATTTGAGCCGACTAGGGCTGCAGCTATCTAATATTTTAGTATTCGAGTATTCCATCGAATCTTCCATCGATTAATCGAGTATTCTATTTGACCACGTTTCAAATGAAACGAGATCATAGTCTGCTGCTAAAATATGAAAATAAAAAAGCTAAATTATAAAAGGCTCAATAATATATATATTGAATTGGTGTTGTCTAGTTCCCTCTTTCCCAGCTGATATTTAGAGTTAATAAATATTTTATGGAACAACATTTGACTTACATTTCACTCACAATTTAGGTTTGCATTGACCTCATCTAAATCAAAATTATATCTAAAAATATTCACATATTATCAGTAGAATTATGTGCTACTAGAAATACTAACATTTAATTTCTACTTGTAACAATGTACTTGTGGTATATTTATTTTATTATGTACGGGTTGGCAACATAATCTAGTCTAAATTGTATTGGGATAGTAAATTATATGCTACAACTGCTTGCCACAGCCTTCTGCGGTGGATGGAGCAGACTTGTAGCAACAACCAGATGGTAGCAGCAGCGGCTCTGTCCCACACCCAGGGTCCGAAATTAACACTCGCCACTCGCCAAATGCGAGTAAATTGCTCCATTTGGCGAGTAAATTTTTGAGCTCTACCTGCCACCTGGCGAGTAAATGTTTGCACCAAATTAGTTATGTTTATCAGTCATCTTCCACGGATTTCTGATACTCCTCCCGCCTGCATGCAACGTACACAAACGTACGCGAAACGTGAATGCCGCATCCGGTATTTCCACCTATCCCATTCAATCAGTTTATCAAGTTAGCCGTTAGCTTCGTGTAAAACTAGCGGTGAAATGTGGCGGTTTTTAACTGGAGTCAGCCAGCCTTCCAAAAGAAAACTCGTCGAACTGGAAGGAAAACCATCAGGACCAGTGGCAACCAGAAGATTTTGTGAAAAGTGGCGAAATGGAGACGGCGGAGTCGTGAGACAATTGCTACATTATGATGGCCACGTAGCGTTGCTGCCTTTCACAGACAACTGGCCCTCGGCATTCTTCAAATATCCAAAAAAAAAATGCCCGTACTTCCGACTTTGTCTTCTTTGAGGGGTAATAAATGTCCCAAGTGCTGCCGTCTCCTCCTGCCATTATTTCAGCTTTAGCTTAAAGAAAGTTTTGGTCGTAAACATCAAAGTGCGCATGTGCCACCGGCAACTTCCAACAGATGATACGGTGGCTGGTAAGGGTCACTGCGCCTACACCGCAGCCACGGTAATCCACCGAGATATTTTTTTTAAACAAGACGGTTATTATTATTGTTAACTTTTTTTTACCGGGGTTTACTGCTACACCGGTTACCATGACAACCCTAGCCCTGACACACTTTCAGATATTCTCATGGTGCAGCTGTGTTCTCCAGAGATCAAGGTCTAGGACCCAAATGAGGCTGTAATGTTTTGGCACAAAGACGGTATCAGAAGCAGGAGGCCAGACTTCATGGACAGAGAAAACAAGGAGTCTGACTAGATTTCAATGAAAGAGTTCATAAAAACATCTCTAAAAATAAATAAATAAATAGTAAAAATGACAAAAGAGTTGTTTTCCTTATTAATTGATGTTTTAATTATTTTGTCACTCTGTTTGGAATCAACATAATATAGAATTACATGCTTTAGGTGGATCTAAATCATTTAGAATTTTGGCCGGTAAAAAATATGCTTGGCCGGTAGATTTTCATCATCTACCGGCCAATTGGCCGGTGAGTAAAAAATTTAATTTCGGACCCTGCCCACACCGCTGAAGAAATCCACAAATAAACGGGATGATGGGGATTTTCTTTATGCTTGTGGAGTTTAGTCATTTAAAACCATCACGTTTTTTCTTAAACACACTTGCTCATGAGAATGCTACCCGCTAGCTTAGTATTAGCAATGCTGCTCTTAGTTTAACTCTTGATCTCAAACTTTGGACCGTTTCTGCCAATGGACAATGGTTTCTGTCTTTGCTGGTTTCTCCATTTTCCTCCACAGCATCTAGATCACCACAGGGTGCTCCAGTAAAATGTGTTCAGACTGTGGAACGCACATTTAACGAAGCTTCGAATCAGTAAAAAAAATGAATCGAGGAATTTAATGAATCGAACCATTCGAATAATTTCATGATTCGTTTCAGCCCTAGAGCTGACCATTCATCGCGATATTTATCTGTTCTTTGCGATATGCATATTGTGCATGCTGATATTGCGATAACTATATATTTACAATATATTGTGCAGCCCTAATCAAAAACAGTGGTCAGTATATAATTTATGTTGTGGCCAAACGAGCCGTGTTGTAACGAGGTTCAAGTAAAACTTGTGGTCCATCAGGTCAGCCATAACCTCTACACACCAGACCAGTCGGGCTGCTGAAAACTCCCTTAATCCATCATCAGAATAAAAACAATGGCAGTCGTTCCACACTTTCAGGCACTTTCCACTAACCATGCCAACAGAATGGAGAGGAACATAATGGAGGGAAATACGGTATTACACGAAAGGAAAGAGGGGATCCTTACATCATCAACAGGCCATGTAAAATTTCTTCCTGTGGAAGCCCTTTTTTATTGGCCACAGACACTTTAAAACATTACAAACAACAAGCGGTCAGCTTTTAACAGATTTTAATGATCACATCTATTTGAACTATTTTGTGTACATTCTTAATGAATGCACCAAAAAGATCAATTCGATCTGAAATAGCCAACGTTTAGTTTAGTACAAGAACAATCAGTTCACTTGGCCTCTGACAAAAAGAGGAACTCAACATTTTCACTACTGCTTCACCCTGACAACATCCCTACAAACATGACACATTACACTGAACTTAGACCAGTCACTGAACACGTTTAAATCACACTGATGATCACCTCCACTGATTCATGGGAATATCACAAATACTGAGTCATCGTCCTAAAACAGGCCCAGTTCTCACTGAATGGAATGACACTTTAGGTGGCTGATATACTACATAACACCCAATTTTCATTGTAAACCTCGAGTATAACAACAGTTTTCTGCAGTACAGAGGACTTGGCAGACTAGATGCACTGCGCAAACGTTAGCCCTGACTGAGCAGAACAGGGAGCGTGGGTAAGCCCCTTCACCGACAGGGCTGCTGGACCTAAGCCGTTTTTTTCCATTGTAAATGGACAGATTTTGCAATGATGGGTCCAAAAAGATATGCCATGCACCGAAGGGTTATCTTTACTTGCGAAAGCAGCCCCGCCCTTCAACACTCCTGGCAACGAAACGCTGATATCTCTAGAAAACTAAAGCCAGATGTTGTAAAACAGCACACATTATAATGGCTAAACAACAGCTGCAAAACCGGCGTTTCATAAACAACAATCACAGAGTGCACGGTTTATTCTGAGGACTTTTATACGAATGACCAATGACCAAAAATACATCTACGTATGTTATCAATGACAAACAAGTTGACCCTCAAGTGTCTATCCAACCATATTTTACCGCTAATAGTGTTGTTACATCCTAATAGTAGAATAGTTTAAGCTATTTTCGTCAACTTATCACCTTCCATTAGAACGTTGCTTTAAGTTAGCCACTAGTTAGCTGTATTCATTAGCTAAGTAGCCACAGCCCTGAAAGTGAAAAGTTAGAACAACAGTAAAACATGAAACTTTCGGTGTAAACTTACCTCTACTTGGTTTATCGTTGCTTGAAATGTGGAATTAAATGGAGAGCGGTGCGTGTTGGTGGTGCCAACTAAGAAATCTCTTCTCCGCTTGTCTGCCTGGCAGCGGCACCGTGGAACGACTGACGGAGGACGGTGTGTCACAACTTTCGGTTACCCAGAGAGAGACGGACCATATCCGGTTGGGATTTTCAATATAAACCATAAACCTACTCTTGAAACATCTTGCTTGAAAATATATTTCCGACTTGCTTTTCCTTTGCAGTGAACTAATAAAATAAAGAACATACACTAATGGGAATAGAACTAAATTATAGTTAACAATACTGCAATAGGACACACCCATTTTCTATATTACACATCAATAGTTTACAAAAAAGATATGATGCTAATTAATTTCCTTAAATGAAATCTCATTTAGGAAAAACTTATACTTAGTATAATTTCAGTGTAATTTACAACTATGTATAAATAAAGTCATGATTCTTTAATACTCCGCACCGCCTCGTATTTAAACCAGAGATCGTAGAAAGAGATTTAAACCTATGAATTATGTGAAGAACTTATAATGCTGCAGATCTAGTAGACCATAAAAATCTCACTAACATGAACTTAAAAATTAAAAAGTTAAATCGGGTTTTGTTTTTGGAGGGAAATCCAAGTTGGAGAGGAATAGATAACAGCTTTTATTTTGAAATAATATTTCCTCTTGTGGAAAAACCTGCATTTGATTAATTAATTCAACATTTAAAGAGACACGCCCACTGACATAACGTGCCTGAACTTTTCTTTTTCTTTTTGGGAGGCTGCAGAAGTTCAGACGTTAGTTTTAAAATAAAAATTACTTTTTAAGTCAGAATAAAACATTTATAACTTCGAGGACAACTGAGGCCATTCTAAAATCTTGTTTCAGACATACCTAAATATAAAACATGGTGTTATTTTAACATGTGTTAGATTAGATTTGGGCCTTTTAGGGAATCTTCTTTAATTAAAATCAGATTAACTTGCTATTAGTTCTGTGCCTAAAATGAAACATTGCTGCTCCACAAGCAAATGAGAAAGAAAGCTTAAATGTTTATCAACAGTCAGCACGCTCTTCTGATGATTTACTGTAATAGTAAATATATCCTAATTAAAATGAGGGGCTAGACTATTTCTTACATGAATGATTTGTTGTGTTTAGCAAACAAACTTGACACAAACAAGCTGCTGATGGCCTTGGACCATAGAGACATCAGAGGTAATTTAGAGGTTAAATAACAGAAAACAAAGCATGCTGCTAGCTGTAAATGTACATTTAACCCAATAATTTCTTCATGTACAAATAAACACGCCTTTCTTTAGAAGGAAAGTAATAAGCAGACATTAACATTTCTGTATGTTAATTTTTTTTACAAACATCCACCCTATAAATAAACCAAAATACCCAATGAATAATTACTGATCTGAGCACATACCCATGTAATGCAGTTCCATAATTCTTACTTACCGATCTACAAGACCTTCTGGTTTTTATTTAATCTATTTTATATTTGAAAACGTGAATAAACCTGTTGCTATACAACCTAAAGGGCCTGTTTGTCAACAATTTGCCATAAATCAATATTAACTTTGTTACTGATGCATTTTTTTTGATGGAGTAATAAATAAAAAAGTAAAGGCACAATGAACTTCACACACAAAAACAAACGTGTGAGTGGCGAACTTGTTAAAGCCGTTCTGCTCTGTTCTGTTTGAATAAAGACGAGTCACAGGTTTACTCGGTTCCTTCATCTGACAGAATTTGCCCGTCTCTCTCCAAACTTGGCCACACAGGTGGATGTGCAACTGTCTCACGCGCTTCGGGAGTTTTCCGTCAGAGATCACAAACCAGCACATTTGTGCCTTGAGATCTGGGTCAGCCGCTGGTCTGCATCACGTAGTAACCAGCTCCGCAGGGCAAGGAGGAAACAGGAAGGAGACTTTATTGACAAAGAAACAGACATGCAGACTCTGCTGCTGCAATAAAAACTCATTCAGAAATTTTTATTTTAGAGAGACGAACCTTATATTCATTTAAACTCTACAGATTCATTCATTAAAGACTTTAGGGCCACTTATAGTCTAACAGCTGCATTCATTTGTTATTTTAAAGGAAAAATAAACTGAAAACTTATAAAACTTTTGAAAATTCTTGTTACCTTTTTATGTTTTTTATTTAACAAACACTAAACATTTTCACCCATTTAATTTCACACATTTTTTCTCCAAAGGCAGGGGTGCCGTACAGTGTTGAAATCAAACGGTGGCTTTAATCCTGATTCAGTTACAGAAAACATTTCCTAACCTTTTCAGCACCGAACACAAATGATCAGACACAAACAGGTCATTAACGATGAGATCAGATCAAATGTGTGTTTGAAACAATCATTTTTTTCCCTCCAAAAATCATCCAAGAAAAGTCAGATTTCATCAATCAAATCACATCAGTCCTTCACGTGTTTAGGGGTAAACACCAACGAGAGCATTAAAACTTTACAAATACATTTTGTTATTGAGACTTAGGATGAGAAACATTTCAAAAATGAGTCAAAATGCAAAAATTAATAGCCTGATGTTATTAAATAAATTAAATCATAATAAATACTTGAGCACAAATTTAAAAATAAAGCTGGTATTTAATACAATCAATGTTAATTAAATTCGTGCATGACTTTTTAAAAAGGCGATTCTGACGCTTTTTATGTTTAGTCCTTATTTATTCTGCTTATAAATGAAATCTTAAAGGTGTGGAACACGGAAAAAAACATTTTTAATGATTATTTCCCGATTATAATCGGTCACTGCGTTTTTCATGCATGCTGAACATGAAAACAGTTTCCTATTCCTATCTCCTGCATTAGCTTCTGATAGAAAATAGATGTTGAAACTCTATAGCCCTTTTCAGATAGACATTCTGGAACATTTGTGGACAACTCAATCCGGTTTTTAACCGGAACTGTGTTTTCAGACACACCACTTTTGTACTGAAACTTGTCCTTTCGGCTGCGTTCACACAGCAAGGGAAAGTTCCAGATGTCTGACGTCGGCGGGGGGGGGGGGGGGGGGGGGGGGGGGGGGGATCGGACTTATGTTAAGAAGAAGAAGAAAATATCTTTTCTATAGCGCCTCTCAAGATAAAAATCACGAGGCGCTTAAGCATAATTCTGCGCACACGAAGACGCATAAGAGACCTGGATGATGAAGCTCAATGGTTAAAGGAATCACTGAAGCGGTGTGAAGCGCTCCGTCGCGCGTCTAGGCGGTACCGTAGGAGGCGAGCTGCCATGGTTCGCCGCATGTTACAGCACAGCATCCCCCGGTCCCCGGTCCCCCCCCCCCCCCCTTGTCCGGAACTCAACCTCACCAGTCTGAAGCAGCCACTCTGTCCGTAACAAGTCCGGACCTGTTACTAGGGGCTTCGTCCGGTTAAATTCCGGAACACGTTATCCGGATGTTTGTATTCAGACACAAAGGTCTTACAGACAGAGTCCGGAACATTTCCGTTTTTCATGGCCTGTCTGAAGGGGGCTTCAGGTTTAAAAATCCTGACAGATATACGTCACACTGCCACTTAACATTCATGGTCTCACCCATCTTGAGTTACGACGGGGAAGGCTGTTGTTGGTTTAGAGTCCGGGAATCAGCAGGGTATGTCTCGACTAGGAGAAGCTAGCATTAGCAACTTCCCCACATGGCAGAAGCTCCTCCAGGCTTGTGATATTTGTGGAGATAAAACATCCATGTTAAGTGGTACAGTCGCATTGCTGTTATCCAATCAGAGGTGAGATGCTCAAATATCAGGAAATAAGACTTCAAAACCTGCCGTCTGAAGCTCAGCTGTGACGCGGCTCACTTCTACTTCCTGGAAATGGTGCACCGGTGTTGTTTGCCCCTCGAGAACGACTTACAAGGCATTCATTCCTACTAGAGATCACTGCAAATGTATTAACTAAACGAGTGTTCCACACCTTTAAAGCTTTACACCATTTTCATTCTCAGCATTTCCCCTTCGGACACAAAGTCCTCAAGCGTCAATATGGTGGATCATGTTTACGTGCCAGCAGTCGAAAACCATGCGTGTCACTGAGGATTTACTCGACCTTCAGTTTAATCTGTATTTTTCATTTTGATTCAGTCACATACTCCGCTCTACTGATCCTTCTCCTCTTAAACTGTGGTTTTTGTCTTTGTGCCAATGTCACAACAAGATCAAAGGAGGAGAGAAAGTCGTCTTTCAGTAAAAGTGGAGTAAAAACAAGAAGAAAAAGGCGAGTGGTCCTTTTGTTTAAAAATCCTCGTATCCTCAGAGTTATACAGGCAATGATTAAGGATTCAGGAGTAGCACCTTATTTCCATGTGGCCATGGCAGGGCGGACACCAGCACTCCCCTTTGTGACCTTTGACCCCAGCAGCTGACCTGAGCGGCTCCGCAGGTCACGCTCAGCGTTCTCGCTCTGAGCCTGCTCCTCGTCATACCTGATGAGGCAAACAGAGGTCATGTGGTGCTCCCGTTCCCTCCTGTTTGCATTAGCTTGGAGTGTAAATAAAGAGCTCAGCTACACAGACTAGAACAAGCCTTCGATAGCTCAGCTGGTAGAGCGGAGGACTGTAGTGGAAAAGCTAGCCATCCTTAGGTCGCTGGTTCAAATCCGGCTCGAAGGAAAGTTTTTTTTTTAGCATGAACTGTAAAGCCCTAAAACTAAAACGGCCTGGTTCTAGTTTATCTATCTAATTAGTTAAATAATAACAGTTTGCTTTAGTCTCTAATGATGTTGACGGTGACCACAGCAAAGCACCTCCCTACAAACGGAGTGATTGAAGTGTTTTTTTATTTGACGGTTTATTCGACTCAACAGAGTCTTTGAATTGTAATTTAAACCAGAGGTTTCGCATTAAAACGACTTTCTGGGTGTGAGTTTCAAACCAGATCCACCATGTTTGCTGGACTGAGCTCAGCTGAAACACGCTTCTCCTGGTGCTGCTGAGTTTGGATCAAAAGGGACTCCCTCCTGGATTTGAACCGGCAGCTTTCAGAGCCGTATTAAAGCAGCTGTAGTTTTCAACTCTTCCAAGGGAGCTGTCAGCAGTCTGGAATAGGGCTTCAATCTGAAGGCTTTACCTGCATCACGCCTCCCTGCCTGACTGAGGTTTCTGTATGTGACTGATATTTAGTGTAATTAAAAACTGCACGGTGTGTGTGTGTGTGTGTGTGTGTGTGTGTGTGTGTGTGTGTGTGTGTGTGTGTGTGTGTGTGTGTGTGTGTGTGTGTGTGTGTGTGTGTGTGTGTGTGTGTGTGTGTGTGTGTGATGAGTACATAATGACGTCTAACAATCCTTATTAACCCAAAATACATTCATAATGTCACTTTGGTGGAAGTTGGGCATATCAAACCCGTACTGAGTTTGTTTATTTGGAACAGAGGACGTACAATAAAAGGACATCAGGTTTACGATGGAACTTCTTCCTTTAGTCAGCTGAATTAAGTAGAATTTCCATCATCCATTTTCTTCCGCTTATCCGGAGTTGGGTTGCGGGGGCAGTAGCCTAAAGCCGGGCGTACACTGTGCGACTTTTTCACTTTTTTGAGCCGATTTTCCACTCGTGCGAGAATCCACGAGATCGGGGCGAGTTTTGCGCCGAGCGGTCGCGTAGTGTACAGGGGTTACGAGAGGTGATTAACACCACGTGACCAGCTACCGATCAGCAATCGTGAGCTCGCACGGACTTCTGGCGTGTTTAATATTTCGCTCGTCCCTCGTGAGGGTATCGCACTGTTGAAGCGGCGCTGCGAGCAGCTGCGACCCAAAAAGTACCAGAACCGCTCACGGCGCATGCGCAATCATGCATCAACACCGCTCGCCTGCTAGTTCCCTAATAACACACGTTGTTCGTTTTTGTTTCTACACGTTTTTTTACCCACAAAGATTGTCAAGAAAGCGTGTTTGTCGTGTTCATGTCAAATTAAACTGATCACAAAACACAGATTTACTTTCTTTATTTCGTTTTCCTCATCCAACCCCCATAAATCCCTGTGTGTCCTCCTGCAGCACTCCTGAAGGACAACAGGCAAAACAAAAAAGTCTGACGTGTTGTGTAAAAACTGCTATTTTTAGCATATTTTTAGGTCCGACGTGTTGCTACCAGACGTACAGTGTGAGCAGTCAGGTCGCATCCGAGAACTGGGTCGTGCAGTGTGAGCACACGACTCGTGAGATCTGCCCTGCGAGGAAGTCGAACAGTTTGGGCTGAAGCTGAGTGCTACGAGTGAAAAAGTCGCACAGTGTCCGCCCAGCTTAAGTCGAGAGGCCCAGACTTCCCTCTCCCCAGCCACTTGGGCCAGCTCCTCCGGGGGAATCCTAAGGCGTTCCCTGGCCAGGTGAGAGACATAGTCCCTCCGGCTTGTCCTGGGTCTACCTTTAGGCTTCCTTCCAGTTGGACGTGCCCAGGAAACCTCACCAGGGAGGTGTCCAGGAGGCTTCCTAATCAGAAGCCTGAGCCACCTTAACTGGCTCCTCTCGATGCAGAGGAGTAGCGGGTCTACTCCGAGCCCCTCCCGGATGACCGAGCTTCTCACCCTATCTCTAAGAGAGAGCCCAGACATGCTGCGGAGAAAACTCATTTTGGTCGCTTATACCCACGATCTCGTTCTTTCGGTCACTACCCAAAGCTTGTGACCATAGGTGAGGGTAGGAACGTAGATCAACGGGAAAATCAAGAGATTCGCCTTCTGGCTCAGCTCTCTCCTCACCACGACAGACCGGTACAACTCCCGCATCACTGCAGACGTAGTAAGTAGAATTTGATAAACAAAACCCAAGAAAGATTTGATGAAAGGAAACAGAAACTTTTCCCACCTACTGCACCCCTCCTCCATACTTACCGAGCCATCAGAGGCCTCCACAGTGACAACAGCTGTAAACTAAGACTGCACGCTGATATTTTTATCTGCTATGCGGCTGTTGAGGGTATCTGAATACGACTGGTAGTTATGGACGTCACTCACAGGACTTGATAGTTTCCCAGAGCCTCTCTGGGCGGACTGCGGTTCCAGCGGCTGTCTGGGATCTCCCCGTTGGGCGCTACGATGTTCAGCGTGTCGTTGATGAGGTTGTACTTGAGTATTCGGTCGTTTGCTGTGCTGGAGGTCAGTGAAGGGGAGGCATTGACCTGAGGATCATAACAAAAATAAAATAATTAGGTGTATATTACAGGAGGAAGATAGAAGAATACAAATAGGTTATAATGGAGAGAGATCAATAATGCAGCGCATAATCCAAACATCTTCCTGTCATTGAACATAACGCTGCTGCTAATGAGTGTTAACAGCTGCACAGATACACACCCGTCAGACACTCAAACAGAGAAATGAAGCAACTTCTCAACAAACACTGAGTTACACACGTAGAAATGTAAAGACTGAGGTCAAAAAGTTCTTTTCCTCATATTTTCCTCATATTTTTGAAGGAAAATTGAGAAAAGCAGCATAAAACTGCAGATATTTGACAGATACTCTGTTGCACTGTGTTAGCACGGCTTGATTTGTATTCTTTGCTGTAAGAGTGATGAACAACAACACCCTTCTGACTGGGTTTCTGGAACGTCTTCGTCACAGAGGAACATTTCTGTGCTACAACCAACTTTGTGAAGCTTAAAATAGATCCGATTGGTGTCTGTTAGCAGAAATAGTTCAGGCCTAACCTGGAAACTCGCTGCAGCTGTCAAAACGAGTGCAGCCACGCTGATGGTCCCGTCTAACAAAGATACAGACCAGACCTGTGGCTCTGAACTCAAGCCTCTAATAAATAATACCGGCTGCATCGACGACTGGGGTGAAGACACACCTTGAGCAGACATATGTGGACAGGGAGACACGCCCAAACCTAAACATTACTATGAAAACATGTTAAACTTTACTTTTCAAGCCAGAGATTTACACGAAGATCATTTTATGGTGATTAATGATGCAAATAAAGGCGTTAAGTATCATAAAGGCAACTGGACTCCTTTTGTTATTTGTTTCCTTTCTCATCCAAAAAGCTTCTTCCCACCTGATCATGGGTTGGGAGTTTCAGACTTATGAGTCTTTAGAGAAAAAGTCACGTTACCATTAGATGAATGCTTAACCCTTAGGACTGCCACATCCTGGAAGAATGAGAAGCTGCACCAACACATTTTATAAGAATTTCATTAAAGGTGTGGGACACTCGTTTAATTAATGCATTTGTAACGGTCTCCAGTAGGATTGAATGCTTTGAAAATCATACTTGGGCGTGGGAGAGCTCGGGTGCGCTTGTTTCAGGAACTACCAGGATGCCACATAAGAGGAGAGCTTAACACGGCAGAATTTGGAGTTTTATTTCCTGATATTTGGACATCTTGCCTCGGACTGGCTAAAAGCAACACGGCTCTTCCACTGACTCTGTTTGCGCTGCAACGTTGATGTTTTGTCTCCACCAATAACACAAGCCTGGAGGAGTTCTGCATGTGGTGGATATGCTAAAGCTAACAGTTAGCTTCTACCAGTCGAGACATTCTCTGCTGTTTCCTGTACGCTAAACCAGCGACAGCCTTCCCCATCGGGAGCCGGGTTGGGTGAGTCCATGAATGGACAAACGGCTGGTGTCTTGGTGCAGCTGCAGCAGCCTGGTGCTAAATGCACAGAAGACAGCGGAGGTTGTTGTGGACTTTAGGAAGCGCACAGCCCCAATAAACTTGTCTGACACTCCCATCACGATGGTGGACTTGTGTCGCTTCCTGGGCACCACCATCAGCCAGGACCTGAAATGGGAGCCCACCATCACCTCCATCACAATAAAGGCCCAGCAGAGGATGTACTTCCTGAGGCAGCTGAAGAAATTCAACCGATGAGGCACTTCTGCACCGCAGTCGTCAAGTCCATCCTCACCTCTTTAATCGCCATGTGGTACGCTGGAGCCACTATCAGGGACAAGAAAAGACTGCAGCGTGTCGTGCTCTCTGCTGAGAAGGCTGCAAACTCCCCTCCATACAGGAGCTGTACGCCTCCAGGACTTTGAGGCGTGCAGGTCGGATCACAACTGACCCGTCTCACCCTGGACACAGTCTCTTGGACTTGCTCCCATCTGGCAGGAGGCTCTGATCCATTTGGACCAGAATCTCTCGCAGCAAAAACAGTTCCTTCCCCTCTGCGGTCTGACTCATTAATGCCAATCGTGGACCTGCCCACTCCAGCTGCTTTGTTTCAGTCACACGATCCCGTGTTGTGTTAGCACCTGAACTGACTCGCTCTAACCAGCACCTACACTGACTTGTATAAAGTAGCTGCTTCTCTAATTATTGATTCCCTACATTATCATCATTTCATTGTGTTTATTTCTTAATTATACGTTTGCTTATCATTTATTCTTCTTGGAACAAGTACCGCAGCAATGTGGTGATTCTCACATATATGGCAACAAAACCCTTCTGATTCTGAATGGCAGTGACAGCATGATGTAGATCTGTCAGGATTTTCTGATACTAGAGTTTCACCGCCTGTTTTCTAGCAGAAGCTAACGCAGGAGATAGGTGTAGGACTCAACCCTGGTCCTCAAGGCACACTGCCCTGCATGTTTTCCATGTTGACCTTACAAACAGCAGTGTTTCCCTGCTGCCACACACCTGACTTAAATGAATATCTGCAGCACCTGATGTCCTCCAGGGGAGGCGATGCAAATCAGGTGTGCTGAAGCAGAGACATGGAAAACATGTACGGCTGTCATGGTCTGTGTCTGCGTCTGTCTTCCTTCATGTGTCTCCTGATGTTTCTCCATCCCTCTCTAGACTCCCTTCTGTGTCTCATAGCGCCCTCATGTGTCTTTTGTCTGCGTCTCAGTTAAGTGTCTTCTGTTGTTACCCTTTTTAATCATTCCTCCCAGGTCAGCTCCAGCCCCTTGTCCCCAACTCAGAGTGTGTGTGTGTGTGTGTGTGTGTGTGTGTGTGTGTGTGTGTGTGTGTGTGTGTGTGTGTGTGTGTGTGTGTGTGTGTGTGTGTGTGTGTGTGTGTGTGTGTGTGTTTATGTCCTCCTCCGGCTAGGTGTGTGTGTGTGTGTGTGTGTGTGTGTGTTTATGTGTGTGTTTATGTCCTCCTCCAGCAGTGTGTGTGTGTTTATGTCCTCCTTCAGCTGTGTGTGTGTGTGTGTGTGTGTGTGTGTGTGTGTGTGTGTGTGTGTGTGTGTGTGTGTGTGTGTGTGTGTGTGTGTTTATGTCCTCCTCCAGGTGTGTGTGTGTGTGTGTGTGTGTGTGTGTGTGTGTGTGTGTGTGTGTGTGTGTGTGTGTGTGTGTGTGTGTGTGTGTGTGTGTGTGTGTGTGTGTGTGTGTGTGTGTGTGTGTGTGTGTGTGTGTGTGTCCTTTCCCAGTTAGGTCTGGTGTCCTCTCCTGCTCCTCCTCCCTGATTAGTTATCACTTTCACCTGGTTCTCTCCCCTCACACCTGCAGCTCATCATCCTCCCATTTTGCCCCAGTGTAAGCCCTGTCTTGTCTCAGTGTCTTGGCGGTCCATTGTTGTTTGTATGTCAGCGTTTTCTGATGCTCTGTGTGAGCTTTGTGCCTCGTCCCAGTTTTGTGCTCTAGGTGAGCTTTTGTTTCTTCTGGACGTTTGGCTCGCTGCCATTTGGATTTATTTTTGTTCTCTCTAAAATAAAAGGATTTTTACTTTACATATCAACTCCTGCCTCGTGCCATCCTGGGTATCTGCATTTTTGGGTCCAAACCATCCTCATAACGTGACGACAGTGTGCCTTGAAGACCAGGGTTAGGAAACACTGGTGTAGGAGACTATTTTCATGTTCAGCGTGCATGAAAATCAAATCAAATCAACTTTATTTAAAAAGCGCCTTCACATGCCCAAAACGGACAAACAAAGCGCTGTACACCAATACAAATCACAACAATAAAACAGACATATAACCATTTAAAATACAATAAGAAATCCCGAGTACAAGTTCATAATCCATATCAGTCCTTTTTCCAAAATCAGATCCAGACACATTCAAAGTGATGCCGCCCACACAATCCCTACTTCAATGTCCAAACGCCAACGAGAACAGATGTGTTTTTAGTCGGCTTTCAAAGGTCTCAAGTGATTTGGCCTGCTTTACGTCGGCTGGCAGCTCATTCCAAAGACTTGGTCCGAGCACTGAAAAGGCACGACTCCCACGAGACTTCAGGCTGTACCTGGGCACGGTTAATAGTCTCTGGTCAGCTGACCTAAGGGAACGCACCGGGACATGTCGGTGGATGATGTCAGCAAGGTATTTCGGTGCCCCTGAGTTTAACGCCTTAAACACAAACAGGCTAACCTTAAACCTGACGAGATAGGAGACAGGGAGCCGATGCAAGGCACCTAGGACTGGTGTGATGTGTTCAGACCTCCTGGTAGATGTTGACAACCGAGCAGCCGAGTTCTGAACTGCCTGGAGGCGTGCTACTGGAGCTTGCCTAAGCCTCGCATTTAGCGAGTTGCAATAATCAGAGTGACTGATTGTAATCAGGAACAATCATTAAGATATGTTTTTTCAGTGTTCCACACCTTTAAAATCCACCTGATGATTTAAGAGTGACGGTGGTAACAAATAAGGCTGGCTCCAAGAGTTTGTGACGAAGTTTGAAAGAAAATCTCAATCAGTTAGAGCCAGGACGCTCATGATGTTGATCAGCTACTGTCACAAAGAAAGTTAGCTCAACATTTGTAAATTCAAAAGAACGTCTGCCATTTTATTCTCATCTGGCCTCCTGTTGCTCCTGGCTGAGCAAAGAAGAACACGTTCTGGTGTAAAAGATTTTATAATTCCCTGACTGCATTCGTACAAGACTCGGTATTTCAAGTCCTTACAAAGCTTCAGACTCAATAACAACAAAGCCACAAAGCCCCTTACCGGTTAAATCTCACATTTTCCAGACTCAGATTTGCAGCTGTTACTGGTTTCAAATGCAGCTTCAGGTAAGAGACATGTTGGGGTGTGTGCTCCCCATCAAATGACTCACCTCAATAAGCCAGGGCTTCAGTTTGTCATCAATAATGATGTCATACCCGTAACACTCAAAACAGTGCTTGTCATTGTTCATCACGGGCTAAGGAAGGAAAACAGAAACCGAATCAGGAAAAGGAGACGTCAAAATGTCTTCAGATTTCAATAAAAATATCTGGCAAAAAATAAGTGGCCTGAATTTATTGCAAATGTTTTAATGCAACGCTTCCGGACTCACAGAAGAAGGATATTAGCACACAATCAGACTATGAATACACAAGCAGTTGTAACGGTTAAAGTAACCTCAGCGTTTAGGCCTGGAGAGGAAGTGAGTACGATCACTCAGGAGAAAAGAGAAGTGAGCATTAGATGGAAAGTTCTGTTGTTCAAACCCAACCATGGAGGTGCTTTTTGCAGCTATTTATTTCATAGCGTGAGACTGGCCAAATCGATAAACCCACGCACTTAATACACGTCACTGTTCTGATCCAATTTAAACTAAGTTCTCTGTGATTATTCCCATATGGTCTACAATATTTGGGGGATTTTAGTTCAGGAAAAGTCTGATATTTGAAAATGGCCTCACGAGAAGAGATTCCAGCAGCCGAAAAACAACAAGATCTGAATGTAAGGCGTTGTGCATGTTAGGCCAGTGTGTACATGCTGTTTTTATAACAAATAAATGTTTTATAAGTGAGGATATATAACTGAATTTAGTAGTTTAATATATTTATCAGGTTTTATCGACTTTTTTGATGAAAATTCCAATCCTAATTTACACAAATAAACGACAAAAGGCCCAGTTATTGTGAGATTTGTAAAGTCTAAGGATGTTTGTAAAAGTCTAATGATCCATTAAACAGTAGAACATCGTAACAAAGCGCAATTATTTAATCAATCTTGTATTTTTGCTCTTTGATAAATAGCAGGAAGTAGCAACTTTATCCCATGAACTCACTGCTACGGCTTTCAGAGACTGCACCACGATCCAGTGGATCTGGTCAAACAGCCGGTTGGTCACGTCCTTCCCTCGGGTGCTCTCCAGGTACAGACGGAGGTTACTGACTGTCCACTTGCCTCCATGAACGTGGTTGTAGTCATCCTGCACAGAAAAAAAGATGAACTGTTTTTATATTAGCTTACATGAAAAAACGATCTACATTCTGCTTTTAGGAGAAAGAAAAGCTGAATTAAAGGGCTATTTCAGACATTTTCTGATTATAAGATACTAATAATTGCCATCTACACACAGCAGGTCAAATATATTTATTGCTAAGTCTCAAGTAGAAAGAAGGGTTATTAGTAATAACCTGATTACCACTCACCCCGTGTTTTTGTATCGCCACATTAGTGAGGTGAACAAACATGTTGTCCAGTTCACTGGTGCTGGGTGTGTACTTCACCGTGCAGAACCTGCAGAAACCCAGTTTGTACCTAAAAGCCAGAAACATGTACACTTTATTTTGGATTTAATCTAATGAATAAATATTAAATACATTTCCTGGGTGAACAATTAATGACAAAATATAACATTCTTTTCACAGATTTCCTCACGCTCACATGTAGCATTTAAGAGGCCGATATGTGGTCACCAGGACGTAGAGGCGCAGGTCAAACTTCTTTCCTCCTATCAGGAGAGGGTTGTCGATGTACAGAGAGATGACATAAGCCTCCTTCCCGCTGGAGGCTGCCACAAACCTGGGAGAAAAATAAAAACAAAGATTTACTTATATGCAAACCACACAAAAACAATAATAAAATCCTTCCTGACTCACGTTGAGGTGCGGCTGTCTCTCGACCACTTTTTAATCTGAGACAGCTTGTTGATGAGGAAGATGCCTTTGCCCTGGGCCTTCCCGCAGGGCTTCATGATCCAGGTGCTGGATGGATTCTTACGAAACTCCTCCACAAACAGATTGTAATCAGCAGGGAGCATGAACGTCACAGGCACAAAATCTGCACAAATAAACATATCAAATAAATAAAAGCTGTGTGCTTTTCTATAATGTAAGGGTAAATAAAAGAGTTTATGTTCGTCTTTTTGTGCCCAATATCATAAAAAGCACCTAAATAAATATATTTTCCATTCTCGTCCTTCTCTGCAAGCGGACTGCTTTCTTTTTCGAGCTCCTTGCGGTAGCGTTTGATGTTCTTGATCATCAGGTCCTTTCTGGTCAGCTCGTAGTGGTTGGGGAAGTGGTTAACCATCTGGTCATCTGACAGGCGGTAGCCGGTGTCCACGCTGAACACATTCCTGATGGTCTGGATGCTCATCCTGCAAGGTGGTGTAAATAAAAATACATTCATAAAGAAAAGGTTTGCAGCTTGTTTGTGATCTAACTGTTTCTGATTCAACAGATTCAATGTACTTGTGTTGGTTGCGATAAAACCCAATTATTATTTACTTTGTTGATTATTTTCCTCTTTGATGCAAAAAGAAAAACTCCATTAGATTCAAGTAACTCAAATAAAATGTAATCAACCATTTTGTTCCTTTGTTTTAAAAAATATGTTAAACCTACCAGTAGAAATTCCAGTCGTCGCTCTCTCTTACTTGAATCCATTCCCTTTTCTCAAAGTTATTGACGAGCACTGATTTTTCAATATCTGTCACCCACTTCACCTTACCGGCCATGGTGCCTCCCACTAAGGTGGGGCACAAAACAACAGGTAAATAACACCAAATAAACAAACTAGAAGCATTTTCTTCCTGCTCCTTCACACCAAGACTAATATCTGACCAGCTACCTGCAAATCGTCAGGAAACAGCCTGTCATCAGCATCTGCTGGTCGGAGCGTTAGCAGGCTACTGGTCTGGATCCTCCCCGGGACTGCTGCAGAGGCTGGGCGGCCATCACCGCGTCAAGCATGGACTCTCATCTGAGATGACTGATGCTGAAGCAGCTTCCAGCCAGTTTGTTAGCTTCACTAAGAGCTACCACAAGCTACTGAACACCGTTACACCGTGTTGATGCTAGCAAGCCTGTAGCCGCCATAAAACCGGGCTACGTGACGGCAACGCCCAGAACAGTAAAACTACAACACTAAAAATCGTTATTAAACGAAATAAAATAAAATGTGTATTATTAGGACGCGTGGGTATTTGGGAAAATATTTCACATTGAAATGTCCATAAAACTCAAAGATGTCATTACGTTACCTCCTTTTCCGGGAGAATAACCTAGCAACGGAGGACGCAATGACGTCATGTACAGGGAGTAATTACTAGACAGCACCAGAGGGGGTCAGTAATGAGCTTTAAAATGGTTTTTTACTTTTGTCATTGAGCGATGTCAGGAAATATTGGCTATCTGAGGCATAATTTTACAGATTTGCTCATTCTGGGACTGAAATTTAATTCACTTTTAAAGTAGTGAAATTCCGTCGTGTTTGCGTAAAATACCGTGGAAAAGGCCATTTATTTTTTTGTTTTGCTTTGAGAGAGCAATATAGCTTTTTATCAAAGAGCTTTACAGAGACAATTTCACTCAGTGTTTTACAATGAAAACTAAATTTCTTAAGTCCGGCGACTATATACAAATGTCACATTTTAACTGCTGTAAATCTATTCAGTATTCATTGTAATCGTTGTTTCTCCCTGCAATTCACTGCACAATTTCTGTATTGATACTTTCGGCTGTCATTACGTCACACCTGTCCTGACCATAGATCCTGACAGGTCTCCTTTGAAAAAGAGGTTTTCAATCCCACTGGAACCTTCCTGGTTAAAAATGAATTCAATTCAATTCAATTCAAAAATACTTTATTAATCCCAGAGGGAAATTGATTGCTGTTGTAGCTCAGAATAATAATAATAATAAAGTCATCAAAGAGTTGTTGTATATTACAATGGCTGTTGGCAGGAAGGATCTCCAGTAGCAGTCAGTGTTGCAGCGAAACTGAAGAAGCCTCTGACTGAAGACACTCTTCCGTTGTCGGACAGTCTTGTGAAGAGAATGCTCAGGGTTGTCCATCATTTTCTTGATTCTCTGGAGAATCGAGAATCCTTCTTTGCATTATCTCCTTCAGTGGTTCCACAGTCGTCCCCAGAACAGAACCAGCCTTTGTTATTAGGCTGTTGAGCCTTTTCAGGTCCCTGCTTCTGATATTGACCAGCACCTGATTTATCATTGCCCATTATGATCGATGGAAGAGATGGTTTGAATTTCTGCTTTCTCTGTCTCAGTTTTGGTCCCGCTCTGCACCCATACTTCTTGCGTTTTAGCTCATTTTTATTTGTGACTTAAGTTGAGGTATTATTTCAACCTTTCCTATGTTAATCAGCTGCTCCCTATTGTAAACCAGCTTGTTACCATGGTTACGCATCATAACAAATGCTCAAAAAGTGAAAAAATTGCAATAAAAATCCTCTAAGCTTACCAGCACCAGAAACAGAAAAGTTAAATGTCAAAAATATACCGTTTGTCTTGAGAAACTAGAAGAAAATTTCCAAAAAAAAGGGCAAAGCTTACATATAGTCAACAGAGCTACTCCAACATGCAGCCACCCAGAGCAGCGCAGTTCCGGAAACAAATAAATAAATACTCCTGAAAAGTGTCCATGAGAATCATGGGCCTATTGGGAAGAAAATTACGATGTATTATTTATTCTTATAAAATATAGAAATATAGAAAATGAATTCGCATATTCAATAAAAAATACACAATAATATGACTGTCAAAACAGTAATCATTTTGTCATACCAATGTTTAAACAATTTGCATTGATACCCTTTACAGAATAAAAAATATGAAGTCAGTAAGTGACATAAAAACTAAAATGCAATGGAATACCAAATTTCAAGAATACAAAATATTAAAACATGCATGCTTAATCCAAATTCAGAGAAAGTAGTCTAAACAAGCATGTGAAACGTACCTGCACTCGTGGTGAACTATACAGAACACATCTTTTCACAAATATAAAGACACAATAAGAAACTAATCGTTTAAAATCGAAGTTTAATGGTATTTTTAATGTTCTGATGATTTTAAAAATAACAAGGGACTCCTCTTTTCCGGGGCTTCAGTTGCCCCCTGGTGGCCATTCTTGGCAGAAGAAGGTAAAGGCGTGGCTAATTCCTATTTGCAGCGGTTACCTGAAAGCAACAAAATAAAGGACGCTGCTGTGAGTCCGGACATATTTCGATGATTTTTTTAAAATTATTATTTTATTCTCAACCATTAGGATTAATTATGTATCTGTGTTTGTTGCAGGGCGGCGTCCTCAATCATCTACACCAAAGGTAGGTCCACTTTTTTTTTACTTGTGTGCACCTGTTTACCACTCTGTCTGCGATGTTGGGTGAATGGTAGATCAATATGAAACCAAACAGCTTGTTGTTTCAGCATAATGCAGTTTTCGCGACTGATATTTAAAACGTAAATTAAAGTAGCTGCGTGGTGTGTGCCTCTAATCCAACATGTGTGTTCTTTCAAACGTCCTTTGTTTGCTTTGGGTGAGGATGACTTCATCTTTTTGTTTTGACAATATATGGAATTAGTATCGGCAATAATACATCGCCATTACTTTTTACTTTAGTTGTTTTGTTAGACTTTTAGACTCAGAACTAAACTTTGAAGGTGTTTTTCTTATGTAGTATAAATGTAGTAAAAACTGTAATTACACTCAAAGCCTGCATTTCCATTCTGGATTAACTGGTTAGTTGACTTGACTAAAGTTTGTAACCAGTTAAATATTTGAAGTTTTATGGGAGATAATCATGAGTCACTTTATTTTTATTTTGTTAGTGGGGATTAAAAAAAAAGGCCGTTTGGTTGATTTGAGTTATGGAAATGTGGCATTTGCATCCAGGGACAAGAGTACAATTAATATGATCTCATGTCAGGTGCTCGTAGGTTTACAAACGTTCAAACAGAATGTGACGAGTATCCATTACACCCATAAAAGCCAGTTAACGCGACTGCTTGATGCATATAAAAGCTCCAAACATGAAGGAAGTAAAGGATAACTCGTCATCCCCTTTTCATATCTGCTTTTCCTCTTCGTTTATAACGTGGACTTTCTCCCTGGCACAAGCGCCACCTGTGCAGGTCACATGATCTGCTATTTACACAACTTGTTTTATGAACGTTGGGAGTCAGGAAGAGGTAAAACAGAAGCACGCAAAGCTTTTTATCTGCTCATTAAAATGGAAACTGTGCGTGTTTATCTCAGAAAAACACAATGGTGGAACAAACGAGACGCCCAAATCCTGCGGTGACGCCCCAGGCTGGACCTGGAGGGGTGGACACCAGCGCCCTGTTGGACATGAACCGCAGGTACATTTCAGATCTTCTCTGCTTCTCTGGCAACAACACAAGGGATGGGTTGTGCCAATAACAATCAAAAGAGGCTTAACGTTTGGAGAACAACCCACATCTATGATGTGTTTTTACTCCAAAAAAGAAAACAGAAGCTAGTATATTAACTTCTGATCCTTTAGGATCAGGGACAGGGATTCAAGGGTCGTGGGTCGCCAGTTGGCCATCATTGGAGACAGGTTAGACCGGGAGTGGACTAGGACAAACCCAAACTGGCCACCGACTCCTCTACACCTGCTGAGACCTGTCCAGACCCTGACACGGACCATCTACCGGTACACTTATCGGTTGTAATCAGATTACTCTAATTGTATCTGTTGGCTGTAAGCTGTCGTGTCGTTACAGGGATGTTCACAGTCACATGTGGACATTTCGGGGCCTGTTTGCGGCTGTGAAGGCCTGGATAGTGAGCACCATGCCTGGCCAGGGAAACCCGACAGCTGAGGCCTTGACAGCCTGGGTAACTCTAGACATAAAACTAATAGAGCAGTGTTAGCTATTGTGGGTCTATAATAAACATCAGGCTGCGATTGGAAATCTGATTTTTGTGAACACTTGGTAAAATCTTCCTCCTGACTCGTTGGTGTTGCAGGGGTCCAGTTTCAAACCGGCGACCTGCCCTGGCTGGACCGCAGGAGCTCTTGTGGCTGTTGCGCTGTTGGCTGCAGCCAGCGTTTTCAGTGCACTCTGGGTGGAAGCGAAAGCCTAAAGAGGCGACGAGTGAGCCTTTGCTTCAGCTAATGAGTTAAAATTACTCCTGATTTGTGTTTCTGCTGTTTACTCTGACTTCTCTTTTTTTTTTTTTTTTACTATTCTAAGATGCGGTGTTGGAAGTTGGCACTGAAGGCAGTGAACAACTTCCTGGGTGAGGTAAACAAAAACAAGTAAGGATAAAAACATGCGAGGAGTGGCTTCGATCCGTTTTACAGAGGTTGCTCTGGTTTTTGTAGCAGAGGAAGTTGGTTCACAGTTGTATTATTGTCAAAAGGAAAAGTTTCTCGTGACTCGACTGTTGCTGGCCTGCAGTCCTTTTGTTGTTTCTTACTGGTTTAAGAGGCCAAGATTTTTACATACGACACGTAGCCTTGCTTGTGATAAAATGATGGGAGCTGGACTTTCTGTTGCCGATTTGGGAATGCTTTTTTCATGTGACGCAAATAAACTTTAGAATGACAGAATCCGACTCCCTATTGGTTAAAAAAGATCTTTAAACACTGACAGCATCCATGTTTCAAAAAGATTTTTCAACAGTTCTCGAGTCCGGATTTCTCCGTGATCATTCCTCTGTCGCGACGACTTCTACGGGTGTGTACAGTTGAAAGGCCTTCCGGTTGCACTTTTTAAGCGTGGCGCCCAGCTGCCTCCCTGGCCCGACCTCGTAGGTCTTGGGGAAACTCTTCCCCTGCGTCCTCTCGTAGATCTCGTGCAGAGACTGCTCCCACTTCACGGGCAGCGTCACCTGCTTCACCAGCTGCGTGCGCACGTGGCTCGGATTCATGTAGCGTTTTCCGTCCACGTTGGAGTGCACTCTGATCTCGGGTTGGCGCACCTGGATCGACACGTTTAAATGTAAACAAGACACGAAACTGCAATAGTTGGGAAAAATAAACCGTTGTATGGGTGTAATATTAATTAACTCATTCACTGCCAGCCGTTTCCTGATCACTAAAGGCATTCGCTGCCAGCGTTTCTCACCGTTTTTACTGTTTTTTGAAGAGTCACAGAACGTTGCGCGCTAGCATGATGTCGATGCCAAAACAACCAAAACAAAGAGGAGACTCACCTCTTACGTCAGGAAGAAGCCGCGTGTTTCGAGCGTTATCCGTTCTTTCATAATCCGTTGTCGAATTGTGATCGGCAGACGCTTTTCCGGTTCGCGCCTCACTTTTTTTTACAGGAACGGCCCAAAACGATCTCCAAACACATGGATGTGTTGCTTCCTGATCATGTGATCTGTGACGTATGCGGACGAAGATCGGCTTCAGGGCTGAGATGTTTGTTCTCTCAGCGCGGGGGCTCGTTCCGATGCTCAAACAGTAAAAAAATGCAAATGACGACTTTAGTCGTCAATGGCAGTGAATGAGTTAATACAAGAAAAAAGCTGATTTATGAGATGTCGGCTGACGGACCTCCACCTGTCTCAGCACCTCTCTTAGGGGCTCGGTGGCTGGCTCCATCAGCTCGGTGTGGAAAGCACCGCTAACAGGTAGAAGTTTGGTCCTCGTGAAATGTAAACGCCGTGCGTTCTCCTGGAGAAAGTCCAGAGCCTGAGAACACAACACGACTGTGATCAAAGCAACGTCACAGAAACACAAATAAAAATCTGTTGCTTTGAAGCTTTTTACGTAGTCCTGCCCCGTACCTGCTGATGCCCTGCAATGACCCGCCCATCGGGGAATAAATAGTTGGCCACGGAACAAACAGGCTCCCGGATCCCCAGACTCCTGCAGTGCTCTTTAGCCTGCAGACAGGCGTGTTTGTACTGAGCCTGAGGTTTACCGATGACTGACAGCATCCCGCTGGGAACCAGTTCAGATGCTTTCTGCATGGCCTCCGCACGCACCTTCACTGCATAAAGAGCTGGGACATCAGACATAAGCAGCTCGTTACAATGCTCTTCATAGCAGATGTTGAACCTTTAGTCCCCCAGCTATCACGATAAGAGACACATGTTTACCTTCTGAAAAGTTCATGGCACCAGAAAATACCAGAGCAGCAAATTCTCCAACGCTAAAGCCTGCAGCAGCAGCACAGCTCTCGATGGCCTGATGGGAAAAGTGGCAAATACAGCAGCAGTAAACAACATTACATAAATAATATAATAATATGAAAATTTTACAAAAGGTTTCGGGGAATTTTTTTCTGAAATATCTAAATGTTCGACCATACGGAAGCAAAAGTAGCTCTTCAATCAATCAATCAATCAATCAAAGCTTTATTTATAAAGCGCCTTCCGCAACCCTGTCAGGAAGCCCAAAGCGCTGAACATTGTACAGTTGTATGTAAATATATTGAATAAATCAACAATAAAAGAAATTCAAATTACAAAATACAAATTACAAAATACAAAATGAAATTACAAGATAGATGAAACATTCTGGTAAAGGACAAATGTGTGAAACACATTTGGATTGAGTGGATGGATTGTGTGTACCAATGAAAACTGTGGAATGGATTCAACATAATAGAGGGCCAAAATCAAACATGTTCTGGAAACGCCAAGCAGAGGAGGTGTGTTTTTAGGTGATTCTTAAAGACTGGCAGAGAAGGGGACAGCCTAACTGAGGTTGGCAACTGGTTCCAGAGTAACGGTGCTAGGACTGAGAAAGCCCGGTCCCCACGAGTACAACACCTAGACCGAGGGACAGCGAGCAGGCCTTGGTCAGAGGAGCGCAGAGCACGTGATGGGGAATGTTTGTTCAGGAGAGTGGCCAGATAGGGGGGAGCACCACCCTGGAAGAAATGATAGACAAAGACGAGGATTTTGAATTGTGAGCGATAGCAAATCGGAAGCCAGTGCAGGGAGGCCAGAACCGGACTGATGTGGTCCCGTTTCCTGGTCCCAGTCAGGAACCTGGCAGCGTTGTTCTGCACAACCTGTAGGCGACGCAGTGTTGACTGACACAACCCTGCATAGAGAGAGTTGCAGTAGTCAAGCCGAGAAATTACAAAGGCATGCAGTACCCGCTCCAGGTGGGCTCTCGACAGCATAGGCTTGATTTTAGCAAGGCGTCTCAGGTGAAAGAAACTGGACCGGATCACAGAATTGATGTGAGCATCAAATTTAAGTCCTACATCAAGTTTCACCCCCAAACTGGTAACAACTGGTTTTGAGTATGGAGAATAAAAACATGCGAGGAGTGGCTTCAATCCGTTTTATAGATCCGTTCTTGTTCTGCTCTTGTTGGCTGAACAAGAAACAAATGTAACCTTCCCTGAAGAAAAATTAGTTTTTATCAACTTTTCGTATTTTAAATTGAAAAAGCAACAATACTCTTGCACTGAACATCTTCTGGTAAAACATACGAGTCGTGTGACGAGGCTGAAGTTAGCTTCCGATTTGGGAAACGGCTAAAGGCCAATACACCCAATTTTTCTCTACTCTGACCATCTTCAATCTGCTCTAGCTCAAAAACTACAACAGCCACACTGTTCAAACCTGTTCTAGATTATTCTACAATAATAGCAGATGGCATACAACCTTGGTTGGGATTTGTGAAACCTTTCCCTGATTTGTGAAACTTCAGCAAAGCATGATTTATGCGTTTTTTTCCGCATCTGGCCAACGATGGAACAGCTGTAGCTCAAGAAGTACAGCCCCTACACTATTCAAACCTGTTCTACATTATTCTACTGTAATAGCAGATCAAATAAAACCCAGTGTGGGATTTGTGAAACCCTTCCCTGATTTGTGAAACTTCAACACAGATTGTATTTTTTCGGTGACATGTAGCACAGTTACACAACAGCCACAACTATGCAAAAATTACTTTGTTTGCGTGTCTTAATTAAAAACAAGCATAAATATTCAGCCTCAAACTTTTTTATTCTCCCACATTCCAGAGAACTTCAGATAATTGAACGTCTCTCCATTTCTGTTTTCAGTTTCGTGAGAAGTTCCGATTTTTTGCTGCAAAAAAAAAAGAATTTTTCAGGTATTATATATTTCTCCATTCCCAAAGACACACAAAAAAATATTTTCCTTGCAGATATCTTTCAGTGACTCAGATTGTCTTACCTCTCATCCATCTCACCATGCTCATTCTTTTCCACTGCCTCAGTCCTGGTTTCAGAAAGGTGACACTCAGTGCTTTTCAGAGGTGTACGATACATTACAGTAATATGACGGAGTTCCTGTCTGAGCGCCGGCCCGGGAGAAAAGGACTACGCTGTTAGAACAATGGAGGAGCAGAGGAATTGTTTTGGAGGCGTATTTTCAAGATAGTCGGACTATCCGTGCTCGTTGACGTGCTATGGGGCATGCGCAGACCGATTTTTTAGGGCTTTGTTGAAGTTTCACAAATCAGGGAAATGTTTCACAAATCCCACACTGTGTTTTATTTGATCTGCTATTATTGTAGAATAATCTAGAACAGCTCTGAACAGTGTGGCTGTTGTAGTTTTTGAGCTACAGCTGTTCCATCGTTGGCCAGATGCTGAAAAAACGCATAAATCATGCTTTGTTGAAGTTTCACAAATCAGTGAAAAGTTTCACAAATCCAACACTGTGTTTTATTTGATTTGCTATTATAGTAGAATAATGTAGAACAGGTTTGAATAGTGTAGGGGCTGTACTTCTTGAGCTACAGCTGTTCCATCGTTGGCCAGATGCTGAAAAAACGCATAAATCATGCTTTGCTGAAGTTTCACAAACCATGGAAAGGTTTCACAAATCCCAAACAAGGTTGTATGCCATCTGCTATTATTGTAGAATAATCTAGAACCAGTTTGAACAGTGTGGCTGTTGTAGTTTCTGAGCTAGAGCAGATTGAAGATGGTCAGAGTAGAGAAAAATTGGGTGTATTGGCCCTTTAGCCGTTTACCCGAATCGGAAGCTAACTTCAGCCTCGTGGTCGTGTGCCACACACTCAGCTTTCATAGCAACATTAAAGTTTTTGAAGATAAAATTTAAAAAGCCCAATGTAGTAATCTAAACACCAATTTAGTTGTCTTGGAAATGATCTAAATGTGTTTTTGTTGGGATGCTGCCTCTGAAGTGTTTTGGAAATAAGTAAATGTGTGATAATAAAAAAAAAATTTGAGAACGGTATGTTAAAAATGGTAAATGTGTAATATAAAGGGTAAATGGCACATAAGTTAAATTTCGAGTTAAAATGTTGTTGATGAACGTATGAGTGACCTTTGGGTTTTCATGGTGCAGCCTCTCCACAGCAGCCAGGGAGGAGACAAACACCGCCGGCTGGCAGTGGACCGTCTTCCGCAGCTCCCCATCGGGACCCTCCAGGCACAGAGACAGGAGGTCGTAACCGAGGATCTTTTGGGCAGCTGCGAACATTTCTCTCACGTTGGGGTACTTTAGGAGTCCTCTGCACATGCCGGCAAACTGGCTCCCCTGCCCGGGGAAGAGGAGCACCGAGCAGCTGCTTGGGTCTTTCCTGGGTCTGCGCTCCGGGGTTGCTAATGACTGGCTGCCAGGGGGAAAATCCGATGAGCTAGGCTGCTGGGTCGACAATCTTCGGCTTACAGAGACCAAAGACCTGACCTTCCCTCCGGAGGCTGCTGCCATGCTAACAGCCTTTGGTCCTAACATGATCTAAAGGCTAGCGTTAGCTGCTGCTACCTAGCAAAGTACCGATTTAAGTAACAAAAACACAAACCGCCTGGGAAAACTGTTGAAGGACGAAAGTTGTTAACTTGTTGTCTTAAATGTTCTCCTCTCGGCATGACGACCCAATGGAGGCCGTTTATGTTTTTCTTCTGGTCAAAACCCAGTCGCTTCTCGCGCTGCAGCGCCACCCCTGGCCAGGGGATGCAATTGTTCAATAAAACGTTCCTGAAATTTTTTTTCTTTTCAATCAACATTTCACGAAAAGAAACAAAAAACGCAGATAATCTATTTTTATATTATCAAGAAATCTTATTTTTATACTTCTAAAAATGTTAAGCCAACTTGTTTCCTTTTTATTCATCCATACATCCATTGTCTTTGCCCGCTTGTTCTTGCAGGGGGGCTGGTGCCTATCTCCAGCTGTCTCTGGGCATGCAGGCGGGGAACACCCTGGACAAAATTGCCAGTTCATTGCAGGGCAACACAGAAACACACACGAAAATCAACCAAGCACACACACACTCACATCTAAGGACAATTTAGAGAGACCTAACAGTCATGTTTTTGGACTGTGGGGGGAAGCGGCGGGGAACCCACGCATGCACAGGGAGAACATGCAAAACTCCATGCAGAAATACCCCAGATTGGGATTTGAACCCAGGACCTTCTTCCTGCAGTGCAACAGCGCTAACCACTGCACCACTGTGCAGCCCCTCCATGTCATTCAACTGAATAAAATTTCTAATGAAAATTAAAGTAGTAATAATATACATAAAGGAAATACAAAAAAATGATATAATCCACCATTAGATGTGGCTTTCTTTAATGGTTTTTTAATGGTTTTAATAAAATTAAACTGCATCTTAGCACACAATTCAAATATAAATATGATACAACGTTTTCTTGTTTAGAGCACATTGAATAGTTAATTAATTTTTAGTCCATTTGATTACAACCTTCTCTTGGGTTTCCCTCGCGAGTCGTCTGCAACCCCAGGAAACCTACCATGAATCATCTTTCAATTTCTTTAACTGTAGATGTATATTATAAATTTATCTTGAGTCATTCTGTTTCAGGTATTTAAAAATGCTGAAAAACAATAAAACGCCTAACAGTCTGCTTCATCTGACATGTGGGCGGCCTCCATCCGCTCCTCCAGTTTCTCCATTTCATCTCCTCCTATCCTGTTGCTGCGATCGTGTCTTATTTTATATTTAGAGATGAACTCGGTGCTGGCCAGCGCTCCTTCCTTTTTGGGACAAATGTTTTGCGACAGAAGCCGACTTTCCAAACGCTCTGGAGAAGAAAGGCATAGTGACAATAATGTAACTGTCCTTTATTTGTGTGAACATGCAATCGACCTATAGAGGCTTCAAGCAGAACAAAGAGCTTGCTGCACCTGCAGGAGTGATGGGAGTCATCAGGCGGTTCAGCTGGACATTCCAGTGTCTCACATGCTGGGTGGCATTTCTCAGCCTCTCCTGCATCTCCTGTAAAACAGAATGTTTGTGTGTGACTTCCTTCTGTTTTATTTCTTGCTGCACACGGTCTTTTCATCACCTCCAGGTGCTGATGACTCCTCTGACGAGATGCTTGTAAATGCTGAAGCTCCAGAGAGGCTGAGTAAAGTGCTGATGGGGTGGATTCACTAGGTCTGCCGTTTGAGGCCTCCTGCCTCTGCAGAAACCCCTGCTGCTCCTGGAGGAGCCGAAACTGCCTCTTCTTCTCGTCCTCAGCCTCCAGCAACCTGAAGAATGGATTGAAGAGAAGGAGCGAGTTCAGATCCCGAAGAAGCATTCGTGGATATAAAAAAGATCATAATTAAAAATGGATGCCACCTCTCCAACTCCTGTCTGGCTCTCTCCTCCTCCATCCGAGCCTGGATCTCGATGTCAAGAGCAGCCTCCAGTTTCTCCTGCGTCAGCTCCAACTCCTGGATCCTTCTCTTTTGCTGCTCAGCCTTCTTTTCCTTCTTCTGCATCTCGGCCTGTAGGCTTTCTCTCATCTGGAACATAAACCCAGCAGCATAGTGGAATTAAGGACCCACTTTCCCAGGAATTTCCTAACCATTCCTCTAAACTGCAAATGTTAAGCTGGGATTTTTAGAAAGTCAACCCTCAGTAAGGTCTGTGTCCATGAGCTGTAATTTTGACATGCTTCAGAAGAACTAAACAAATGATCAGAAAATAAACGTTTTTTTTTACCACTTCAGCCTCTTTAAGTTGTCTCTCCAGCTCCATCTGCACCTCCTTCTGTTTCCTTCTCTCACTCTCCTCTGCCTCCCTTCTGCGAATTTCTAATTCCCGTGCATGCTGCAAAACACAGTTTGATCACTTGCTTTGAGAGACATTGTGATAAACTCCTCTCTTCATAATTTTTTACCTGGATGATGTTTTCGATCTCTAAATCCTGTTTGTCTTTCTCCATCCGGTCCACCTCCTGGATGTTGGAGTCGTCTGATTGGCTGCTCCGGCTACTCCGGCTACTCCGGCTGCGCTCACGGGTGCTATTTTCCCGCTGAACTCGTCTCTTTAACTTTAAATCATGATGAAGGAAGGATTTTCCTTCATGCTGAAGACGAAGGGCTCTTTGAACCGCTAGAGAGGGGAAGATAGAAATCAGTTTATTTATTTCGAGTTCAGCCTTATCATGCAGTAAACAGCTTTTATCATACTTATTTCATACTCATATACTATCGTTAAAAACATCTTGCAACCACAATTCGCTGCTCTGAAATTATATTAAATGTGGTTCATTCACCCATCGGCTCCTATCTTTCCTCTTTATCACGCTTCCTTTTTGCGAAACACGTCGACTGTCTTGCTTGAGATTTTGCACTTTCTTCATCAAACTTTCAGAGCAAACAGAAGCTGCTCTTATCCACGCACAACAACCTTCTCTCAGGTTTAAATCCTGCCATGCAGCAGCTGTGTGTCACTATATGGAAAAACTCAAATGTTGGCGTAATGGATGGAGGATCAGGAGGAAACTTAATTAAAGGTGCATGATGTAAGAATAAAATGAGAATTTTACAGTGAGAAAATCCCAAAAGAGTCTACTGTTTCAGTCATTTTGGAAGGAAGATTATGTTGAAACACATTTCATATTGAGCTGGCTGAGGGGGTTGTCAGTTTTTCTCCTTTCAAAACAAAGAAAGGAGGGACGTAACTACTGTTTACTATAAGTGAGTGGGGTTTTCGTGTCTCCTGCGAGCTAATACTGTAGCGCCAACAATTGTAATTTGACAACAGCCGGCAAAAAGCTCCAGAGTTGTGTTTGTTGTAACCAGATGTTACCACAGGATGTTATTTTTACATAATTTCTACATAATGTACCTTTAATAGAATAATAATGATTAAAGAGCAAGTCACCAGCTTTTTTTTCCTGATAAACTATATAAATGCATGTCTAATCATGCTGCAGACATGTGTAGTCAATAGTTTTGCACTTTAGTGCATTTTAGTAAAAATTTTAATTTTCTGCCTAAAACTGTCAGTGTTGTGCAATTGTCAGGTAAAAACTCTACACTGCATTTGAATTTAAATCTGCCATCGCTATTGGCTAAGAGGTACCCTAGAACATTAGCTGGTACCATATGATGTCACAATGTCATTGTGAGCCTGTGTGTGTGTGTGTGTGTGTGTGTATTTGTTAGCGGCTCCGCCCTCTTGGTCTGCTAGGCAACAACATTTGTTGCATTTTTCAAACGGGAAGTGGGAGTGGAGTAATACTCTGGTAGGTGGTGACTTGCTCTTTAACTGAGTGCTGAGTGAGCAGGAAAGGCAGTTTTAGATTAAATCTTTTTTTGTAGAAATTCAAATTTAATGCTGGATATAAACAGAATGTTTTAATTTGTTTGTTTTTTGGGTTGTTTCTTGGTCACACCAAAGATTCAGGAACGAAGTGTGAGGAAAAAAAGAAAAGACCAACATGGTAATAATAAAAAAAGTTTACAGAACAACTTTATTTATATCTCTGGTCACCAGAATGGACTCAGTAGTGTTTTAAATCAGCCTTAATGGTAAATTCAGCCTTTTTGAGGCAATCCTCTTCAGCCATTTTTATGCCTATTTCAAAGGTGCAGTTTTGTTTTTACCTCCTGACAGTTAGCTTGTTACTCTGAACGACTCATTTAAGAAAGTAAAACGCCATGTCTTACTCATTATTCACCTCACAGTTGAATTTTACTCTAATATTGAGTAGTTGGTAATTTGAAAAGGTAGCTTGAGATATTTTTAGAGCCGACTACTTGCTTCTTAATTCACCGTTAGCATTGTTAGCTCAACATTAGCCTCTAGCCTTCTTTACCCCATATTTGAGTAAAAACATAAAGATGCCGTGGCTTCTTAGGGGTACAAGAAGAAAACGTTTGGGTTGCTCATTACTGGCTTAGATTCTTTAAACAACTCTGGAGCTTTGCTGGCTGTAGTTGAATTACAAATTTGGTGCTGCAGCCCTAACTTGCAGGAGACACGGTCGGTACAAGATCTGCTCGGGTGCAAGATCGGCTCAGGGTCCGTCGACTGCCGATGACGTCAAAGTAGTTGATTGGCTGCACATGAACCTTACGGAATTACGTAATCACGTTACGTTGTTATCACATTACGTTGGTTCAGGCAAATCCTTCTGTTGAAAAGATGGACAACATTTACAAAGAAATTCATCATTACCTCTTTGAAAATACACTTTTAGCATAGAGCTGCATGTATACTAGGGCTGAACGATTAACTGCATGTGCAATTAAATTGCGAGGTGACAAAAGGAGATTTTCTAATCGCAAAGACTGCAATTTGGCAGCGAGTGGTTAGCGCAATGCTAATATACGTGGAAAACCCCATAGAAATGCTAATGCTAATATCACCGATTACATTATTACAAATTACGAATTAGAAACGTGCCAAATGATTACATTTGGAGTCTAATAGAAAGTAAAACTACCATCAATCAAATAAGTACAGACAGGTATTTTAGTAAAGCCGGAAAACTTAACTCCAGAGTTTTGGATAGCAGCTATATGAGCGTAACTGAACTACGCATGGACGTCAAACTCTAAACACAAAATACTTCAATAAACGGGACACACTTCTTTCCTGCAAATACAATTTCACAGGTGTTGCTAATACCTATGATCCTTCAAGGGATGTGCTCAAAGAGGAGTTCAACATTATGAATATAATATAGTGTTTTTTTTTACAAATACCATTATAAACACAAACTTACGTCTTAAGAAACATTTTAATAACGAAACTGCTAAATTCTTTCCAACAGTATAGATGTGTAGTGTATTTTGTCTGAGTGGGTTTGCCGTACTTTAACGTCATCGGCAGTCGAAGGACCCCGAGCCGATCTTGCACCCGAGCAGATCCTGTACCGACACCGGCAACCCCACACTCAGTGATGGTAAACAGTAGATACATCCCTCCTTCCTTTGTTTTGAAAGGAGAAAACTGACAACCCCCCAGCCAGCTGAGAATGAAACATGTTTCAGTTTAACCTTCCTTCCAACCTGAGTGAGACATTAGACTGTTTTGGGAAAAGATGATTTCCTTTCCGCCAAGTATAAAAATGCTAATTGTTTATTTAAAGTTAATCATAATCAAATCCAGCTTGAGTGTGTTCTGAACTACATTACATTATCTCAAAAGTATGAATGATAATTTTGTGTTGGGCTGCATATTAGCAGTGCTACCTCACAGCAAGAAGGTTGCCTGTTGGAATCCCAGCTGTGATCTTTCTGTGTGAATTTAGTATGTTCTCATTCGTGGGCTACCTCCCACAGATCAGAGACATACATTTTAGGTTCATTTGAGATTGTCCCTAGGAATGAGAGTGAATATGATTGGTTATGTGTCCCTATGATGGACTGGTGACATGTCCAGAGTTTTTCCTCCACCTGCAGGAGAGACACATCAACTACAGCACACCCTACTATGGAAAAGCAAATAAGAAGTGGCAAGGTGAAGTAACGAGGGCCCGGGCGGGATTCGATCCCCGGACTCCCGGGTGAGAGTCGCGCTAACCAGTCAGCCAAAGGGACATCAGATTGGCCAAGTAGCCAGCGTGCATTATTAATCGGGACACTGTGACATTATGCTCACACTGCTACATCTTCCCCCCTCTTTCCACAAGCACGTCCTCGTGCTCCCGCGCAGGGTGCCACAGTCTTCATATCCATGGACCTACTTGACAGTACTACATGGATCCTGCCAACAACGCCAAATGTGGCAAGGTGGAGTAACGAGGGCCCGGGCGGGATTTGATCCCCAGACTCCGGGTGAGAGTCACACGAGCTAACCAGTCAGCCAAAGGGACATCCCATTGGCCAAGTAGCCAGCGTGCATTATTAATCAGGACACTGTGACATTACAATTCAATTCAATTCAATAATACTTTATTAATCCCAGAGGGAAATTGATTGCTGTAGTAGCTCAGAATAATAATAATAATTAAGTCATCAAAGAGTTGTTGTATATTACAATGGCTGTTGGCAGAAAGGATCTCCAGTAGCGGTCAGTGTTGCAGCCAAACTGAAGAAGCCTCTGACTGAAGACACTCTTCCGTTGTCGGACAGTCTTGTGAAGAGAATGCTCAGGGTTGTCCATCATTTTCTTGATTCTCTGGAGAATCCTTCTTTGCATTATCTCCTCCAGCGGTTCCGAAACTGCCAAAACTCTGGCTGAGTCCTTGAAAGGGCTTGGAGTTCCTCCATCTTGTTGGCCAGTGATCTCACATTGCCCATCATGATTGATGGAAGAGATGGTTTGAATTTCCTCTTTCTCTGTCTCCGTTTTGCTCCCATTCTGCACCCAAGCTTCTTGCGTTTTAGCTCGTTTGGGATTTGTGGCTTCAGTTAAGGTATTATTTCAGCCTTTCCAATGTTAAAAGTGAAAAAAGCTATAAAAAATAGCAGTAAAAATCCTCCAAGCTTCACAGCACCAGAAACAGAAAAGTAAAGTGTCCAAAAAAATACAGTTTTTCTTGAGAAACTAGAAGAAAAAAATGTCCAAGAAAAGGCAAAACTTGCATATAGTCAACAGAGCTACTCCAACATGCAGCCACCCAGAGCAGCGCAGTTCCGGAAAAAAAATATGTGCTCACACTGCCACAAAGAAAATGAGTAAGAATGGTTGTAGTACTTTTTTTGTGTTGTTGTTCAGACATCAACAGCTAGAGGAACTCGTTGAATCCTAATTGGCCTCGTTTCACGCTTTAAACTTGATAAATGTACTACTTTCCAAAACTAATGTCTGAAAAGGTTAATTTCTACAAAAACAAGGTAAAAAAATCAGAAACAAATCATGCTAAACCTGATACGATGATGCGTCAAGGAAACCAGGGAATATTTATACTGGGAGTTTTGATAGATGTGCACTGATCACAACAGAGATCGGCCAAAACCAACCTTAACCCTAAACTCAAAACAAGAGATAACGATCCGGATATAACAGATGACAGCATCTTCAGTAAATTTGGCTCAATTTATTTTTATCTTTCTCGTCTAAAAAACTATAACAGGCAAATATTCAGATACATTCCACCTGAAAATATGTAAAATCCACTTTAAAGTGTTTAATGCTGACATTTGGCTTGTTTTGTTTTTATCTGCATTTAGATGCTCATCAAATGACTCTGAATTCGTAAAACTCAGGTCAATATGCTGATTTGCAAATACTTCACCATGTTTTAAGTTAAGGACGAGACAAAGATCACATCTTCTTTCCAGAAACGGGTTTAACGGCTGCAATATATAACTTGGAGGCTCTGAAACAAACAGAAGCTATTTCTTCCTCCTTGCAATAGTCTCAGGTTGGACAAAACAACTTTAAGAGAAACTCTCTGGTGCAGGAGTGGATGAACATCTGACTGCATGGACCATCATCACCAACATGACAGTTTTGTCACCTCAACAATTGACTACTGTAATTCACTCCTGTTTGGTTTACCACAAATGTTCCTCCATAATCTCCAATTGGTTCAGAACTCAGCTGCACACATCACTTCCAAAACCCAAATGTGTCACCAGATCAGCCCTGTCCTCCAGCAGCTCTACCGGCTTCCTGTCAAACAACGCATTGAATTCAAAATCCTTCCCACCTGTCTGACCTCATTCACACTGTCTCTCCCATCCAATCCTTCAGACCATCATCCTCCATCGACCTCTCTGCTCCAACTTTCTGTCTCAGCACTACGGGGAGCAGAGCTTTCAGCTGCTCTGCTCCTCGTCTCTGGAATTCTTTCCCTCAAGCCACCTGTAACTGTGACTTGCTCTCCACCTGTTAATCTAGACTCAAAACCCACCTATTTCAGACTGCCTACTGCTTGTGACACCTCTTCCAGCTGCAATGATTTTAATATCTAGTTTGTATTTTTAACCCTCTGGAGGCAGGCGTTTCAGATTTGCAACAGTTAAAACCTACCTATTCAATTCAGTTCAATTCAATTTTATTTATATAGCGCCAAATCACGAAAGAGTCGTCTCAAGGCACTTCACATAATAAACATTCCAATTCAGGTCAGTTCATTAAGCCAATCAGAAATAATGTTTCCTATATAAGGAACCCAGCAAATTGCATCAAGTCACTGACTAGTGTCAGTGACTTTACAGCAATCCTCATACTAAGCAAGCATAAAGCGACAGTGGAGAGGAAAACTCCCTTTTAACAGGAAGAAACCTCCAGAGAATCCCGGCTCAGTATAAGCAGCCATCCTCCACGACTCACTGGGGATCGAGAAGACAGAGCGCGCGCGCACACACACACACACACACACACACACACGCACACACGCACACACACAGCTGGAGGAGGACATAAACACATACACACACACACACACCTAGCTGGAAGAGGACATAAACACACACACACACACCTAGCTGGAGGAGGACATAAACACACACACACACACACCTAGCTGGAGGAGGACATAAACACACACACACACACACACACACACACACACACACACACACACACACACACACACACGCACACACGCACACACACACAGCTGGAGGAGGACATAAACACATACACACACACACCTAGCTGGAGGAGGACATAAACACACACACACACACACCTAGCTGGAGGAGGACATAAACACACACGCACACACACACACACACACACACACACACACACACACACACACACACACACACACACACACACACACACACACACACACACACACACACACACACACATACATACACACACACACAGTTACCTGGTTACTCCACATCCGTATTTCATGAGCATTGTTTTACTCTGAAGTACCCCTGAAGGATTTAGTTTTTTGTCCTGTTACCAAAACTGAATTTGAGCCTGAGAGGGTTAAAGTTTCTATGTATTTTTTTGTTGTTTTTAAGCTTAATTTCTTTGTTGTTTGTTTTAGTGCTGTAAAGTGTCCTTGTGTTTCTTGAAAGGCACTTACAAATAAAAAAGCATTATTATTATTATTATTATTATTATTATTATTATTATTATTATTATTATTATTATTATTATTATTGAACACCATTGAAACAAAGGAAACAGTGATTGACTTCCAGAGAAACACTCCTCCTCACTCACCAGTAAACATCCAGGGAGCAGACATTGAGGTGGTGGATACCTTACTTGGGTGATCATCTCAACAGCAAACTGAACTGGCCCAACAACACAGATGCTCTGTATAAGAAGGGGCAAAGCCGCCTCCACCTCCTGAGGAGGCCAAGGTCCTTCGGAGTTAATTCCTAGCTGCTAAAGTCCCTTTTTCACTCTGTTGTTGGGTCTGGTATTCACCCTGCTGGTGTCTGCTGGGATGCAGGCAGCTCTGATCGAGACAGAAAAAGACTGAACAAGCTAGTTAAGAAAGCTAGCTTGGTTCTGGGCTGCCCACTGGAGTCTGGTGAGGTTGAGGAAGTGTGTGACAGAAAGATGTGGGTGAAGCTGACCACTGTGGAAGCCGTGGACAGCTCTTTTAGTGGCAGATTGAGACACCCAAGACATGAAACAGAATTCTACTGCCATTATCATTTTACATGCTAACATCAGAGCTATGTATGCAATACCTGTGCTATACTCGGATGCACATGCACGTATTAGTGTATATGCTGCTTTAACGAGTGAATTTCCCCACTGTGGGATCAAGAAAGTCTATTCAATTGTATTCTGTCTAAGTGGGCTGTGTTCACACACACCTTGTGTCCACTCCACCTTCTGCTTCTGGTCAGACGCACTCATCTCATAGGTTTTGTTGTGCGTTTTCACACAGAACAAACAGCGCTTTCCTTCCCTGTCCGGAATGGGCTGAAACAGAGAGAGGAAGCGGTCCTGCTGAATCTCCACTCGTGTGAAATCCGTACTCTGGACGGGTCAAAAGATCTTTCCTCACTGACCTCTACGACACAGCTCTTATCCAGCTGGATTTCCCCTTTCTTGTCCTTTAGGTCCTCGCTAGCATAGTAAGCCATAGAGGAGGGCTTCAACACAAACCAGCGCTCGGTCCAGTTCCTCCGCACGTGCCCCTTCTTCCACATGTAACCCTGCCAAACCGGGAACAAGCTGAAGATTTAAAACCTCCCTGTGGAGGACAGAGATATTTCCAGAGAGGTTTCAGAAGGACCCACCCTCTTTAGGACGTTGTGATACATCTCCAGGAACACCTCGTTCAAAGCCAAGCTTAAAGCCTCAGTGCTGGTGACCCTCAGCAGTCGACCCGTTCTCATGTGCTCCAGAAAGCTCCATACTGACATTCCCTCCTCCAGCACAGTAGGATCCTGGGATATAAGGTCCTCCAATGGCTTTTCATCCCACTCCTGGCTCATTGCTGTGCAAAGTTTCTTCAGAAGATACTCTACCTAAAGAAATTATTAAAAAGTAGCACTAAAAGTGAGCAACACAAGTAAAACAGAGTATTTCTGTAACTTTCCAGGTGAGCATAGCTTAGCTGAATGTACTAATGAGGTTTATTTATATCTCCGCCTTACAGGAAACCCAGAGAGTCATGGAGGAAGTGCAGGAAGGAAGAGCCTCATTAGCTTTACTTTTCCTTCTAGCTTTGAAAAAAATGCAAACCCACCCACAGAAGCGGCTTTCATGTGCTGCAGCGTTGTGCCCAAACACCTAAAGAACATCTCTTTCAGTGCAAGCCTGAAAAGAACGTGCGTGTATGAACATCCACAGCACAATTTTAGATACATGCCGTTGATTAAACCTCCACCAGTCTACAAAATCAAACACTGCGTCTAAAAATGTGTCCTAAAAAGAGTAGGTTAATCCAAGCTTTGGCTCAAATTAGCCATCGTCCCTAAAGGCAACGTTTCAGATCTGACTGTGAACAATCACAACAAACTTATGACAGCTGGAGATCATGGAGCCACAAACTCCTTAAAAACCCATCTTTTTCTTGTAAGAATAGCATCATTTTTTAAAATAAACCCAGATTAGGTATGAGTCAAGGAGCTAAATAAACTCCCTTCCAGGTTCCTGTTCTGTGGTTTACCTCCTCGGTGATCATCACCAGTGGATAGCGATCCTCTGACAGGAGGTTGAATAGACAAAACAGCTTGAAGCAGTCTCTCTCGGACAGCAGCGAGCCCTGCAGAGACTTGTTGAAGTTCTTCTTCATGGTCATCATCCAGCACAAGTCATCAAACTTCTCTTTATCAAACATCCCCTCCTTTACCTGGAAGCACATGCAGAAGTGTTCAGGTGAACTGAATCGAAATGTTGAAATGTGCACGCGCGCGCACACACACACACACACACACACACACACACACACACTTAAAGCGAAATGAACATCATCGATGGGCAAATTTATAACAAAACCTCTATTTTTCACTTTTGTTTCTGTGGTTAAACATTTCCAATAATGTTACACACGTTTCTATTCTATAGCATTATTACTAAAGATATTATAGATGTGTCAGATTATAGAGTGTTGAGTGTAAGATGGAGTTTTAGGGCAACTGAAAAGACAAGAATCTAAAATGAGACAAAGAAGTGTTGAGAAAATTAAAAATATTATTTGTAGAATATGGCCAAAATCCTATTTCAAGAATAGCTGAAGACAGAGAGAAGTGTGGGAATATTAAAATAAGTTTCTGATGTTTTGAGCAGCATGTATATGTTCGAGACTCTTATTTTGAAGGATTGGAGGAAGTACTTTGAGTTCTGCTATGGATGCTGCTGTGAAAGTAGCCAAACAAGGGTGAAACCTCATATTCAATTTCTTTTTAAAGTTAAAGGTGCAGTATGTAAGAATATAGTAAGAATTTTACAGTGAGAAAATCCCAAAAGAGTCTGTTTCAGTCATTTTGGAAGGAAGGTTTTACCGAAACATATTTCATATTCAGCTGACTGCGGGGGATTGTCAGTTTTTCTCCTTTCCAAACAAAGGAAGGAGGGACATAACTACTGTTTACTATCAGTGAGTGTGGGGTGCCGTGTCTCCTGCGAGCTAATACTGCAGCACCAACAATTGCAATTTGAAAATGGGTGCCAAAAAGCTCCAGAGTTGTTTCAAGTGGTTGCAGTAACCAAATTTTACCAATGGACTTCATTTTTACTACATTTCTACATAATGCACCTTTAAACAAACCCAAAGCTCTGTGTTAGCTTAACTAAAAATAAACAAATTCAGTCGAGTTTACGATGGCATTCACTTCATTCAGCTGTTCTTGAAATTTAGACTTTTTCTCATAATAGTGCTCTTGAGTTTTCTGTGACTTTTAGACCTTATTCCAGGGTCCAGAGCTTCTTTTTTCCTCTCAGCGGCCCTAAAACGCCTCCATATGCAACTTCTAGAATATCATGAACACATGTAAGTCAGAACGTCACATTTCTGAAAGATTTTGCTCCAAAAGCTGTTTATGAGGCCTGTTGTAAACATTTTAGGCTGCTGTATTTACAAAGTATTTATGAATAACTGATCTACTTGTTGATTATGTCTTTTCTGCCATCATTTCCCATGAGCCTTAGAGAAAACAGGTCACCTTATTCAGGATGTATTTATTTAGGTAGGGCATGTATCCATGATTTGAAACCGGCCCATCGTCATCATCCTGGAAGTGCTCCTCCAGGGCCACAGGGTCGTGTGGGATGTTCAGCACTGTGTACAGGTTGTGAGAAAGCACCTGAGGACACACACACACACACACACACACACACACACACACACACACAAGCATGCATGGAGGTCAGCACTTCCTGTGGTCTCTAACTTCAGCACACTCCCATGTTTCCTCACACATCCACCAACAAGCTCAGGCAGCTTGTCCTCTAAGCAAGTCAGAACAGCTGCTTCCCAGATTCCTCAGAGTAAAGGAGGCGTGTGAGGACTGGACAAGGGCAGCTAACACACTGAGCTGGAGACAGAGGCCTGACTGATGAGGTGGTATTTTGTTTTCTGGGTCAGGACAAAAGGGTTGGACTTTGATCTCGAGATAGCAGAATAAACGTTTTCACGACTTTGACATTTAGGACTAGTGCAAATGTTGCAGCGGTTTTGATGAGCTCGCCCATAAAGCAAGGGAGGGAAAGAAGAACAAAAAATGGGACAACACCTGAGAAACTGTTTGGCTCTGCTGGAAAATTTCTCCTGCTTACCTTCAACTGCGACTTGGACACTTTCCCGCACCTCTCCACGTCCAGCGAGGTGAAAGCGTACCAGATGGACTTGAGAAGTTCGGATTTTAGGTCCATTTTGGAGACCGCTTTGTGCGCAAAAAAAAGCTACATTTCCGAGCGGAGCGCAGCGGCTTTTACGCAGCTGGAGCGCAAACACGGAGCTGCGCTGGAACCCCGCCGGGGCGGAGAGTAGAGGCAGCACACACCTTTTTCCTCCCCCCACAGCTACAAACACATTTCTCACGATTCAAATGATCTTTTAAAGTTGCAAGGACCAAATCAGGGTTTTAACTCTTTAAATCCACTGAAGTCACACCCATTTAGCCCCGGGTCATGTTTTACTGAACAGGAAAAGTTCAATCACGCCACAAATGGTCACTTTTACACAAATCTGACTTCAGTTCTGGACTTTAAAAAATGCCAACAACATTAAAGTGTGCTTTCACATTTTTAGTTTTACAAATATGTCTTTCTTAGCTTTATTTATGGAAAGGTAAATGCAGGCAAGCCAAAAAGTCCCTCTGGGTTTCTTTTCTCACTTCAGATGTTGCTCAGATGTTTCCAGTTTGTATTCCCTCTTTCCTATTCACACTCTCTCTTTCTTAACATTTTTTATCACAATTGTCTATTTCTTGCTATTTTAAATATTTTTTTAAACCATTTTCAAAATTATTTTTTATATTTTTCCATTTTTTGTTTCTGTGAAGCTCCTGGTGATTTTTATCTTGAGAGGCGCCATAGAAATGATATCTTCTTCTTATCTGGTGAAGAGGGGAGAATAAAATAGGTCAAAATGGGCGGTTGTGATCAAACAGAAAGCTGGAACACAATGTAGGCCAATCAATGGAATAATCAGATCACGAGAAATGGTTGAAGGCCACTTCCTGCTCACAAACAGAGCTCTAACATCAATCGGTGGGTTAAAATGTGAACATCTGGGTCTTTTTTTGTGTCATTTCACAGGGTCAGGCTGTATGTCCTTTTGCCTTCCTGGTCAGGTCTAATTACTGCTGTCTCAGGTCTAAGGTTTAATTAGGGGGTCATTCAGTCAGCCACATCTCAGAATTATCCGACCAGAGATCTCCACAATGATTGACTTTACCCCACAATGAGAATTTACAGCTCCAGTCAACACCTTCCCCATAAAACAAATATGCTGCCTGTACGTTTTAAAAGATGCAGCCAGGAGAGCAACATCCGGCATGTTTACATGTATTAAAACACATCAAAACACAAGTAACTATTTTATTCTGCATACACGTAGAGTACTAACGCTGAGTTCTGCTGTCTGCATATTAACACCGAGTGTTGCTGCTATTTATACATTTAATACTTTCAAGGGCAGCAGACCTTGACATTTCCATCCCTGGTGTCTAATCAATATGCTGTAATGAAGCAAAGATTTTTTTCGTTTATGCTCATCTATAGTTTACATTCTCAGTCATGCTGCTGATAATTTGAACAATACATCAAACATGGCATTTCTGAAAGCCAAATATACATTTGTGTTACATTTACAATGCGGTTATAGGAGCAGTGAGGAGGTCTAACTCAAATAAAATCAAGAGGGTGCATCTATAACATGAAGCTTAGTGCATAATTACAGAGTACAGGAAGTGTTTGTGTGAAATATGTTTACATTTCACTTAAAATGCATGAAACAAACAACAGCGAGCTCATCTGGTTACATACATTCATGTGGTTCTTGCTAATCATGCGATCATGCAAACACCAGTGTTGTGCTTTATAACATCTAGCAGGGATACATATGAAAACATGGTCTGACAAAGGTTTATATGTCTACACTGTAGCAAATCTATACACAGCACCAAACACCAGCAGCGACTCTAACAAAGCGCGTTTCTAGGATGATGTCCTCTTTGTTGAATGGAAAACTAAGTGATGCAAGCATCGGCCAGACTAAATGTTAGACGGGGAATGTTCTCGGTGAATGTTCCTGCAAATTCTGCCTCAGGAGGGTCCAGAAGGCTGGGATAAACCCATGTGATGCTGCACACATGCATACATCTGAAGGACTGGACTGTTTCAGAACTTCAGCTGGGGGTGGGGGGGGTGGGGGGGGGGGGGTATTCTGGTTCCATTGGCCCTGTAGAGGTTTGTGATTGACGCTTAGCAAGCCTGAAAAGCAGTTTTTAAACACATACAGTGTGACCGATGACTCAGAACTAGCTTAAGCATGGTTGCTAAAGCCCAACCAGATCTGTTGACTACCTCACAAGGCTGCTGTTGACCCCAGTGGACCAAAATGTCCAAAAACTGAGCCCAAATTGTCTCCAAATTTAAAAGATTTACCTGAATCTATAATCACGAAAGAACTAATTGTTGCCTCAGTCGGTCCAATTTCCACAACAGACTTCAATCGTTTCTTTTCTATATTTGCATGTTTGTTGTCTCTTCCTGAATCGCGTTTGTTGGAAGTCTTTTAGGATTGAGTTCAATGAGCCTCACAGAAAGGCTTCTCTCTTACAGTAAAACGATACAGACCCAATTCTTTACTTCTAAACACAGAAGTATTCAGATTATTTCAGTCAATAAATTGGTGGATCTGAAGAGCTAGGATTAATCCTCAATGTGCGACGACCCGTCCATGTTGTCTGGGAGTCAGTTTGTTGGCTAGAAGGCACGCCAGGGTGATGCCTCCGATCTGCATGAACGCCAAACCCAACACGGTGGCGGCGATGTGGAAGACGTTGTCGTTGACCAAGCTGAAGACCTTGCGGAAGCAGCCCCGTGGATGGATTCCAGCGTCAGTTGCTTCTTCGTTGTCGTCTGACAGAAGAGGACGATTCCTACAACCCTTACGCCTCACACAGCAGCTGTCTGGAAGAGAAACCGAAGTGCCGTTCTCAACTGGAAGTAGCATCATGTGCTGAAAAGCCCAGTCCGAAGTCAGCCAGTCACGCCAACCCTCGCCTCCGCAGCACTCCAAAGCCCTCTGCAGGCTGTCTAGAGCGTCGGCACGGCCTTCATCTTCCGTGTAGCCTGCCACGGCTCGCTGTAAGCCGCTACGAAACCCTCCGGCAATCTCTTCACGGTAGAAGAGGCCTGAGAGTCCAGCTGCCAAACCGGCTACAAGTGTGGCAAGTTGAAAGAACCCATAAGCCCTCAGAAGGCAGGGCAGGTTTGCAGCTACTCCGAGACACCCCAAGAAGCCCCAAGCAGTGACGGCAGCACCTGTGGACAGGAGGATGAGTGGAGCGTTGGGGTAACGATTAGCTGACAGCATCATGTAGTCCGCCAACGAGATCTGAGCCCATACGCCCAAGGTGAAGATCGCCAAACCAGCCGCCCAGAAGAGGCAGCTGAAGGCAAGGAGACCCAGACGCAGTAGGTGCATGACTCCCACTGGGCGACAGCAGGGTGGGGCAGCTCCTACCGGCGGAGGGGCAGGGGGCGCCAGGGAAGCCTCTGATCCCACAGACAAGGATAGACACTGCTGCTGCTGCTGGTGGAGCTGCTCTTCGTGCTCCTGGTAAGGAGGAAGCAGGTAGCCGGGGATGGCAGAGGGTCGGCGAGGTAGAGGAGTGAGCAGGTTCACCCCAAGCGGAGAGGAGAGTCTCCGCACAGCTAGCTGCTCACGCTCCCAGTCCAGAGCTCGCCTGGTAGGACTCGGCCGGGCTGACAGCGAGTCGTAAGACAGTGCAGAGTTCATGGTTTCGGTTCTGGCTTTATCTGCTCCCCTCTCCCTCATTTACACCCCCCCTTTGTCTTCCCACCTCTATCAGCGCCTTCACTCCCGTCCTCGTCCAGCTCGCACGCCTCCTTCCTCCTCTTTATGGATGGTTATTAATCCGCCAACTGGACAGTAAATCACAATAATGGCTCTGGCGCTGTTTGTTTATCTGCATCCACAGCTGTTCCATTTATCTGCGTATTTTGAATGTTTCTTCCACCTGCGTCGTCATCAGAGCTTCGAATTCTTCCGCTGATAGTTTCATCTTGACGTCTGTCGGCTCGCCACTGCCCCTCAATCCAGTCAGGTGATTGCAGATGGAGAATAAACCAATGGACACATTCTCTCTGTGTGGGGGAAGCAACCTTGTGAGATGTATCACTGCCCAGGCTGTTTCAGTATAAACGCTGCAGAGAATTAGACTCAAACGCATTTCCTTTAATTTGGTGCCTGAAAAGAAAACAGTAAAAATATTAATAATTCAAATCAAAGCAAGAGAAAATAAATATTTACTATCATGTATAATTAAATTGTTGTTTATTTTCAAAAGAAAGAATATGTCTGAATGTAGAAAAGCACCTGGTTTAAAAATAATGAATAGACTACATGTTGAACATTATCAGGTTTAAAGTACATCACTACAAGTACTCTGATTCTGAGATCTGAGTGGTGATGGTGGGCATACAAGTTAAGTGCCCACCCCCAGGAGGTGGCAGGTTTGAGCCCCATCTGTTGCAGTCATTGGGTCCTTAGCCAAGACACTTAACCCGCCTCACCTGCTGGTGGTCCGAAGTACTAGTGGCGTATGGCAGCTTCGCCTCTGTCAGTGTGCTCCAGGGCAGCTGTGGCTACAATGTAGCTCATACCCACCAGCGCGTGAATGGGTGAAGGACTGATTGTGTTGCGAAGCGCTAGCCTGGCCTGCCAGACGCGTCCTCTGTTTAATTCTGCACAGGTAACTCACAGGCAGAGAGGCACTTGAGGGGCGGGACTAGGAAGCTCAAAAATGACCAATCAGAAAAAAGAAGGAAATCCCGACTGTACCGCACGACGCGGTAGATTTCTGGTTGTTGAAAAAAAAAGAAAAGCGTCTGGCAACGGCACAAACATCTTTTCTTTTTTATAGAAGAAATGCTTTTAGCGCTTCTACTTGTGGTTTTAAAGACATCTGAGTCATTTAGAACAGAGGAAAGAGCCGCAGCAAACTCCGCCGCTGTCTTCGTTGTCTATGAGAAAGTGAGCGTCGCTGTGTGTGATGTCTGCGACGCTGTAGTTCTTTTAGCTGTAGTAAAAATGGAGTCTGGCGACAGCGCAAACATCTTTGTTTAGAAAAAAGGCTTTTAGCGCTTCTACTTGTTGTGGTTTTAAAGACATGTTCAAATCACTTAGAACAAAGGAAAGAGCTGCAGCAAACTCCACTTCAGTCACCATGTTCATGACAAACTCGGCGTTGTGGTGTGTGATGTACGATACTCAGCGCTGATTGGCACGGTTAGAATTCTCAGGGGGTGGGGTTATTTGAATAGAAGAGTTCCCAGACTCTTTCTCTGTGCAGAATTAAACAGAGGAGGAGTCTGGCAGGCCAGGCTAGTGAAGCGCCTTGGGGGGGCTGTAGAACCCTAAGAAGGCGCTACACAAAATACAGGTCATTTTTACCATTTAATAAGTACTTAATCATTATTGAGTCATATTTTGTGTTTGTCTGACTTAAAATATAACTGGTATAAAAAGAGAACTTGGTATAAGCCCTAATGCATATTATTTTATTATTCATTAACATTAAACCCCTCAATGTTTACTATAAGCTCCTGAATGTGTAGGGTAATATTGTGTTAAAGGTGCAGTGTGTAAGAATAAAGTAAGATTTCTTCATTGAAATTATCCCCAAAACAACCTAATGTCTCAGTCATGTTGGAAGGAAAGTTATACTGAAACATGTTTAATTTTCAGCCAGCTGAGGGGGTTAAAAGTTTCTCCTTTTAAAATAAAGGAACGAGCATTGCACGTAGCTACTGTTCACCATCAGTGAGTGTGACTTTGCCATGTCTCCTGCAAGCTAACGCTGCAGCGCCGACATTTGCAATTCGACTACAGATGGCTAAAAGATCCAGAGTTGTTTTAAGTTTAAAGTAACAGAGCGACCCAAAAGGTTAATCTTGTACCCCTAAAAAGCCACAACATCTTTTTGTTTTACGCTAACATAAATAAGCTATCGTCGAACTAACAATGCTAACGCTAAGTTAGAAGCATTTAATTGTCTGCTTTAAAAATATCTTGAGCTAATTTTTCAAATACTAACAACCCAATATTACAGTGAAATGCTTGTGTGAGGTGAATAATGAGTCAAATGTGGGATTTTACTTCCTTTAATGAGTCAATCAGAACTGTAACAGCAAGCTAACAGCAAGATGGTAAGCAACACTTCCTCTATGCTGGAGGCATATTACCGTAATAAGTGTAGTAAGTGCTCCCTACTAGAGGGGACCTGTCCTTTCAAAGCTGTAGCTCCCAGACTTTGGAATGCCCTGCCCTTGTTTCTTCGTGTGGGCGACTCTGTTGATTCTTTTAAAAAGCAGCTGAAGACACTTTTATTTAGATAAGCTTTTATGCAAGTTGACCTTGTGCTCCTGTCCTGTTTTGCCTTTTCATGTATGTTGTGAAGCACTTTGTGATTTTATCTGTGAAAAGTGCTATATAAATAAAGTTTTACTTACTTTTTACTTACTTACTCCCTACCGTTAAACACCCAAGAGTGCTAGCACCAGCTATGACAATGTATTTATTTATCATCTTACTGTGTCTGACTCGTGCTTGTCACCTTTAGAATCTTCTGACGCTGATCCATAACTGGCAACAGCCATCAAGCTCACAAAACAGGAGTGAGAGAGAGCTTGCTGTAACCAAATTTGACCACAGGATGTCACTTTACTTTATTTTTACACACTGCACCTTTAAGTCATTCTGGTTTCACCAAAATAAAAATAAATATATATAAATATCTTTACAACTGACTTTAATTTCCATATTCTCACTTCATCACGCTACCCTAACTCACTATGTTACTGGCATTCTTTACAGGCAGGAACACACTTAAAACACAAGACGAGCTAAAAATAGAAATCCAATTTCAGTTCAGTGAGCCTTCTCCAGTTTTATGACACGTTTATTGCACTGTTTGGTTCACTAGGCTACACAGATGCACGCTTGTCATCCACCAAAATGGGTAGGCTGGTTTTACGATGGTGATTCCTGCTTGGCGCCGGCTTTCCCCCAATCAGCTATCCACCAAGTCACAGATAATTAAAATCTCCCAGGTAATTAAACACATTCAATTACTGCTTCATTTTAATAAGAAAACCCAAATACTGACATAATGACAGATAGGGGATATGCAGACAAATGGTGGGTCTTGTATTTTTCTGTTCAATCACTATCTGTTTGTTTTTCCAAATTTACTGAGAATGAGAACAGATTGAATACAGTAGCTCATTAGAAATAAAGGAAGAGATTTGAAACGTCATTTCTGTTCATAAGTCAGAGGTATGAATGATAATAAAAAGGGTCAACATTAAAGTTTAAGTGTGAAAAGTCCACATATTCAATTTAGCTAATTAAACCTGTTCAAAGCCACTTACCTGGTAAAGTAATAGGAATGTGAGTGAGTGGGTTCTGATTGTCATAGCAGAGGAACAGTTGTATCTATCAAGCCAGTAAACTGAAAATTTAATGTCCAAATCAGTTTATTTCCGTGCATTTAGTAAGAATGGGAATATAATATGTTGTAGTGGCTGCATGCCCAGTCAGCTTTCCTTGGAAAGTTTGTACTGAAACAATGTTTTGTTGTTTCGGGATGCTGGTTCAATGACACAACAACCTGTTCATTCATAATAGTGTCCCATTTGTTTTTGTTCATTTATTTTTACCAGTGAGGCAGAATACCAAATCCTAACTAAAGCTATTAAACTTTTTGTGGCTCTTTGTGGGAAACTATGCTTTATTTTTAAAAATTGTGTTGCTTTTGGACCGATTTATATCCATGTGATGCTTTTTCTCAGCAAACAGAAACCTCAGTTTTGCATGACACCTTATGAATGTGAAGGGGCATTTACGCCCCCCAGCGGCAACAAGACAAAACTACCCACAAGATTTTGTCTGTGATGATGTTGAGGTTACCAAGATTATATTTGTAAAAATCACATTAATAAAATCCCAATAACACATAAACTCTGTAAGAGCCACAACGCTGTATGTCTGTATAAAGTTTGTAATTATTCACTTTTAATTGTTTGCACGCGGGTAGCAGTTGGGAGGGGCCGTAGCTCGTCTAGGACACAGGAAATGAGGTCCTTGTGAAAAGATGTTGGGAACAATCCAGCCTTCTAATGCAGGTGAAGCTAAATAAATTCCTAATTGTTGTCCTCTTGGGAGCATTAATAATGAGGAAGAGCAGATGCAACTACATTTTTAAAGTTACTATAGATATTTAGAAGAAACACTTCTTGGTAATTCTTTCAAAATAAAAGTCTACGGTATTTGTGGTGTCTTTTTCTCTTATTTAGCTAAAAATGTAATTAAAACCATGTTTGTGCAACAGTGTTACTTGCAGCATTTGTTAGAGCTTTGTGGTTCAATACCCACAGTAAAAGGCCAAAAATGCAGTAATGCAAAAGGAGGCTCACTTTTAGTGACTCGTGTACTGTTTTGCACCAGAAGAGGGGATCTAATTCTTAAGATTGTACTCTAGTAGCTTTACTGTAATAAATGAATAAGTAAACAGAAAAACTCCAGCAAAAGTAAAGATAAAACTGGTAAAAAGGCAACTCAAAACTAAATGTTTGATCATAACAGCTGATTTATTTTGTTAAAACCTAAGCAGATGACGTTAAATGCTAATAAATTAATTTTAAGATTAAAAATGAAGGTAGAAGAAAACACATTACTCTGCAAATGTAATCAGATTAAAAAAAGGAACTAAACATACATGGAGTGAAACTGTTTTGTTAAAATTTTACGTGTCTAGTTGCTAAAAACAGTCAAAGTAATAACATAGTTAGATGTGAAGTTTTAGGAATCGATTTTCCATCATGATTTACTCAAAGGTCAGAGGTCATTTCTGTTAATTCATCACCTAATCACATTTGATAAATCCCAATCAAATAAATACAAATTCAAACTGAACTACACGACTCGCTGGAGTTCGCCGTCGGTGCAGCCTCTGCTCCATCGCGTGTCTCCATGTGTTCCTTCAGCTTGGCCGTGGAGGCGAACGTTTTCCCGGACGGCTCACGGGACAGCGTCACCCTCTTCGATCCGGAATGGCTGCGTTTGTGGCGCGCCAGCTCCGACGAGCTCCTAAACCGCAGCTCACACACGCTGCAGTGGTACGGCCTCTCCCCCGTGTGGATTCTCTGGTGAAGCCGGGCCTCGCTGAGGGTGAGGAAGGACTTCTCGCAGTGTCCACATGGGAACGGTCTCTCTCCTGTGTGCACGAGGTTGTGTCTGGTCAGAGCGTAGGGCTTGGTGAAGCACTTCCCGCAGACGGTGCACGGGTACGGTCGGGTGCCCGAGTGAGACACGGTGTGTTGCTGCTGGGATGTTTTGCTTTTGAAACGTTTGTCGCACTGAGGACAGGCGTACGGCCGCTCGTCCATGTGGGACCTGTGGTGTTTTAAAAGCTCCCCCTGCGACAGAAACCCCTTCCCACATTGAGAACAGAGGAACGGCTTCTCTCCCGTGTGCATCCGTTCATGCCTGGCCAACACGGACACCAGCGTGAACCTCTTGGAGCAGTGGGAGCACTGGAATGGCCGCTCGCCCGTGTGAACACGAAGGTGTTTCGTGAGCATAAAGCGGACTGGGAAGCGTTTGCTACACTGGGTACACTGGTAGGGTCTCTCCCCCGTGTGAACGGCCAGGTGTCTTTTGACATCAGATCTGCGAGTGTACGTCTTCTCACAGTGAGGACATTTAAACTGCCGCATCACCCGATGCACCCGTCTGTGCTGAGAACGTGCGAGAAGGGAATCAAAGCCTTCGCCGCACTGCTCGCAGAGGTAGCGTTTGCTGGTGGTGTGCGTCTTCCTGTGCTCCAGCAGCTCCGAGGCGGTGGGAGAACTCTGACTACAGATGGAGCAGATCTGAGGGAGCCGACTCTCCTGCGAGTGGCTCTTCCTGTGATGGATGGTCAGTGCTCGCAGCTTGGGAAAAGAGCTGCCACACAGCTGGCAGGAGAAGGAAATGGCCACGCCGCGATGTTTACTCTCGTGCTTTGACAGATCCCAGGAATGCTGAAAGGTTCGGTCACACTGCGAGCAATGAAACGGTCTCTCCCCGGTGTGCGTGAGCTGGTGTCTTCTGACATCCGACGTCCGAGTGAACACCCTACCGCACGTTTTACAGGTGAGCGATTTCTGCCTGCTGTGAGTCTGAGAGTCGTGATCCTGTTCTACTTTGTCCTGCTCCGTGTTCCCTTTAGGGAAAAGTTTGATCGACGTGAAGATTTCATCAGAGCTCGAGGGGGACGGCGTAAACGTGCCGCCTGAGAAACTTCGGTACTCTTCCATGCCGACGTTTTGCATGTGGAAGTGGGGGGGGCTGTTCTCCGACGAGTTGTGGAAGGGGCACTGGGAGCAGGTGAAGATGATGGAGATCATTTCATCGGAATCACCTGCAAATAAAGGATTTCAATTAGCCAAATCAGTGATTTGGAGTTTAAAAGACGAACATGGTGTCTCATCACCTTTCTCTGTCCCTTCGATGGCGATCACAGACGGAGCCACGGGCACATCGGCTGGATTCCTGGTGAAATAAAATCTCACGGTTACAACTGTAGAAATGCTTTGTCGGATTTCAGAGGGAATGCTATCGGGGGTTTTGATAAACCAAAGTGACAGTAGGAATATTTTTGTACATTTTTGATTCCTCGTTGCTCTCTCTCGATGGCGTTGTGACGTTCCACATCTCCTGACAACTTTGCGACGTATTATTTTGTAGACGTGTGGATCTGCTAACATCAGACTTCTGAGTTTCACACTCAGATTCCCAGTTTTCCTTCAGGTTGGTGTTTATTTTTGAGGCGTCTGGTCGGACCTTTTGCACCACCTCTGCATCAGTTTGTCTTGTCTCAGGAATTTCATTCATCCCCCCTCCTTCTGCTGCACCTCCTGGACCGAGCTCCTCACTATGAGGTGGTTGGGAACTCTGTCCTGTCAGTGCATCTTGACCCAGTCTCTCCTTTCTTAATGAAAAGGTTTTCGTTAATGTTTCCAAAGCCTTTGCAACACCCGCCGTTTCGCTCATCTCTGCAGCCTTAGAGCCAATGGCATCTTCTCCAGCGGTGTTTTCCACACTTAGAGCCATGATCTCCTCCTCATAATATTCTGTCTGAACTTGAACCTCCGCTTCGTCCACCTCTGACGCACTGATCTTCATGTCAGCGCAGTAGGCCACAACACCGAAGTGACCCGCCCCACCGAGAGTGACAGGAGTTAACGCATTAGCATAGTTATGGATTAAATCTTGCTCAATGGCTATGTTTGTCTTTTGTGAGGGCGGAACTGATAGAGCAGACATGATGCAGCTCCCAATGCTGCAAGATGGTCCATCTGTGAAACAAAGGCATGATCAAAGTTCTCAATATGTTTTTTAGGGGAAAAATCATTACTTTTAAAAAAACTTTATTGTTTCAGGTTAACTTACGCATCATTTTCAGCAGTCCTAAGCTGTTGTAGTGCTTAAACACAGAGCTCAGCTCCTCGGGAGATGGCTGAACACATTCCTCCAAAACAGAAGGAGCAGAAGAAAGCCAGGCAGTAGTCTGCAATCAAAACCAAACTCAGCTAAAGTTCCTAAAAGTTTCAAACATGTAAAATATCCTGAATATAACAAACCTGTTTAAGGTCCGGTACTGGGAGCAGCATTTCCAGCTTTGACAGCAACTCCCACAATAACACTTGCAGTGCTGAATCATATTGTGGCCCGTATTCAACAGGAAACACCTCCTGTAGCACCGAAAATGGTCTTTTAAACTCTGAAGTTCAGTCAGATAAGTTTGTTTTAAAAAGTTGCCTCACCTGAAAAAAATATGCTCTTTCAGCCGGATCTTTGAGCAAGCTCTGAACAAGTGCAATAAAAGTGCACTCGGTTGTTCTCACCTCTGTGTCCACAGTCTGCAAAAAAAATCATATCATATCACTCAGAGAGCGCTCTTCAAGAAAACATTGACATTTGCATCAAGTATCATTAGTTTACATACGTCTGTGGTTGCAGAGGTAACTGGGAATCCCTCCAAGTAGGTCTGGATCACATCAGAATCAACATCGTGTCGAGCAGAACCCTTGCACAACTCCAAAATCAACTGAAATATCATCAAAATATGTTAATGCACGACTGAGACACCAAAACAAGAACATTTGCATGTGAAACAAAACACCATTCACCCTGGCCTTTAATCCGAGAAGGAGATGCGCTCTCTGTCTGTGGTTGATCAAACCAGGAACTGCTTCTGTCAGCATGGACACAAACTCCTGCAGCTTCCCATAGTTCATCACATCTTTCCCCTTCATCAGATTCCACATAGCAGCAGACAGAAGATGCAAGGGAGGCACCAGGAGGCGAAAGGAGGGCAAAGGGAAGTTTGGGTCTGAAACATTAATGTGTAAAGTCAGAAATGACCGATGGAGGGCAGTAACACACCCCCTAATTCAGAGAGCATTCAGAGTACTTGCAGGAAACAGCAGGTGGATAAAATTTTTACGATGTGATTTTGCAAAGTTCTCACATTTTACACATAACTGAAACAGTTATTGGCTTCATACAGATAATTAAAAACAATCAAGCAATAAAACAATCACGTGATCTGTTACATTGTTGTCTGTCATTTGCTTGCTTGCTTGCTAAAGTCACTGAGACCAGTCAGTGACTGGATGCAGTTTGCTGGGTTCCTTATATAGGAAACTTTTTTTCCTGATTGGCTTAATGAACTGACCTGTATTGGAATGTTAACTATGTGAAGTGCCTCGAGACGACTCTTGTCGTGATTTGGCGCTATATAAATAAACTTGAATTGAATTTGAGCTACAGGCTTTTGAACTGGAGAAAATCCTGGACAGATCTTTAACATTTTAGATACACAATCTGGAAAATGTCCACAGATGTTACTCAAAAGCTTCGCAACTTAGTTAAAACAATATATCGCGTAAGAGTGTCTGTACATTTAACAGCAAGCTAACTTCCACTGCGCAACAACAACAGTCTGCCAAATAATGAACATTGTGGTTCCTTTAAATAGACAGGGCCCACTGATAGTAAAACAAACACGTCTCCAGAAAATATCAGAAAGGCAAACTGGTAACATACATACCCTCCATTTTTTCTTTTGATTCCACAACTTCCATTAAAGCATCCCACCAAGTGAATTTGAGGAATCTGTGTATATTTGTGTTGTTTGTTTTGGTGGCTAATGCGCTATTAGAGCGCAAGCATCGCTTCCTCAAGTATTCACTCAAGTTTCCGCTTTTCAAAATAAATGTCTGAAAGACTGTGTGTGTGTGTGTGTGTGTGTGTGTGTGTGTGTGTGTGTGTGTGTGTGTTTTGGTGTTTTCTAATGAATCTCAGAATTGCTATTTTTTTCAAGTTCTTTTTTCCTTCAAAGCCAATGACTGTAGATAAAGAAAAAGTTTAGAAAATTTCGACAGCTTGAAATATAAAAGTGTGAATTCGAGTGCGTTGATGCCTCTTCAAAATAAAAGTTCGCCATTTCCTTTTCCTAGAGTGACGTAATCACGTAGCCAGTCACGCTGCTTAGTGTCACGTGAAGCCTTCAACGGCGTAAATGTTTTGTTTCATGTCATTTTTTTCTTTCAAATTTCGTGCCATTAGACCTGAAACCACATTCCTATTCACAGGAAGTGTAAAACGCTAACATGGACGAGGACGGCCTGCCGTTAGTCGGGTCAGGAGTCGATCTTACGAAGGTTTGTGTTTCTAACTGGCTAGCTAACACTGAAAACCTGAGAACCCAAAGCTATGTTTGTGCTTTTTAACAAAATATATCATCACTAATGCAGAGAAAACTGTGGCCTTTTTCTAACTAATTTCACCTACTTGTAGCTGTTTGCCTTGCCATTTTCCTTTTGGTTTGTTCTAAAGAAGTATCAAAAGAGGAAAGAACGTTTTCTCTCCGAACACTGATGTTCTATTTGAATACATCGTTCATTAGATTCTGTGACCGGTGTTGTGCCGAAAAGAGCTTGTCTGCCAATATGTACAACATGAGCTGCATCCTTCCGTACAAAATGATGGTTTATGAGCAAATAAGAAAAATAAATTACTGTTTATAACATGTTTTATTTTAAGTAATATAATGCACATATAAAAGGTTAGTCATTTTGAGTCTGCTTTTTTAAACCAACAAAATTGTTTAAGCAAGCACAAGATACGCTAAAACCAGTGTCAAACGTGTTGAAAAAGGTCAATTATTAAATCATTATTTCATCATATTTGTAGTCAAAATCAAAATCTTTTCAGGAGAAACACGGATTAGAAACGTGTTCAAATTCTGAATTGCTCATAATTCAAATTCTTCCTCAATTTGCGTCTTTCCACGGGGATACACATTTCGGTAGGCATGCTCTTTTCGGCACAACACCTGATATACAGTAGTTTGTTATTCCAAATGTTTTTCCTCCACACCGATTTGCATCCATTATATGTAAAGTCAGACATGTGGGTAGAGTAGCCAGAGATTATACTCAAATAAGAGTAGCATTACTTTCATATATGTTTACTTGAGTAGTTAAAAAAAAGTACAAAAACTGTGTTTGCAAAAAAGCTGCTCAAATAATGAGTAATCATAACAGCTCCTTTAATTTATAAAATCCATTCAAACAGATAATAGTATAATGTTATATGATAAATTATATAATGTAAAGACTTAATTAAAATGTTGCATTTCTTTTTCCTAAAAATACTCAAGTAAATATAATTAGTAACTACCCAACACAGAAAATCAGATTTGATAGTTTTCATCATTCTTTTTGCCATTAGCATTTTGTTTGATGCAAGACTTTAAAGGTAGAACTCAGCTGCTTTTAAAATTCTCTCAAATACTTAAAACTTTGCAATAATCCACAGGTTACTGTATGTTATTGTGTTGTTTAAATAACACTGCTAACACATGACCCTGGTCTGTTTATGTAAATGTTGTTATTCTCCCTGGTGTTAATTGTTGTTTTGTACTGCTTTGTGTTTCAATAAAGATTTACAAAAAACATTTTAACAGCAGCAGTAGTTAAAAGTCATTTTAGAATCCCCTCAATATTATTTAAAGCCATAACATTCAAAAATCAATTATACTAGAGGTTTATGTTTAGTAAAATAAACTATAGTAACACTTGGTAAGTTTTTAATTATACTGCTTTTATCTTTTCTCAGGTTCCTGCAATACAGCAGAGACGAATCGTTGGATTTCTCAACCAGTTTGTTGTGCACACCGTACGATTTCTTAACCAGTTTTCCACCGTGTGTGAAGAGGTTTGTGTTTGTTTGTTTGTTTTTTACTCCTTAATGCTTCTTCTGCCTCAGAATATGAACTCAAATTATGTATTTATTTTTTATTTTTTACTTCTCTTCACAGAAACTTGCAAACATTTCTCTTCGCATACAGCAGATTGAAACCACACTCAGCATTTTAGAGGCTAAGGTAACTTGTGAGACCTTGATACCGTTTCTGGATGTTGTCTTTTCACTTATGCAGTGACATTGTTCTGAGCAGCTGTCCTCTATTCCTGGACTGGAGGACGTCACAGTAGAGGGCCTCAACCAACAGCAAGCCTCCCACACTAAAGGACCCAGTACTATCGGTCAGAACCTAACTAACGGTGTAGCAGCAGGACCACCTTCTTCCTCAGAGGTAGGAGTTCAGACTCACCTGCAACAGACATGCAGGTTCAATCGGCCACGATGAATGCCAAAACAGTCTTTGTGTCTTTTTTCTTGTTTGGGAGTCTGTGATGCCAAAAATCGGCAGTTGAACTTTTCTTTTTAAGTCGGAATTTAGATTGTCATCAGCTCTTTGGTCGATGCAACAAGTAGAAACCTGCCGTCAACGCAACTGTTGTTTTGTTTTCTTTTGGAGTTTACGTACAAAAAAGGCTCAACATTCCCCTCCTGTTGTAAAGGATAGATTTTTAGTTTTGAGAACCTTCAAAGAAGTATGTTTGTTACTGGCTGCTTTGTTTGCATAGTGATCGGATTGGATTTTGATTGTCCTCCTCACACTCTGAAAGGATTGTAAAATCCTATCCAGAAGTGTGACGTTACATATTTACAGTGAGAAAGGTGGAAAACCTTCAGGGCAGATTTCCTGAGTCTGCAGCACAGAGTTCAGGCCGAGGTCAGTAAACAAGCCATCACTTTTGGTTAAAACAGTGCACCAGGTCAGCTCAAACACCTCCTGTCCTCTGTAAAGCACGGTGGCAGGGGGCTGATGATTTGGGCTTATTTCTGCAGTGACTGAGTCAAACATGAACTCCTCTTTACACCAAAGTGGTCAGACTTAAACTGAAGTATAGATTGGGTCTCGCTGATTAATTCCCATCGTTACTGTGCAAACAAGACAGGCTTGCGCCATTTGTGATGAGATGTATGTCATGTTTGCACAATGACGCTGCACGTTATTCAGCGATCCACTGTCCACGTCCATTTTGGAAGTATTTTTAGCTGTGAGACACCTGATCATAGAAGATAAGATAAGATAAGAACAACTTTATTTATCCCGAGGGAAATTCTTGTGTCATGTACATGCTCAAAGCAGTCGGAGAGACAAAGGAACGGGTGAAATAGAAATATGATATACAATATATACATTAAAAAAATGATCTACAGTAGTACCATGTAGGATAGTGCAAAACAAACAATCGCATATCTCAATAATTAAATACATGACTGCATCCTTGTGAATAAGTAATTAAGCCGTCGGTGCAGGCGATTCACAAAAGTGATTAAAGTATCGTGTAATAGAATATGGCAGGGATTCCCAAAGTGTGGTGCGCGCACCCCTGGGGGTGTGCGAGCTGCCGCTAGGGGGTGCGCGAGGTGAAAAGTGTAATGGCTGCGGAGCTCAGAGAAGTCTGTCATATGTCACCATTAGCGTAGAAACTCATTTGTGGGTGGGCCAAAGAAAAAGTAAGTGGGCCCAATAAATGTAAGTGAAAACAAGTATATTTTTGCGCGCGTGTGTGTCCTCCACATGTGTTCTAGCTTCATAATAACAATACGCCGAGCTTCAGCACTCTGGCCTGCGCACGCCGATATGTTCTGTATTTGATCATTTTTAACGGTGTTGAAGGAATCTGAAGGTGGTGAGTCATTCTGGCAGATTGTAATTAACACCTGTCTCATGCAGGTGTTCTGACGTTGTAAACCTCACACACAGAACATCGTGGATGTAACTTAATAACAAGAAATGATTCCCATCCAGGCTATTAACAGCGCGCTGAAGATCTGAAGTTCAGAGTGCATCTGTCAGAGGTCAGACGTGTTCCGGCTGAACTACGGCTCACAGGTGCACAAGTGAGCACATCTGGGCTGGGCAGAAGTAATTTTACAACATTGGTTTTAATAGCGCGAGACGCGATGACTTGAGCGGCTGTGCCGCGCGCGCACACACACACACAGATTCAATAAGCGCACACGCTGCTTTAACTCCGGCGCGCTGTCAGACTGAAGGCAGAAATGAACGCTGCCTCCACCGTGATAAAAACTTTTAAGAGGTTATTTTTCATTCAAGGTCAAATTAAGATATTAGCTTCTGGGATGAGTCGGGTCCGCTCCAGCCAGTGACTCCTCATGAACCTGACCACAAGTCCACTGCAGCATTTGTTATTCCGGTCCGCATGACAGCTGATCGCAGATTCAGCCACACCATAAAACAGCAATAAGTCGGTCTGAGGCAAAAGTGAACATCATGGCTATATCTTGTCCCCTATTGACATTTGATTACGCACAAGTAGGTGATCCGTTCAGGTTTACGCAGAGCAGAGGGAAGGAGAGCGCTCTGGCCGCACAGGTTAAACGTTCCTACTTTAAGAAAACCGTTAAATTGCATTCTTTATGTGCTACCTGGGCACATAAAGGAAATTGTAATGGTATCAAATGTTTATTAATCACTATTTAAAAAATGAAAGTGATGGGGAATTTTTTTAAACCCTTTCTGTTTAGCTTGACATCTGATATATATATATATATATAGAGAGAGAGAGCCATGCCCCGATGTGGGGGTTGGGGGGGGGGGGGGGGGGGGGTGTCGACATGGTCGGGACATAGAAGGGGGTGCGCGGCTAAATAAGTTTGGGAACCACTGGAATATGGGTTTGTAGCAGCATGTGATATGATGGGGGGATAAAAACATATTTACAATCAGAACTCTGGTAATATTGCACAGTCGGTGAGGGCACAGAGTAACCTAGGTAACAGCATTAGGAGAGTCACCTACAGGGTGAGGAAGAGTTAAACAGTCCTATTTTGCACCGGTACGAAGGATTTCCTGTGGCGGTCAGTTCTGCATTTCGGGGCAATGAGTCTTTTGCTGCGTGTGCTTCGATGGTCCATCATGTGGGCGTGCATGGGGTGGGAGGGGTTGTCCATGATAGAGAGAAGCTTTTTTAGCATTCTCCTCTCAGACACCTCCTCCAGGTTCTCCAGTCTAACACCCAGGACAGAACCAGCCCTTCTAATCAGCTTGTTCAGCCGGTTGGCATCAGCTGTCTTCACCCCACTGCCCCAGCACACAGCTGCAAAGAACACAACGCTCTCCAACACCGAGTGATAGAACATGGTCAGCATTTTCCTCCCAACATTGAAGGACCTGAGCCGCCTCAGAAGAAAAAGCCGACTCTGCCCTTTTTTGAAGATAGCATTGGTGTTCTTAGACCAGTCCAGTTTACAGTCCAAGTGTACACCCAGGTACCGGTAGTCCTCAACGATCTCAACGTCAGCCCCTCTGATGGTGACAGGAGTAGGAGGTGGGGCCTGCTTCCTAAAGTCCATAATCAGTTCCTTAGTCTTTGTGATGTTAAGTTGTAGGTTGTTTAGCTCACACCACTCCACAAAGCTGTCCACCACACTCCTGTACTCCACCTCCTGACCATCCCTGATACAGCCCACAATGGCAGAGTCATCATAGAAGTGCCCTCTAGACTCAAATCTGTCTGACTTTCTGGTTGAATATGACCCAGAAATAAATGTATGGTAATGTGTTTGTTTCTAAATGTGCTTGGTAACAGTCTCTGGCCTCTCCCACAGCCTCAGCATGATTATTTGCATTTTTAATCTTGCAGCCTGCTCAGAGTTTGCCAGAAGCTGCACCTGCACAAAAAGCAGAAGTGGCTGCAGAGAACGTCATGACTGTGGCTAAGGACCCAAGTTATGCCCGTTACCTAAAAATGGTTCAAGTGGTAAGTTGTTTAACCAAGAGAAGAAGAATTTAGTTTTGTACATTTACTACATGTCTTATACGTTTTAGGGGGTACCAGAAATGGCCATTAAGAATAAAATGATCATGGAGGGTTTGGATCCCAATCTGCTCCAGTGAGTTTTACTCTCATCACTATTTGTTGTCTTGTTGCCAACTCTTGTTTCACGTAACCAACCTTTCCTTGTTTGCTGACAACAGCACGCCTGACGCTCCTGTTCCTGATGGTGCAACAAGGACCACAGGCGATGGAGATGCCGCTGCCACCAGCTCTGACAGCGAATCATCATTCAGCGACTGAAATCTTCTCCGCTAAGCTCTAAAAGTTCCTCCACCACCACGAGTGCTGCTCCGAGCCTGCTGCGTGTTGCAGAGGCTGCGTCGTGCCCGAGAGCCACGTGAAGAGTAAATGGGCTGAAATGGTTCTGCTGGTGGTCACTGGGATGTTCACGGGAAGGAAGCCCTTTTTGCAGACTTGATTGTATTATACTAAAAATGTAATGTTTTTGCGTTGACATCAAGCATCGCCGTAACATGTTATTAGATAATTTTATTTGTAAAGTAAATCTGCTTTGTGCTTCTTGGCTGTTTCGTGTATTTTCGTAAACAAGGCGTTAGTGTTCACACTAAACCCGCCGTCACGCAGACGACTGATCTGGGCACAAATGTCAACTGAGAGGTTTTCGTCTCAGTTGTGTTGTCAAAACGAAAGATTCTGTAATTAAATCTGACAGAAAACTCCAGAAGATGTAGAAAAAATATTGGAATGTTTAATCAGTTTGGAAAGCACTTTGTTTAAGAGAACTGTTTCAGGTTTATTTTTTCACGCTAATAAAGACACACAACTTGATATTAAATATGTCATTTATTATTCTGATCAGTTGTGTAAAAAGGATCTCACAGTACCTCATGTCACAAACAATAATACTAAACAGTTTTTCTTGTAGTTACAGTAAAAAATGTATTAGCAAAAAACATAATACAGAACACTGGTATAAAGTTGTTTATATTTTATTTGTTAAAATCAATTAAGCACAAAAAGGCAACCGTATAGCTAGACCTGAGTAAATTTATTATTAAACATTTTAAGCTGTTTTATCACCAAACAGTACTTGAGAAATACTTTGTTTGTCGATAGAAATCTTTAAATCAGCACCAAAGAGTAAAAATTCCCACCAGGAGAGTGAGGAAGCAGATGTGTGCCTTCTGTAGGAACATTTCTGATTTGAGGAGCTGAAGATGCATTTAAAAAAACGTTCTTTCACTTTTAGTTTTCTGCTGCCATTTACATTTGATTGAGCCTTAAAACTTAATAAAAATTTAGACATTTGTAGCACCACAGAGCTTTTTCCCACCGAGTTGCATCGGTTGGACAGATGACTTGGACTTGGGGGAGAAAAAGTCTCGTTTTTGAAGGTGTGGAACACTTCACAATCAATACATGTGCAGTGGTTTCTAGTCGTACTCGGGAGAAAAACAGAAGCAACATTTCCAGGAACTAAAAGTGAGCCACATCACAGCCGAGCTTCAGACGGCAGGTCTTATTTCCTGATATTTGGACATCTCGCCACAGATTGGCTAACAGCAACACAACTCTACCGCTGACTTGAAACGTTGCTGTTTTATCTCCACAGATAACACAAGCCTGAAGGAGTTCTGCTGTGTGGTGGAGTTGCTAATTCTAATGGTTAGCTTCTCCTAGCAGAGATGTTCTCTGTGGTTTTCGAGATGCTAAACCAACAACAGCCGATTATATTCAGAAATAATCATAAAAATATGTTTTTTCAGTGTTCCACACCTTCAATTTAGTTTAATATATTTGTATTTCATACTTTATATCCTACACAAAACTTTGGTTCATGTGGTTTTAAGTGTGAAGCAAAAATAAACTTTGACTTGACAATACTTGGCACCTTCTTGTCTCGTCTGAGTAATTATCACCTGACATAAAAGATCATAAAAATCATCTGACAGTTGGTACAGTCCTCAAACAGCTATGTTGCTTTGAGTTTCTATGAATCCCCCAATGAAGAGAACATTTTAAAGCTTTTAAACTAAACATCACAATTGACAACCACAACCCACTTTATGGAAGTAGACAACTTCCCCTATATGGAAGTAGACAACTTCCCCTAGATGTGAAACATTAAGCTTTGTGATCTCAGCTTTATGGCAGGAGATCCGAAGCATCTTTATTACCCCAAAGCACATAAAACAAAGCTCTGATTCCCATAAAATTCTCACTGAAACGGCACTAAAATAGAATAGCACATGTAAGCATATACCCTTCAGTATGCACACAGACAATACAGAATATCCAAATTTTGTTTTCAGTATCAAAAGAAAGTTCTGAAAAAATTAGGCAACACTTTACAATAAGGGTCCTTTTATTATTAATTAATCATTTCCACCATTATTAGGTGTCCTTAAAGGGACTTTACGGAATTTTGAATTTTTATGCTCGCGATTGCCCCCTCAGGCCAAAAGCGTAACGGCAGCTTCAATAGTAGGCTCGTGCACGAGGCGCGCATGCTGTACGTGCACACTCCTTAACGAAAATAACAGCTGAGACAGTCCCTTATGTATGTGTGTGTGTGTGTGTGTGTGTGTGTGTGTGTGTGTGTGTGTGGCCCGGACGACAGAGGATAGGAGAACATGTAGCTAATTAATTAAATAATTTGGTTCTGTACCTTTCTCTTCAGCACAGCCGACAAAGGTTTATGATGGGTCAGTCCTGCATGCTCAGATCATTCCCTTCCCTTGCTTGAAAACTTGTTCCAAAATGAACGTTGAACCCACATTTTTTTTATCTGTGAATTCAATGCCGTTCGGCGAGTCTCAAATAAAAATTTGGGCATCTTATTACTGTAAAAAAAAAATACCATTAATGTAAAAAAAGACTCTAAATAAACTATGTTCACATCCAGAATCAAACCCAGGACTCCTGCACGAGAGTCCGACGTCGTACTAGGTGAGCTAAAGCGCCAGTAACATTTGATCCATCTGTAACTTTTATATCCTTGATGACAGCTGAAACAACGTCAAACCAAAGAACGGTTCGGAGCGAAAATGGCTATTTTTTTGCTAATTTGCAGGAAATATCTAGAAGAAAGTTCTACAGAAAGTAGCTAAGGGTCCTCAGAAATGTAGCTAGGTTCATCACTAGGCGTTAGGAACAGCGAAAAAGAATAAAGCTACGGATAGCAAATGCTACGGGCTATGCCTGAGCGTGAACGAGCATGAAGCAGCCTGCTCGACCCGAGCAGCTCTCTTTTTCTGTGATTTTACAGAAAAACAGGCAATCACAGTAAAAATGCCAGGGCTCATTCTACAGGACCAGGGCATTGCAGGAGAATGTATGAAGAAGAAATTTATTATTTCTATACATGTTTTGGCTCTCAAACTTCCATAATGCCCCTTTAAGGATAGGACAAAGGGTCAGGGGGTGTCTGCTTAGTAATGCGTTACATAATATGTTAAACAGTTGTTAATACTTTATTTAATGGTTTATTCATTCTTAATAATGCAATAAGTAATGTAAATAAAGGGACCCTTATTGTAAAGTGTTAAAAAATACAAAAAAAAAGGCAGCAAAAATTTCTGTCTTATAAGTACCTAATGTAAAAATACTTCCTGCTTCTAACAAAGGGCTTTCCCTGTTTTCCCTCGTGCACTGAGATCATGTGTTTACTGGATGATGGATGAACTTTTTACTGGTCACAGGTCTCAGAGGAAGTGCCACACTGATGTGGCAACCGCTGATCAAAGTGCAAAGTGATGTGGCATAAAAAACTCCACAAAATCGCCAGAAATACTGAAAGTCCTCTTTTGCTGGTGAATGTTCACAACTACCATTCACACTCTGTTCTCACTCGCATGGTAAACAACTGTAGGAAATAGGGAGGAAAGACTTTTTGGAAAGCATATAAAAGGAAACAAATAGCACTTTAATTTAGGAGAACTGATACTCACTTTGAAATCGTCGATATATGTGTAAAAATAGAAGACAAAGCTGAAGGCAACAATCCACTCAGAGATGGAGCTAGCCAAGTGGGAGCTGTAGCTCTGAATACATTCAGGAAATAAACAAGATTAGTAAAGTTAAATTATGATTGGCTACATGTGAAAAATCGTGGAAAATCAGAAATCTGAATCAGAAAATGATCTGTTGTCCTGTTAAACTCTGAGGAATTTGCTAAGTGTTGCGCTCAGCCAACATGCTAACTAAAATTACAAAAGCAATCTAGCCACATCACCTTTCTCTTAGAAGGCTGTATGTGTAGAACTGGTTTAACAAGAAATCGACACCATTGCAGTAAACAGTAAATATTTTTTATAGGCTGGTGAATGGAGGCGGAGTTGGACAGAAGTGTTGTGAAATCTTGCAGGAGTGACCAACAGCTGGTGGGTGGTAATGATCAGAAAAGCAGCGAGAGTAGTCTAAAAATATTCCCTCTGTTTGATTTATTTTTCCACCATGTGACTCATGAAATTCTAATTTGAAACAGAGTATACAATAAAATACAATAAGTAAAACCCTTTTTTTTAAACATCTTTGGTGTGTTCTTGCTGTGTTTAGTTTCAAATTCCATCTTTCGGTTCTTTTTAAAACACATAAAGGTTTTAATTACCTGCAACGTTTCATTTGCGGCTGCAAACGTCATCAGGCTGACGCTGATGGTGGCGTCACTTCCTTCGTTTATCCGCGGGCAGCAGAGGACGTTGTCGCCCTCTGCTGCCCGCTCTCCCCTCTCCAACGATGCAGTCCCATGCGCGATCCAACCAGTAAACTCCATCGTCCCTGTTCATGGTCCCACATTCACGTCTCCTTATCTCTATAGCTTCTTTTCTCCATCTTTTGTATTTCTGTTGTTCGGTGTTAATGATCCTTGTGTTGTCCCAGTCCATTATGTTGTTTTCTCTTATGCAATGATCTGTTACAGCTGACTTCTTTATTGTGCTTTATGCTTCTTCTTTCGCTGCTCTTGTGTGTTTTCGACTTGTTTCTTTCTCGCACTCCTTTCTTTGTTCTATTGTTCGTGTGTTGAGTTGGCGTCCGGTTTCTCCTAAGTATGTTTTATTGCAGAGTTTGCATGGGATTTTGTAAATGACTCCACATTTATGTCCAGCTGATATTTTATCTTTTGGGTGTACTAGTCTGTTTCTAACTGTTGTGTATGGCTTTGTTGGTGTGTTTATGTAGTGTTTTTTCATTGTTGCTCTTATTTTTCCTGTTATGCCTCTGATGTATGGTAGGGTTATCACTGGTTTTGGTTGTTGTCTTTCTGGGTTTCTGGTTCTTTGCTTTGGCTGTTTTTTTCTTTCTGTTGTTGTTTGTTGTTTTCCTTTGTTTATTGCCCATGTCGGGTACCCGCAGGTCTTTAAAGCATGTTGTATGTGTTTGTCCTCTTGTTTATGGTCTCTTTCTTCTGTTACCGTGTTTGCTCGGTGATACAATGTTCTGATTACTGATATTTTGTGTATGGTAGGGTGTTCTGATGTCCATAATAGATATTGGTTTGTGTGTGTTGGTTTCCTATATGTGTTTATGTTTCGGGTCCTGTCGGTCTGCCTGGTGATGTTCATGTCCATAAATGCTATGCTGCCTTCTGTTTCTGTCTCATAAGTGAACTTAATGCTGCCTCTGTCGTCAGTGTTAATCAAGTGTTGTGTTAGTGTTTCTGTTTGTCCTTTTGGTATGATTTCCAGTATGTCGTCTACGTAGCGTTTACATAATTTTAGAGCAGCAAAAGAAGCAGAAAGCACAATAAAGAAGTCAGCCGTAACAGATCACTGCATAAGAGGAAACCATATAATGGACTGGGACAACACAAGGATCATTAACACCGAACAACAGAAATACAAAAGATGGAGAAAAGAAGCTATCGAGATAAGGAGACGTGGATGTGGGACCATGAACAGGGACGATGGAGTTTACTCGTTGGTTCGCACATGGGACTGCATCATCGGAGAGGGGAGAGCGGGCAGCAGAGGGCGATTACGTCCTCTGCTGCCTGCGGATAAACGAAGGAAGTGACGCCACCATCGGCGTCAGCCTGATAAAGTTTGCAGCCGCAAACGAAACGTTGCAGGTAAATAAAACCTTTTCTGTGTTTTAAAAAGAACTAAAAGATGAAAGTAAAACCCTGTTGACTTTGGGGTAGTAAGAAAATGTTAGCATGCTGACTTTTTAAAGAGTAAGTCACCCCCCTTATCAGAGCCTTACTCCACCCATATTTCCCATTGGAAAAATGCACCACAAGGAGACGTTGCCTGGCAGATTGGGAGGGCGGAGATATAGTGAGTGACAGACTGCTTTAAATAAGATGTATTAAATGCCTAAATAATGTCTAGACATGTCTACAGCACTTCAGGAGCAACAGTGGTAGAGGAGATAAGACCCCAAAAGGGACAATATCAAATACAAGCAATTTATCATCTAGACACTCGTTCATACAGTTCATCAGCAAACAATGTTGTTCTGGAATGGTTCTATGGTCATTACAAAACATGTCCATGGTGTTCTTTGCACAAAGTCCCTCACAAAAAATGATTTTATTAGTTTTATTTTCAGGCCTCTTTTACTTCAAGAAAACAAGCTGGAGCTGGCCACGCCCACCCCACCCCCACTTGGGCCCCCTTAAGCTGAGAAGCTTCAATATCTGGGAAGAGTAACCACTGCTCCTCCACCTGGAGCTGTTCTCCTGCATGTGAAATATGCTAATTTACCCATTTGTGACATCACAAACAGGGCTGTTTTAGAAACAGCTGTTTTTAGGCACACAATTCCTAAAAAACAAACATTGACAGAAAATGGATGGATGAGGTTTTTTGTGTTTTTAGGGGAAATAGAGACTTGTATAATGTGTCACCTTTAAAAATAAAGGCATTACATCATGGTGTTAGCAGTTAGCTTACTTCCTGGTTAGACTAGAAATCCAACTTTCCAGATAAATATTCCAACTTAGGTAGTCATTACAGTTTCTTCTCTCCAACTTGGTACTTTGAGTTTTAGATTTCCAAGAACAGAGGGAACTAACCAAGGGTTCATTTTTATGCAGAGGACACAACAGCAGAATGAATGGGAATGAGCTGGGATCTAACCAGCAACCATGCACTTACTGAACAACCTGCCCTACTGCTTGAGCACTAAACACAAAAAATACATTACTTTAAACATTAGTTAGAATTAAATGAATAAATGAAAACCTTTTGAAAGGGGAAAACAAGTCTATTTTTAGTTTGTGGGTCGCGTTCTACTGTTAAATGTCAGCCAAGGGTCATTTGGCTACTCTACAAAAAGGGATACAGCATTATTGCTTCAGGACATTTCTGTTCAAATATGAATGCTTGAGTTCTTGTTTACGTTACAGACTCACTAACCCAAACATTTAAGTGTATTCATTCTCCATTACTCAGCTTCATTGCCACATATGCAAACTATTTTTCTTTGTCTTCCTGGATATCTGTCAGCAGTTACAGCTGACTCATGGTGACTCGTGTTGAAACAGTAGCTTTTTTTTAAATTGTGGCATCAATCAATAATATAATCAGTAATAGTCAATCATACCAGCGTCTGGACTCAACGAGAACCCATGTCTTTGCATTTGAACTCTGCCTTCAACACCATCACCTCCTAACTGTTGCTAAACAAGCCCTCATAGCTCTGTGTTCCCACCTGCAGGTGGATCACTGGCTCACGTGATGCAGAGACATTGTGTCATTATCACTTGTAAGTCGCTTTTTACAAAAATGTCTGCTAAATACATAAACATAAATGTTTGGTGGTGCTGAAGGCCACAGCGGGCTAAACTTGGCACTTTCTAGAGATTTGCTTTTACCTTCTTGCTGACAGGTTTTGGCTACATCTGTAGCCTTCTCCGGAGCGTCGCCGATGTTGGTGACATCACCTCCATCGCTGTTTGTCTGAGGGCAGCAGTGTACAAACAAAATGAAGGAGTGTATAGGAGGATTTTTGAGACGTCAATGTTTATATTTCTTGCATTGCATCATGGGATTGTGTGGCAAGAAATGGCCTATAATTTGACTGTTTTGCACGTTTGAAGGAGGATTTCGAGAAGCAGGTGGATCATTCTTGCTGTGTGGTTTGTTATTTTGACCCGTGGGAGGCTTGATAAAAAGTTTTAGTGTAATTTCCTCCGTAAAGAACCACAAAATACGAAAGAGATGTTTGTTGGCGACCCAGACTCTCCAAAGAAAGCCTGGATTCCTGCAGCAACAGACAGTATTTGTTAATTAGAGAAGATGTTTTAAAAAACATTCATCTTTGTGTATTTTACGTCTCAACCCGCAGTCATTATAATAATAGTTAATAAAAAGGCCACAGATTAATAAAGATTTACCCAGCTTTGCAGACCCACAGGTGATGTGAATAACGCTGTGGCTTTGCTCGTCGGAGCTGACTGATGCTATTCAATTCAATTCAATTCAATTCAAAGACACTTGATTAATCCCAGAGGGAAATTAGCACGACCACGGCTTTCTGTTTTGCAGAAGAGATCGGCCCAAATTTCCTTGAAACAAAACAATCGTAGTCTTCCAGATGTTTGAAAGTCTAATTTTTCATGAGTGAAGGGTCCGGGGCTTTCTGTTAAATAGGCATAAATGTCTCCCCAGCAGATTTGTGATAAAAAACACCGCTGAATCAGACCAACGTTTTCCATCATCCCAGAGCTCAAACAGACTTTAAATAACTTTCATTTTGTCTTCAATACCGATTTTACGCTTCTCTCTAAACCTCCTCCTATCTTTAGAGGGTAAAGTGTTTATATATCGGGGATTTTGTCCGTAAACTCTCTGAAGTTCCTAATGCGTACTGATAGCAGGCCATATTGTGTTTGTTTTTGCCACCCAGCTACGCACGCATGTGCACAAAGATGAAAAAAAGATGTCAACAAAGTTCCTCCTATACGCTGGACAGCTCATGGGACATGCTCATCAATGAAGAGGGCTCAGGCAGTAGAGGGAGACGTCCTCCTCTGCTGCCCACAGAAAAGCGGGGATGGAAGTGACCCCAACAACATCGGAGACACTCAGAAGAAGGCTACAGACATGGACGTAATTTTTTTGGGGGGGGCATGGGGGACATGTCCCCCCCACTTTTTCCAAAGTCAAGTTTTGACCCCTGCACTTTTTACCATTCAAAAACAATATTACTTTATTTTAAATTGACACTGGTTGAGCTCTAGGACCAAGCGGAAAACAACCGTGTGTTGAAGCCTGTTTCCCATTAGATCATACTGTAAAAAATACCCCCCACCCCCCCACCCCCCCCGCACTTCTAAAGTGAAAATTACGTCCATGGCTACAGATGTAGCCGAAACTCGTCAGCAAGAAGGTAAACAACAACTCAATTACTCTGTGTTCATAAAAGAACAAACAAATAATGGAAGTACTTGTTTGCATGAACCTGAACATGGTGTTAAACCTTGCTGGTGCAAGTTGAAACGAGGAAGATGATGTGGAATGGAGTTTAGGTTATTGTTCTGTTTGTTTTTGAAGCACCCAACTGAACCTCTGCAGCTTACCTTATCACCTCTGTGCCAGTGCATTTTACTAGTAGAGTTAGGGTAGAATGCGCAAATCACAGCTGAGGTGTTATTTAAGGAAACTATTTTCACAAAGAACACATTTTAAAACATTTAACAAAGAACACAAAACCAACCCTTGTAGATGATATTTTAAAGGATACTGGGGAAAAAAGCAATCACAGCAAAAAGTGTGAGTCCTGTACGCACTAGAAGCACACTCTTGGAGGTGTTGTATGGATAGACTTTAAATGACATCACTGACTGGAGGATTATGTAGATGATTCCAGTGGAAAAGAACAGCAACGCTCCTAAATCATGAGCCCACCTCACCGCTGTTTCCTAAAACAAAACAAACAAACAAAAAATAGTTCATTGTCATGCATCGAAGAAAATACATTTAAGGACATTTACATTTGCCCAAGTGGACACACCTGAAAAGTTGCAACAACACACATCCCAAAACAGGAAATAATCCCTAACCAAAGGGAGGCTTCGTTTAGGCCCGGTTTCACCAAATTATTCTCCTCAATCTGCTTCTCCACCAGCTTGTATCTGGTGTATACGGTGGCTGTTCCTGCACAGAAATCACATATATGAACCACATGATCGTTCCCAGTCATGAATGCTTTCATTTTTGTCTGAAAAAGAGGAAATATGAAAGACATCGTGGGAAAGCTTCCTCCCCAGGAGAGCCCGAAGTTACCCAACAGAGCAGATGTTCACAGTGAAATTAAAAGTACCTGCAAATGCAGAAATAATAGTCATCAGGCCAAAAAGGCAACTCTCTGGTGGGGTTGCACCCGTGTCACTGAGAAGAAAAATATTACAGTTAGATGAGTTGTTTTTGTAAATTGTTTTTCTTATTTCACATTTATAAAGACAAACGTAAATATGCATGTTTCATTAATTGTTTGTGCAGCATTATTGTTATATTATACGTCATAATAAAAAGCTGTACAGCCTTTCTTTCTGTTATTAACTAAACACCATTTAAGGCAAAGTAGAAAATATTCCTCCTATGAGCATTACCTGCTCAGTGGCCTAGTGGTAGAGTGTCCGCCCTGAGACTGGGAGATCAGGATTCGATTCCTGGTGGGGTCAGACCAAGGATTCGAAAAAATGGGACTCAATGCCTCCCTGCTTGGCACTCAGCATTAAGGGTTGGATTGGGGGGTTGAACCACCAAATGGTTCCCGAGCGCGACTGTGTCTGCAGCTCACCGCTCCCCCAGGGGATGGGTCAAATGCGGAGAACAAATTTCGCTCACACACATTAGTGTGTGTGTGACAACTTTAACTTTTAACTTAACTTTAATCATCTAAAGCTGTTTAAAGCAGAAGCTCTAAATCGTCCAGTCTGGAGATTTTTGACTTCTTAAATGTTTCAACTCAAAATCTTAGACAATCGTTCAGATTTTATCAAATGTTTAATCAAAAGAGTGAAAAAATTCTCTATTGTCACTGCTACATACTATTAACAGTACAATTATTCTTAAAGAATGCAGGGAAATAATGATAAGTCCGCACTGATCTTTCTATCCTGTCAGTTGAAGTGGAGGAAAAGCGAAACTAAATCTTTTATCTGTTGTTCATCTGAATCTCAGAGAACAAGTGTCACCCGAGCTTTGCTGGAGTAAAATGTGAGATCTTACCTGATGTAGGGGAAGATCACATCGATGTCGCGTCGATAAACAGCAAAAACAAAAGAGATGATGAACGTGGCGGAGGACCAGGAGACCAGAAACGCAGGCAGGAAGCAGAGACCTTGTCTGAACCAAAACATATTTTTCTTCTTTACGCGCAAAACTCGCTCGGCTCGGAGCGAATTAACCTCCAGAGAGAATGAAATAATCTGAATCCTGGAGGAGTTCAGCTGCTCCGATTCCCTTAGATCGTCAGTCACATGTGTGAACAGGAATTAACTTCATTACAGTCACCTCTTCCCCTAAAGCGACTCCCTGTGGGCGCGCCTTTACGCAAATGATCAAGCCGCAAAGGGGCGATGAACGGGTCGCTGGAGATTCAGTTTCAATTTCCTGCTATTTCAGCTGTTAACTTTATTTTTTCTCTAAGTGTTTTTCTCCCCAGAAGAAGCTACAGTGATGTTCTGCTGAGCTGTAGTGGCTTCATGGAGGGGGCCATCGGATTGAACACTATTGCTAACCATTTAATCATTCTCCCTCTCCTGATAATAACATTTTACTCTCTTTGACATTGAATGTGCTACTACTAGTTTACCCGTTTAATTATAGATTCACTAGGATAAATACAATAAAGTTCATCTCTCACTAAATAGAATATTTACTAAGAAATCACAATGTAACCATAGTATTGTGTGTGTGTGTGTGTGTGTGTGTGTGTGTGTGTGTGTGTGTGTGTGTGTGTGTGTGTGTGTGTGTGTGTGTGTGTGTGTGTGTGTGTGTGTGTGTGTGTGTGTGTGTGTGTGTGTGTGTGTGTGTGTGTGTGTGTGTGTGTGTGTGTGTGTGTGTGTGTGTGTGTGTGTGTGTGTGTGTGTGTGTGTGTGTGTGTGTGTGTGTGTGTGTGTGTGTGTGTGTGTGTGTGTGTGTGTGTGTGTGTGTGTGTGTGTGTGTGTGTGTGTGTGTGTGTGTGTGTGTGTGTGTGTGTGTGTGTGTGTGTGTGTGTGTGTGTGTGTGTGTGTGTGTGTGTGTGTGTGTGTGTGTGTGTGTGTGTGTGTGTGTGTGTGTGTGTGTGTGTGTGTGTGTGTGTGTGTGTGTGTGTGTGTGTGTGTGTGTGTGTGTGTGTGTGTGTCGATGGACCCAAAATGCAGTACCCAGGATGACACGGAGGCAGGGATGAAGATTTTAAGTAAAAGGTCTTTATTTTGTAGGTGAGCCAAAAACCAAGGTAATCCAAACTGGGAGTCAAAAGCTAAAAAAAAAAAAAAAAATCCAAAAGGTCAAAAAGCAGATTCTTATCTGGGGATCAAGAAACTCTGGTTAAACATGGAGGGACTAATCTGACAGAATCAACAAACATTAATGGACCGACACAAGACAAAGACAAGACAGGGCTTAAATAGACTGGGAGAGGCAATCAGGAAAACAGGCAGCAGGTGTGCGGAGTGAGCTGCTGGAGGGAAGGCAGGTGACAATAATAATCTAAATGGGGAAACAGAACAGAGAAGGGCAGATAACCCTAAAATACAACATTTAAACCTAAAGACTGAGGGAAAGGCTCACACAACTATCTGGAGGAGGACATAATACACACACATATACACACATACACAAACACTAACTGGGCAGGACACACACACTGAGCTGGGGACACGGCTGGAGCTACAGACTGGAGGAGGCTGACTAAATGAAACACCGGACCTGAAGGGATATGATGAGGACCTACAACCAGAAGACACAATATAGAGACGCAGACCATGACAGTGTGTGGATGTGTTTGTGTGTGGGTGGGCTGGTGTTGGTGTATGCATGTGTGTGCTCTGTCTTCTCGATCCCCAGTGAGTCGTGGAGGATGGCTGCTTATACTGAGCCAGGATCCTCTGGAGGTTTCTTCCTGTTAAAAGTGAGTTTTCCTCTCCACTGTCGCTAAATGCTTGCTTAGTATGAGGATTGCTGTAAAGTCACTGACACTAGTCAGTGACTTGATGCAATTTGCTGGGTTCCTTATATAGGAACCTTTTTTCTGATTGGCTGAATGAACTGATCTCAGGGTATCTGCAGGTTTAAGGGAGCCAAATTTAAGACTTTTTAAGGCCACTTTGACCAAATTTAAAACCTTACGTTCAAGACTGAAAAATGTAATGTGACGAGTACGACCTTCAAAATAGTTCTGTCCAAACCTTTAGTGGAACTGAAAGTGATGAAAAATAACACAAACATCAAGATAAGAGAATCTGTGCATATATTTTCCAAAAACAAAATGCAGTACCAACAACTCTGAGTTAAATAAAGTGAATATCCGTATTTAAATAAACTGAGTTTACATGAATGTGTAAAATGCATACAAGTACCATGTGTCACCACATAATCTCCTCTCCCCTAGCATAGCTGCTACTTACCAAATGGCCAGATTTATGGTGGCTCTTTCCTTCTATGGGAAGTTTGCTGAACTTACAGCCCTTTTCCCTCAGTTTTCTACGTTTCTGGTTTGATGATGTCACTTTTGTGAAGCGCATTTGTAGTCCTGGACTTACTTTCACACAAAACCTCAAAGAGCATGTCCCCCTGTTCGAAAATATGTGCGTTCTTGGTATTAAAATGTGTCTTTAAAATTCACGGGCATCATATGTGAATCCATGGCACATAACAAGCGGAATTAGAAAATAGCGTTTTTAGCCCCAATGACTTGCATTCATTTTTTCGTTTTATCCGGGAACCCATCTACAAGAAGTAGACTTAGTCTCCCTATATATATATATAGGGAGTAGAGGGGAGGACTCAAGATGGCGGAATGAGACGCAGCTCTTTGCAGGTTCTGTGAACAAGACTGTTTTTATCTTCGTTTTTTTTTTTTTACCAAACAACCCCTTAAACAACACTGAAATCCAACTGTAGGAACCCCTTTTCCGCTCTTTTGCCTCAAATTCCTCAAGAATTTACCTTTTGTGCTTCTCACACCCGCAGCTTTTCTTCTTTTCGGAAGCCGAAACAGAGAAGCACGTGGCGGACCGTAGCTACAACGATGATGCCCTACGCGAGGCCTGCTACGACAGCGAAATCGACAACATTGAGGTAGATGAAAATACTTCCAAAGAGAAAAAAAAAGTTGATACGAATCATACTCCAATTAAAAGCCCAAATCCCCAAAAAAATGAGGGTAAAAGAGAACAGTAAGTAAAATGAAAATATAAACGCTGCCATTCTTCATGCAGTCCAAGTTCTAACCAAAAAAGCGGATAACCAAACTGAGTTGTTAAAAACGATCGACAAGCGTATCGAGGTCAACGCAATGGCTATAAAGGAAAACAAAAGAGAAATTAGCCAGCGGAAGGAGAAGACTGCTATCCTCCAGAAAGAAGGCAACATGCTTACAAAAGCGTCCGAGGAGCATGACCGATACAAAAGAAGGTGGAATCTGAGGCTGACGGGGCTACCTGAGACAGAAGGAGAGAACACAAGAGAAGTCATCATCGGGATCATCACTAGAGTCATTCCTATATTGGTGGACCCAGTGTGAGAAACAGTGGATATTATCCATCGAATGGAGAAACCTAATGACGCAGCTACCTCCAACAACACACAGAGGGCGATCAACATCCAGTTTGGGCTATGCACTGTCCAGGATGAAGTACGGAAAAGATCGAAGGAAGCGAGGGTGTGCAAAGAAATGCACATTCGATTCAGAGACTTTTCCAAAGAGGACAGGGAGGCTCGCTCCAAACTATGGCCGCTGGTTGCAGAGGGTAGGAAAAGGGAAAAAGAGCGTTCCTGAAGGAAGGATACGCTCTGATTGACGGTCGCCGGGTGGATCCTAATTAAACAGCCTTGACATTGCTGGTTCAGGTCAGGTTCCATAATTCAGTTTATCAGTTTCCTTGAGTGTTTGGACTTTAAGGGTTGTTGCACTACAAATTAATACTGGAATTTGCTATATGGAGATACACGTGCCAATCATTCCTGCTTATCACCTATTAGTGAATTCTCTCAAACTTGGAAATGTTATCTTTTCTTTCTTTAAATGTTAGGGGTTTAACAATAGTGTCAAACGTAAGGCAACTTTTCTTTTTTGTAAGGAGCAGAAAAGCAACATTATTCTTTTACAAGAGATTCATTCAGTGGAAGAGATAAAAAAACGTTTGGAGTCAACAATGGGGGGACTATGCTTTCTTCAGTCATGGAACGTCTCATTCGGCTGGAGTCATGATCTTGTTCTACAAGTTTTCTGGAACCTTATTCGACCACAAAAGTGACACCAACGGACATGGGCTAATGATGGTGATTGAGTTTAACGATGTTAAATATATCCTGATTGGTGTGTATGGATACAACAATAGGGCACAGAACAAACAATTTCATTTAAAGTTGATCAAGTTGCTAGAGGGATGGACAGTGATCTATAATACTGACAAAGTAATAGTGAGTGGAGACTTTAATCTTGTACCTGACCTTTATATGGATTGTCAACCTCAACGAAAACAGAGAAATTATTATGAAGAAATTTTAGAAGATTTTATGACTAAAGGTAATCTAATTGACTATTGGCGAATGAAAAACCCAAATTAAAAAATTACACATGGTTCAATGCGCCAATAATGGTCAATGCTCGAGAAAAGACTTTTGGTTAATCTCTTCTAATTTAATAAATGAAGTCAACAATGGTAAATGGCCTGTATTTGATATAGCGCCTTCTAGAGTCCTGGAACCCCTCAAGGCGCTTTACAACACAGTCATTCACCCATTCACACACACATTCACACACTGGTGGTGATGAGCTACGATGTAGCCACAGCTGCCCTGGGGCGCACTGACAGAGGCGAGGCTGTCGAGCACTGGCGCCACCGGTCCCTCCGACCACCACCAACAGGCAACGTGGGTTAAGTGGCTTGCCCAAGGACACGACGACAGCGACAGACTGAGCGGGGCTCGAACCTGCAACCTTCTGATTACGGGGCAAGCACTTAACTCCTGTGCCACCGTCGCCGCAACAATTGTGAAATTAAAGCTTTCCCCCTAACTGACCATTGCGCTATTTTAATATCCTTTAAACAATGTGGAGTGAAAAATATCCTTAATTATCTATGGAAATTTAACAGCTGCTTTCTCGAAAATGAGACCTTTTGCAAAGAAATTAAGAAATTGTTAAATGAAATTAACCAATTAGATATGTCCCCCTTAAATAACTGACTGTGGTTGGACAAGTATTCTTACACAACAAATGCATTTTACTAAAAAAATTTAGGTAAAGTCCTCTTTTTCTTTCTTCAAATCGATGACTAATTTTTACAGATCAGCAAAAAGAAACCGAACACGTGAGGATGACTGTTGCTGACGGATGAAGAGCAGCATCATTCAAGAATAATTCATTAATAATTTACAGCAACAGTACAAAGCGACACAAATGTGGAGGTTTAGATTGTTTTTTATTGTAATGAAAGTCTGCTGAAACACACCGCCTGTGTGTAATTATGATGAATCTAGGGTGTCAGTTGATACTGACCTACTGCAGGGGTTCCTGCTTTACTCCTGAGATGTATCAATTTATTTTCTCAGGTCTTTTGTTCCTATGGAAAATGTTTGATGGTGGAGAGGAGGCGAGGCTAAACATGCCTACAAGACATTCCAGGGTCATTCTTGACTTAAACTCGATCAGTGGCGCATTTCAACAGTCCTAAAGCTCAATTTTCACGCGCTCACTTCCACCTTTTGAAGCCTCATACCCAATAAGATCCATCTTTCCTTAAAATCCTTGTGACTGAGTCCAAACACTTTGACTTTGTGGTGTGGACACAGAAAGATCTCGTTATTCCAGTCATACCTGATGACTCTGAAGCAGGCGCAGGAAATTTTTCTCAAGGTTTCCCTCCCTGAGCTCATTTACTGTCACTACACATGAAATGCCTCCACACCACTGCTCTCAAAAGTCCTGGCTGCCAAATCACAGAAAACCAACAGTCCAAGAGGTAAGACAAGAGGGAACGAGGGAGGAGTTGGACGACATGGCTTGCTGTGACAACAGCGACTGTGAAACGCAGCAGATCCACCTCAACTGTGTTGGACTTGATGCAACCACTGGAGCAGACGACTCCTGATTTTGACTATAATCACACAGCTTAAGGCCCAAGCCAAATGTGTATGCATATATTGCAATGACATTTGTTTATAGCATGGAAAGAAATGAGAAACATCTAGATTTTATTAACTGCACAACCTCCCTTTTGTATTAGTTTTTAATGTAGTCATTTCTTTACAGAGTGTATGTATACATAGTACACAGTCTAGGGAAGATTTTACACGTTATTTGTTGCATTTTGCCTCGAAGCACCCATCTGCACAGTTCTGTGTTCTCAGGTTGCACTACTTGGAAATGCACATCATATAATTGCGACACACGCATGTTTATTGTTAAGTTTATAGATATGGATGCAACAGACCCTTGTTGCTCTCTAGTTATTTCAGCAGAATAATCGGGCTCATGTTTGTCAGAACACAACATACAGACACAACCTTGTCAAGGAATGTCACGTCTTCCTCCTCGCATGGCAACACCATGTGAATTGGTACTTCTGATGACAAAATAGCGTAACTTTTGCTAACGATTCCAAACAACCTTTTCGCATGAATTCTGAGGTGGGCAGTTTTCTTTGTGCTCTCCACATCTCTTGTTTCCAGCTGTCCATTTGTGAAGGCGTAGATCTTCACCTCCGCACACACCTGTCCCACCTTGTTCTTTGTGTCAAAGCCGCGGCCAGCGAACACCAAATCTCCAGGTAATAATTTGTCCAGAACACCACAACTATCAGTTATGTCCTTATTACTGACATACCCCGCACACCCCTTGGAAACGAACGAAATGGAACCCTGCGGTGTAACACCGACAAGGTACTTCATAGTTGTGCCCAGCTTGTGGTGGGAATGTGACTGAGCTTGAGGTTTAAGTGTTGACTGATTCTGTGTGAAAATCTCGAAGCAGTCAAGAATAACAACGCCACGCTCCCCAAAGGCCTCCACAAACTGACTGGGCATAGTTGCACGCATAGCATCTCGCCCTGGCCAGTTAATCAATGGGCTGATGCGTGCATGCAAAACATTTATGACCTTACTAAAAGTCTTGGAAGCAGTTGTTCTCTCAACACTAAAGATGTGGGCAATGTGTTGCATTGGTAAATTTAGTCGAAGGCGCACGAGAGTCAGGAAGAGCATCTGAAAAGGTGAAAGGATTTTACTGCGCTGTGTCACGTATGGTTCAACCCTGGCTAGAAGACCCATGAGAACTTCAAAGTGTGGAAGTCCAGTGTAGTACTTCACTTTGACGTGGTCATCCTTCAGGAAATGTTCATCCAGTTTTCTCTGGCTTAGCTCACATTTCAGGGCCCTGTTCTCTTCCAGCAGCCGGTTGATTTCATCACGCCGAAGCTGACAGAAGTCACATTCGGTTATCGGTTTCTGGTCAGGTTCATCCTCTGGTGGAGGTGTTTCCACTGTGGATCAGATGAGGATTGTTTGAGCTCAATGTGCCACATGTAACTTCTACAAAAACAAGATAAGGTCTCGAATCAGCAGGCTTTGTAATACTTACCTGGTGGGATAAGGTCACCTGGGTCATCTATCACTGTCTCATCCACCACTGGTTTACTCTCAGTCTTTGGACGTTTTCTTGATTCCCTTCTTTCATATCGTGCAGTATTTGTGGGCTTAACCTCAGTGTGGCCCAAGTGAAGCGATGGTGCCCAATCCGGATGAGAGGTATACATTTCATAAGCTGGTTTTCCTAGTAAAACAATCAAAATTGTGTTTCAGTGCATTAGCATTAGCATACCCGTATGGTGAGCCATAAGTCTCCTCCCCTTCCCATAGCCCCATTGAATTGAGGTATTTCTCAATGTCCTTCCTTAGTCAAAGAAAACGGTTAAATGGAACAGACTTACCACATGTAACTTTGGCTGCCCGCCTTTTGCTTACGCGCTCTGTTTACATCCCACCCATCATAGTAGCACAGTAGCATAAGAACATTTTTAAGTTAAAGTCAAATTTTAAGTTAAAGTCAAAGTTAAAGTGCCATTAGTTAAAGTCACACACACTGATGTGTGTGCGGAATTTGTTTTCCACATTTGACCCATCTCCTGGGGGCGCGGTGAGCTGCAGACTCAGCCACGCTCGGGAACCAATTGGTGGTTTAACCCCCCAATCCAACCCTTTTTAATACTGAGTGTCAAGCAGGGAGGCATTGGGTCCCATCTTTTCAGAGTCTTTGGTATGACCCGACCAGGAATGAACCCCGATCTCCCAGTCTCAGGGCGGACACTCTACCACTGGGCCACTGAGCTGCCACCCTTCTTTCAGAAAAATTTCTGAACAAGGAAAGGCAACAAGGCACCTCCCATGTATTCTCGACCAGTTAGCTAAACGGCAGACAAACGGTGGACAGACGCCTCCGTACCACATGGTAGTGCTTAGTAGTAGAGCCCTGCACTGAAGCCCTAGGCCCGCGGGCCGGCCCGGCCCGATGGCCCGGCTTCGGACCATCGACTGTGTAATTACCTCGGAGACGGGCCGGGCACCTTTATTTTTAATCGAATTCATAAAAAAAATAAATAAAAAACTGAAACACTTGAACGCAGCAGCACCTGCCTGCTTCTCACGCACCGGCACCCGTTAGCTCAGTTAAGGTCTGTGCGGTTTATAAATGCGCCTATAAAAACAAATTCTCAAACTGCTGATTGAAACATGTGCCCCTATTCTAATATGTCATTTTATGTCCACTTTGATGTCAGAAACCATTTGTTTATTCTCATGAAAACGGCAGCATTCTCTTTTTCTGTGAATAAATTCGCTCTGCAGTTAAAAAAAATACAGCAGTCATTGCTGGTTTTTTTCTAACTGGAGAGCGCATTTTCAGAGCGGCAGATGAAATGTACAAACGCTATATTAATCGTGGGCATTTATTTAATCTGCCGCTCTGAAAATACGCTCTGCAGTTAGAAAATTAGAATGCTGCTTTATTTTCTAATTGCACAAGAGCGCATTTTCAGAGCAGATTAAATTTACAAACGCATCCAATTAATATAGTGTTCGTAAATTTCATCTGCCGCTCGAAAAATATGCTCTGTTAGGAAAAAAAGCTGCATTAATGCTGTTTTTCTTTCTTTTCTTTTTTACTGCAGAACGCTTCTCACAGATAATTAGAGTTTGTTCTATAAAGCTTCTATTAAATCCACTGTGCTGACATATTTTAACAAGTTTCCTCTACGCTGCAGGACAAAAGTTTACGTTACGGATTAAAAGTTTGGCAGACGCGTTTGTTTATATTTGGCCGCTGCGCGCGGGCGGGGTGGGCTCGGTGCTGCACACAGACAGCTGGTGTTATTAGCTCTGAAAAGCGTTTATCTCAATTTGCAGGTCACGTTTATTTTTCAAGGAGATCGGCCACGGATTCCTCTGAATGCTGCTGCAGCATGGAGGTGTAGTTCTCAGTCATCCTGGACATGATCATCCTGAGAGTTTTGGCTGAAAACAGCTGGGCGTTTCTGGATATGTGGGAGACATTTAGCCTCTCATCCCAGAGGCTTCTTTGGTTGTGGTCAGAAACAAACACACTGGCTGTGCTGCAAGTATTTTCCTTTTTTTCTCCAGAACATGTTTTTGTCTAAATGAAGGTGATGTTATTGTTCATAGAATTAAAATTCATGTTGAAGTTAAAATTATTTCATCAAGTAAGACCTGTGGTTAGCTGGCTCATGTAAAACATGTCATGTCTTCAAAGAATCAAAATCGGGAATCGATAGGAACCGGAATCGAAACGAGGAATTGGAATCGGAATCGTTCAAAAGCAAACGATGCCCAACCCTAGATGAAAAGTCCCCACCATCCTGTTTATTCTGCATCCTGCAGCACTATGGATCAGAACCGCTGCGGATACGAGTCACATTACTGCTACAAGTCTGCTCCAGACGCAGGAGCAAGAAGTACGGCAAGCTGTTGTAGTATATAATTCACAAATGCTTCTATCTTTGAACATAATTTAAAATGGATTATTGCCAACCCGTACATAATAGACATGCCACCATTACAGAGTTAGCAGCAGAAATTAAATGTTATTACCATTTCCAATACAAATGCATGTTAATGAAATGCATTATAATTTACTGGATATATTCATGTGTTAGTTTGGCTAAGATGAGTGTTATTAATACAAACCTAAAATGTTGCTGAAATGTAGGTGCAACATTTAAAAATATTTTAACTATAAATATCAGATGGGAAAAAGGGAACCAAACACCTGAACTGATCCACCGTCCATTTGAAAATACTGTGCTGCAATCTGGGAAATTTTTGACAGAGAGAAGGCAACAAGACGCCTCCCATGCATCCTTGGCCAGTTAGCCAAACGGCAGCCAAACGGAGGACAGAAGTCTCTGTAGCACATTAACATTGGAACTTGCCTTGGCAGTTCCTGGTGACGAATCTTCTAGGCCAGTGTTTCCCAACCCTGGTCCTCGAGGCACACTGTCCTGCATGATTCAATGTAAATCAGGTGTGCTGAAGCAGAGACATGGAAAACATGCGGGTCAGTGTGCCCTGAGAACAAGGGTTAGGAATAACGGCAGCTGGGGCAAGACCAAGGCATCAAGGTGAGGTTCCTTGAAATTGAGGCCCAATCCCAATACTCGCACTGCGCCCTACGCTGTTCTGTGAAGTGCATGTGGAGGAAGTGCGCAGTAAGGCTTCGAGTGCGTGGTACACAAGTGTGCAAATAATTGCTGAATTGGGACAGGGAGCATTGCCTCACCGACCGCAACAAATGCCGGGATGATGGTCGCTGTGCTATTTTATAGGGCTGCTCGATTATGGCAAAAATAATAATCACGATTATGGTGACTGAAATTGAGATCACGATTATTTAGGACGATTTTTCAATTTATGTTGATTTTATTTGTTTTTATTCAGTCATAAAATTGCTCAGGGCACAATCAGGACAAAAATAAGAAACAAGATGATCACTAAAATAACTCCTGATTGCCAGTATAAAAAGACCAATATACTTATAGCTCATAGTCTATGACCCAAGGGCTATAGACCTTGGTTTAACTCATGTAAGTCTAACCAGTACAGACCTAAATACCAATATCTTGCAAATACTGACAGCAAGAATTATACAGCGGCATTTATAACAAATAAATGCAAATAAATTGATGTTCACAAAATGTTGCATAATACGTATTTAGTCGTGTCAAGGTGCTGTAGGAGAGTGCACTAGCACCGTGTCCTCGGAGAGATTAGTTATTATTTATCAGCGTGAGGAATTTGTTTCTACCTTATTTATAAACTGTATTTACAAGTCCATCAGTTAATGTAATAATTGTCCCAACCACAGCTGCACCCCCCACCCCGGTCTCACAGCAATCAGGGCAAGCTGCACGTGTGTTTAGCACGCCGCATGCGCACATTTAGCCGTTTTTGGTGGCTCAGGAGTCCGCAGGTGCGGTGTGTGTGTCACTCACTCTGGTTAATCCAAAAAGGAGCCGGCTCCGAGAGCTGTTTCTTTAGCGACTGACACATCACTACATCATTCCCTTTCCTAATGTCCTGAAGAACGTTCCGGAGCGCAGGCGGAGTGTTTAGCTAACCTGCAGGAAACGTCAACGACAGTTATCCAGAAAGTAGCTAAGGGTTACCAGAGATGTTTCTGAGGTGTTCGCTAGGTACTTTTAAATTAAAATGTCAAGAAGGGGGTCTGAAAAGCTGCTAGAAATAGCGTCAAAGTCGCTAAGTTGGCAACACTGTGGGAGGAGCGCTTCATTTGCAACTCAGGGCAGCGCAAGCGGGAGGAGCAAATAATCGGCTTGTTTTGTTTTTTATAATCGTTCAAAACTCAGATCGTAATTGTGATTAAAATTCGATTAATTGAGCAGCCCTACTATTTTATTTATTTATTTATTTTTTTCTTTTATTAACAACTATCAAACAATTATTGAAAAAAATGACAATCATTGCTGCTTTGTCTAAAACACATAGAGCAGGGGTGTCAAACTCATTTTAGCTCAGGGGCCACATTGAGGGAAATCTAGTCCCAAGTGGGCCGGACCGATAAATAAAAAAAAACTTCAGATTGTTTTCTTTGTTTTAATACAATCAATATGAAATAAGGCTGGAGCCTGAGGACAGTGTAGTACAAGTACAACACCTGAAGTGTACTTGAAAATTTGAAAAAAATAAAAAAATCAATCAATAAAAAATACTTTTCTTAGTGATTCAAAGAGCTTACAGATCACATGGCTAGATCAGTTTCATGCAGCACTTAAAGTATATTTGACTCATTTTACTTTACATCTTTTAGCTTTCACCAGCACATCAATATCAGAAGTCACATCCTGAGTGGCGGCCAACTTCAGGATGTGATTCAAGTTCTTGTGTGAGCCTTGAGCGCAGCTTTGTTTTATTAATACTCATTACAGAAAAAACTTTCTCACAAAGATACATTTCTATTCACTCTACACTGTAAAGTATGAAAATAAAGTTTACACAACCATCTCGCGGGCCGGATTTAACCCGCTTGTGGGCTAGATCCGGCCCGCGGGCCGCATATTTGACACCCTTGACATAGAGCATCAATTGTCCATCCTAAAATGAATAACTTTCATTTGGAAATAAATTATTTCAGAAGACACTTGAGCCTTTTCTCTCATAGCAATGAATTGTGGGTAACACCCTTCGTCCAAGTCTGCATCGATGCGGAGATGGGTGAAGTGCTGATCAAAGGTGCAACAAGGGGCGTGATCAATGTCCACACTTGAGAATCGGGACAACCTACGCATGTGCATCCCTGGCGGGGGCCAGTCCCCATATCTGCACTGCATCCTGTGGTCTTCAACAAAGTGCACTTGGAGAAAGTAAGTAAGGCACAGTAAGGCTTTGAGTGTGTGGTACACAAGTGTGCCAACAATTACCGAATTGAGACAGGGAGCATTGCCTCATTGACAACAACGCATGCCGGGATGCTGTGCTACTTTTATTAACAACTTTCAAACAAACAATCAAACAATTATTTGAAATAACATTTGTTGTTGCTTTGTCTAAAGGTTTTAGTTTTAACTAGGGCTGCAGAATATATCGAAAAATTATCGTCATCGGGATAACAGGACGTGTGATAGGTCCATCGCAAAACACGTCAAAAACGGCGATAAATGTTTGGTTCAACCTTTCCATCCGTGTCATACATCCACTTTTTGTAAACCAGCTCATTTTTTTACGCGGAACTATTATATGACCAATCAAATGTAGCCCTTCTGATATGCGGCCAATCAGATGGGTCCGTTCACGTAATACGCCCGCCCCCTACGTAGACCCTTAGGATGGGGGGAGCGCAACACCCGAACTGAGTTAGCGGCGCCGTTCCCTTGTTCGTCATGCTGGCTCAGAGCAACGAACACACTTTGTGCTGAGGTTTCTGGAATCAGCGCTGCTTTCAAACGTGAACCATTTATTGAAATTAATTGTTGTGATCCACATCCTCAGTTTATTAGAAACTTCTGCAGATTATCTGGTTGCTACTTTTTTTTCCTGTCAATGCCACTCATATGTACTGGTGGAGATAAAGGGGAAATAAAAGGACGCAAACATCTTTTGTTGTTATTATCTTTAGTGAAAATTAAAGACATCTGCATTATTACTGAGATGCAGATGGCCTTATTCTGTGATAGCCACGATCATATTGTGTGACCTTACTGTAACTTCAGTTATAATGACTTTTACATCACACAAACTGTCTCTGGTAACTTCTCTGATGATGTAGTTTATAAAAAAGTGCATTTGACCTCCGTCATCTGCATTATTACTGAGATGCATATGGTCACATTCTGTGATAGCCACTATCATGCTGTGACCATGGTCCGCGCCGCACAACTTCCTCATAGTTTACGTAGTTTACGGTTTTAACGTAGCATCTTCTTCTTTTATGCCAATTCAGGACGTACAGACGCAACTAAATGCAACACTGCCCCCTGCGGTCACAAACTGTGACTGGTCGCAGAATTTGGTGTAACACCTGTTTCAGCTGCTGCTCTCACACCGGAATGAGAAGATCTCTGAACGGTGACGCTCATATAAATAATTAATGTAATTTTAAGACACGTAATCGTACATCGGAGCATTAATATTGTTAATAATTGTCTCACTTTACACTACAGTGGACGGCGCGCATCCTCCGTGGTGAAATACCCATCCACCAGGATTATCAATAACTAGTATAAACAAACGCATCCATGGGCGTAATTCACGCGGAGTACGCGTGGGAAATGTCCCCCTCACTTCCCATAACAGTGCCCTCTGTCCCCCGCACCTTTTTTTCAGCCGTTTATATGGGGAAACGTATTTTTCCGAGCCGTCTTTAAACGCACCTTAGGCTAACACGAGCATCCAGTGCTGACAGGTGCTGCTGAGTGAATAGAGTAGCAGCACAATGTTCAGCAAACCAGCCAGACAGCAAAAGGCAAAAACCTTTGCACAGTTTTTTCCAACCAAACTGTGTAAGTTGAGTTATGCTTTTGCGTGCAGATAATGTTAGTTAAATGATAACTTGGTAGCCTAGCAGCCAACATCATGTTAGTTAACAATGCTGTGTTTCTCCTTTGCTAGTTAGTTATTGCTGGGAATAGACCCAATTCTATTTTATTTCTGTGCTGAACTTGTGCTCACCGTGACTTTCCGCATGTTTGATAGAAAAAATACTGTCACGATAAACAGGAGAATCAGGGAGGGTCTGTAGGTAAAACGAGAATAGGATAAGTTGCTGAGAAATTATGGCATAAAGGGACTTAAGACATTTTCTTCCCACTTTCACTGTAACCCATCCTAGTTCAGCGTTTCCCTTAGGAATTTTTCCAGCTGTGTCAAGGGGGGGGGGGGGGGGGGCTTGGGGAGAAATTATGACACGTCTCTAAATAAAGTAAAAAATTTCCAGTGCAGATTGGAGACAACCCATAGAAGCACTGATTTGATCTCATTTTAGAGAAATATAGATCAGGTTATATGCACCTAATAAATAAAATTACTAACAAACTCAGGAATCTTTCTTTGCTTCACTGTTCTGGTGCTGAAAATATCACTAATGCGGATCAAAGGAGATACACAGATGAATGCACCTCTTATTTATTATTTGGAGACTACATTTACTGCAGCTGGCAGAGGCAGAGATTTTTTCTATTGATACACGGAATTTACAGAATCATTTTAAATTTTAACAGAGGTGTTATTTTCCCGCTTCAGAAGAAGCGTCCAACGTGTTTTTTACGCTTTCTCCGAGACATGTCACGTCGCTAAGTTGTTAGCGCCGCGCGCTAACACGTCAATAGTGCAGCGTAGCCTGCTGGAGGTTTTAAGGGTTCAGACGAAAACACCCGACCTCTCAGGCTGCTCACACATCGATCTTAAGTTGTCGCTGTTGCGCTCACGCCGTAATACAGTATTAGATGCGGTTAAAGTCAGACATGAAAAAATAAATACATTTTACATGAATAAGTGATGCTTAGCCTGGTGGGGGGAGGAGAACCTGGCCTAATAACCACTGGAAGAAACCCTGTCAAGATCGTCAACACTCGTTTATCTTAATGCTATTGAAACATGTAAACCAAAATGCATTATGTCCACTGCTACCTTTCTAATTTTAAACTCAGTAAGTTATGCTGTAACTTCACCTTGCCCTGCCTGCTCCTTGCTACCCGCCGGCTGTGATCACAAGCGACAACATAGTAGTTCCTGCTGCTTCTTCGGGAAACAGCGCAAAAATAAAAAAATAAATAAAAAACTTGGGATCTTGTAGGCGTGGTGGTGGGATTTCAGCCGTGGCGGGCCGCCACGGCTACGCCTATGTAAGGGAAACCCTGTAGTTTTATGTTACCACTTTGCTTTCCATATTTTCTATTTATTTGTCATTTGGTCACACAGACAGAGCAGTGTGAGGGAGAGTCTGTAGGTGAAAAGATAATATAAGTGGCTGAGAAACATGGCATAAAGAGATTTTAGGTTAATTTCCATAGTAATGTTACTGGTGCTTATCCTAACTCTGTTCCAATATTTTATTTTCCACCTTTACCCATATAGCCACAACAGAATGAGCAGAGTCAGGGAGGAGACATCAGACCAAAGGACAGCATCAGGCATGGTAAGAGATGGGAGAAACCAGGCAGGCCTTAGGAAAGGGTTTCCAAAGATCATTCAGAATTATTCTCATTAACACTTAATTTTTACTCTGTAATTTAATAGGTAGCCCAGGAAGAGTACATGTTTTTATTTGTTTATTATTTATTTACAGATATAATTTGACTACTGCATTATGTCTATCATCTATCTATCATTTTTATCATGCCATTTTTCTTTATCTTGATTATTTTTGCACATATGTTGTCACATTTCACTACAATGTTGTGTTCAGTGTTGTGTGACTTCCTATGTTAATCCATTATATATTATATGGCTTATTTTGCAACACTCATTAAATTTTATGTGCTAGGCAATATTTTTTTTCCAGCACTGTTGTTTTGCTGAGCATTTTATACTCAGTGTTGTGGTTTGGCCCTTAATGATCTTGATGGATCGTTTTTTTCAACTGAACCCGAGTTTGGTGGCTAAAATTAACATTTGTATTATTTATAGTTTAAAGAACTAAAGTTGGTTCGCTGGTGCTGTGTGGCTGTTATTAATGTTGGGTATTCAAGAATCTTTTTTTATTATTGGAAAAAATTGCCCACTACTATTTAAACTGTTATTTGTTCATGCTAAGCAGGTGGCGCCCAGCGATTCCTCGGTTGGTGGTCTGTCATGTGCTGCGCCGTCTTGCTGGCAGTCAGCTGACACATCGCTGTCGCTTGTAATGTTTATTTAAAATTAAATAATAGTATTAATCATTACTGTCTTTGAACCACTTCACTAATAACTAAACCAGTGATTAAATGTTTTTTATCAACTATGAAATGTAAGATCGAATTCTGAAAAAAAAATTGTCCCCCTCACTTTTGAGATGATGGTTACGCCCCTGAACACATCACATTTATCCCTGTCCGTCTTCCTCGTTCCTCGTGAAATAAATGAACGTTAATCTTACCCGGTAAAAACATGTTCGCTGCAAATCTGAGGACTGCTAGTCCGCTTGATTGATCATTGCAGTTCATCTCCGTCCTCAGTCTCCATCAAAGTTATTAAAAAAAACAAAACGAGTTGAGTTAACATCCTTGTCTGTTAGTGCAGCCAACCACGCAGCAAGCTAAAACCATTTTACTGTCGAATCAACTAAATAAAAGTGATAAAAGTCTACAAACTGGCTTGTTTTGACTACCTTCCCTTGAGTTTCAAAGGGTGTAAACGGTCTTTTTGCCGTCCATCATGGCGAAGGCGGCGGTCTCATGAGTAGCGTGACGTCACGTGCAAAAGGTCAATAGAACATGTTTACAATTTGTAATTTACCTGAATGAAAATGCAGACAACACACCCTCATCGAGACCGGGATACTGTGGAAGGTGATGTTTGGTCGCCTTACAGCAGCAACCCAAGCGAGCCGACGAGACTTTGTTATGTCGGATACTAGCTCTCCTTGGTTATGTCTCCAAGCAGGAAAACGGTGAAAAGTGATTCCGTGTTCCAATTTATTTTTCTTTCTATCATGGGTTGCGCTCTTGCACCCCGCAACACAGCAACTAGTTACCATGATTGAGTAATTAATGTAACCGATCAAATGAAGGTGAGAGACTGAGCGCGCTGCTGACCGAAGAAACAAGCGACGAGGCTTCCAACATGGCGGGCGCGCCAGGTGATGACGAAGATATGTTCCGTTCCCAAGCCCTTTCCACCAGGGGGCGATATAATATCTGAACGTGGAAACAGCGCAGCGATTCCTCCGTTGGTGGTCTGTCATGTGCTGCGCCGTCTTGCTGGCGGTCAGCTGACACATCGCTGTCGCTTGTAATGTTTATTTTTGCTTGTTTAGCCAGCGGTTGTTTTAACTTTTTTAATGAATGCGTCGCTATGCTTCGCCCCGGAGAATCATGGTAGTCGTGAACTCGGTATTGAAGCTGTTGCAGAGGCAGACGTACACCTGTCTGTCCCACCGATACGGACTCTACCTCTGCTTCGGGGGGCTCGTCCTCATGATTGTTTCCGCCTTTCAGTTTGGAGAGGTGAGACTCTTGTTTTGTAACTCCGGACACATTCGAGCCTGCTCGTTCTTTTCTGGGATCAGCTACATTGGCATCATTTCCCCCAACAGCTGTTATCAGCGTAGCAGGAGTGTTGGGAGGATCCGATTCAACCACGGTCCACTCAAAAAACCCGCCTTTTGAATGTGATTTAGCTGTTAGGGTACAGGAACGTTATTTTCCCAACTTGTTTGCCTTACACGAATCTTTGTGGTGTAACGAAAAATTCGTCCTAATAAATAAAGTGGTTGAACGTTCTTTACTTGTAGGGGGAGTTTGGAAATGTGTCATTCTCTTCAAAATAAAACCGGAAGCGATTGCAGCTGTGATTCTGGCCTTGTTTGGATTTGAGAGAATACATCTTCTCTTGTCCTTATAGGTGGTGGTGGAGTGGAGTCGAGATCAGTATCACGTGCTGTTTGACTCTTATAGAGACAATGTGGGTGGGAAATCCTTCCAAAGCAGGTAAAAACACATTTATTTACATATTGATGTGTTAAAATGGTCTGGAGTGAGGATCTGTGTATAATTGTCCAACTGTGAAGCCGTTTACTAAATAACTCAGTTTCTGCTGAAGTGGTTCCAGATCTGAGACGAGGCTGTCTTTATGTCCTCTCGGGAGAAACTAGAAAAGACTGGATGACATGTAGTCACGAGTGACGCGTGCACTTGGAAGGAAAACCTTTCACTTAAAGTTAGAGCTTACAGATACGTTTTTTTTCCTTGTAGGCTCTGTCTTCCTATGCCTATAGATGTGGTGTACACATGGGTGAATGGCACAGATGCAGCTCTGCTGAAGGAACTGAAGATGGTCAAAGAGCAGATGGAGGAGGAACAAAGAGCTCTTAGGTACTTCTAGGTCCACTGAACATGTTGTGGAAAAGCTCCATTGTTTGCTTGAAACCCATAGATAAAGTGCAAACTCTTATGTTTCTGTAGCATTTAGTCAAAGTGCACCCCAGTGATGTCAGAATAATCAACACTTTAAAGTAGGGATGCAACGATACCAATTTTCTCCAACCCGATACGATACCGATACTTGGATCTGAGTACTCGCCAATACCGATTACCAATACAGATACTTCTACCACACAAAAAAATGCAATGAATTGGAATACAGGTTTTATTTTCTTCTGTTTTCAATAGGAAAAGACTGTGAGGTAGATAAAAGGTAGTATAAGTGATCACAAAACTAAAATATTAGGTGAACAGAAATTACAAGTTACAGTGAAGACACTTTCAAGCAACTGCATTGGTATCAGTTACTGGAATCTGTTAACTTATACTGATACTGGTATCAGTATCTGTATCGGCACCGATACCAGTATCGTATCGGTGCATCCCTACTTTAAAGCTCATTTAGCTAAGATTAAACCAGAGAGAGTTAGTCTGACTTGATGGCGAGGATACATCCTTTCCTTGTTAGAATACACCGAAGACACAGAGCTGACTGTTTTCTCCCACACAGGGAACGTCTGGGGAAAAACACGAGTGACATTACTGAAGTGCCAAAAGATAGGTGAGTACACAGCACCTCTGCACCTTTATGAGGCTCAGTTTCTGCTGACATTTAGCCCAGAAGCTTTGATTCATCTGTGAGTAAGGTGATGACATTAAAACATTTGTGTCAAATCAGTCGGTTTAAGTCCAAACGGATGAGCTCTGAGGATGATCATTTCAGAGCCAGAGGACTCCAAAGCGCTTTATACGACAGTGCGTCATTCATCCGTTCACACGCTGATGGCTACAAGCACAGGTGCCATCAATCCCTCCAGCCAACACCAGCAGGCAGGGAGGGTTAGGTGTCTTGCCCAAGGACACAACAGCAGAATTCAGTCAGAACCTGCAACCTTCCGATTACTGAACAACCCACTTTACCTCCTGAGCTACCGCTGCCCCCAGCAGAAAACCTTTTTTGCATGTTTTAAATGTTTAGGTGCGTTCTGTGTTGACCTAGCAGACGTAGAAGCTGCTTGGTGCAACTCTCCAGGTTTGCTGCATGTGTGACCTTTGCTAATTTCACACCTATGAATCATGAGTGTACAAGCACACCACAAAGGAAACGCCCATCGAAACGCATAAGGTGCATTTGTGTTTGCTGAAAAAAATATTCTCATGTGTTTCTGGTCTCTTTTTGCAGCGAAAAGCTGGAATGTCTGCTGTCCCACTGCATCATCGCGCCCATGCTGGCTCTGGACCCCTCTCTGCCCGCCAACGTGACGATCAAAGAGCTGCCGACGCTCTCTCCTTCCCTTTCTGCCGCCAAAGAGCTGCTGCTCATGAGCAAGCCATTCCACCCACCCGTCACCGTCTCTGTGGTCGTCTTTCACTCGCAGGCTGATGGTAACAAAGCCGATCTCAGGCGAAGAATGTTCTCTAGAAGCAGTAGGACGTAATGATAGCAAAGTTTTTATTTTTAAAGGTGTGAAACACTGATAAACAATTTTCTAGTGACCATTTCTGATTATAATCGGTCACTTTGAGGTTTTCATGTAGACTGAACTTGAAAATAGTCTCCTACACCTATCTTTTTCATAGACCCACCCATCTTGACTCGCAACGGGGAAGACTGTTGTTTATTTAGCATCCAGGAAACCAGAGAACGTCTCAGCTAGCAGAAGGCTAACCGTTAGCATTAGCACCTCAGCCACACACCAGAAGCTCCTCCAGGTTTGTGTTGTTTGTGGAGATTAAACGTCCACGTCGCAGAGCAAACAGAGTTAGTGGTGGAGTCGCGTTGCTGTTATCCAGTCTGAAGCAAGATGTCCAAATATCAGGAAATAAGATTCCAAATCCTGCCGTGTTCTGCCACTCTCTGCTCCAGCAGACTTCTCCGTGCTGATCCAGGCGCTTCTGAGGGTTTTTTCCCCCCTGAGTACGACTTGCAGGGCATTAATTTCTATTAGAGACCACTGCAGGTGTATTGATTAAACCCGTGTCCCACACCTTTAAGTGATGCTTTTGTAGTAATCAAAAGAGAAATTACTCATAAAACTTCAAAAAATGGTTTTTAATCTAAGATATTTTCTTTACTGTTTCAGCTGATAAAGCCTATAAAGACGTCATGACTGAAGTCCAAAAATTCTCAGTTTCCAGGTGTTACTTGGTGAGTTTTAAATCTGTTTCACTCGGTCTTTTGATGGTGTTCTTGTCCTGTTTTACATGTAAATTACACGAGTCGTTTTCACTTTTAGGGGGATCATTAAACCTCGGATGTATTTTATGTTTATTCAAGCCCGCCTTCTCGTTGTGTGCATTTCAGACGACGGATAAAGAGGCTCCGGGTCTGATTCGCATGCAGACGTTGGCCTATCTGAGCGGATTCCCGGCTTCCTTCAAAGAGACGGAGCAGCTGAGAGTCAAATTGCCGTCAGTCATAACCGGCAAAATCAAACAGGTAAGACGGGGTTTTCCCCGAGTTATTTCCCTAACCCTGGACAATTAATTTTCTGCAAAAATGCGGCAGAAAAAGTGAATGCATTATTATCGTGGTAATTAATTATTTAATGCTGATGGTTATTTTAACAAACAGCGTTAGTTTATTGTTTAGTTTTGTTCTAAAAGTCTGTTGCTTGCTGGGTTTGAACAGACAGATGACCCCTGGGTCACAGCTGGGCTGAGATCTTCATCACAATGAATGGATGGATTTGTTTTTGTGTTTTATCAAGATGAGTGACTCTTAAGTCCACGGAGAGCCCTAAAATAAAATCTGTGCACCTTTTTAAATAGTTAAAAACACAAAAAGATTCAACAAAAGTTTACACCAGCAGGGGGCACCATAGCTCCCTGGATCAATGAGCTGCAGCTCTTTTTGCTTTTAGCCGATTGTTTTCCACATAATTCAGAAAATATGAGTTATTTCCTCACAGCTTGTTTTATTGTGGAGTTTTAGTGAAACTTTTTGTGCTGTCTGTGGTAATCCTGCATTTTCAGGAGGTTCGGTTTCTAATTTTCCACATTCTTTCAGTTAAATATTGAGACATGAGTGCAGGACTTCTGCTTTTGTCTGCGCCTGCTGACAGTTTAAATGTTCTGAGAGGAGCGAATGTGGTGAAATAATCTAAACAGATGTAACCAGGCGCCGAGTGATCCGAGTCGACTGTCCTGTCCTGGTTCTACACTCACACGACTGCTGGGAGGATAAATTAGATGATGCCTTGCCTTTACAGATGTTCAGCATACAAACAGATGTTACACAACAGGCTTAGAGCTAAAGTGTTACCATCCCAACTCTGGAGGAAAAACATAAATTTGTGGACCACGAAAAAAAACATTTTTTTAAATCTTACTCCTGATTACAATCAGTCACTCTTTCATGCAGGCTGAACATGAAAATAGTCTCCTACACCTATCTCCTGCATCAGCTTCTGATAGAAAATAGACGTGAAACTCTAGGATTAGAAAATCCTGACAGATCTACGTCACACTTAACATTCATGGACTCATCCATCTTGATTTTGACGTGGATGGCTGTTGTTGGTTCAGCGTCCAGGAAATGGCGGAGAATGTCTCGGCTAGTAGAAGCTAACGTTAGCATTAGCAACTCCACCACACAGCAGAACTCCTTCAGGCTTGTGTTATTTGCCTCAACGTTGCAAAGCAAACAGTCAGTCGCAGAGTTGTGTTGCTGTTATCCAATCAGAGGCGAGATGTCCAAATATCAGGAAATAAGACTCCCTATCCTGCAATTTGAAGCTCCTCTGATGTGACTTCTAGTTCCTGAAACTGGTGCACCAGAGCTTTTTTTCCCCTCAGTTCCTTACAAGGCATTCATTCCTACTGGAGATCACTGCAAATATATGGATTAAACGTTGTCTTCGTATATAAGACAATCCTGGGAAAGACGCCTCTCTAGGGGTGTAACGGTTCATGAGGGAACGTTGAACCGTTTCTCTTTGGCCTGTTCGGTCCGGTCCTCTTGCGTACCGTTTCGGTTAATTGTTTTCCGTTAAATAACAAATTTTTATTTCCTGGGCGAGTTTCTGCACAGACGCTGTAATAAGCGACGCATGATGGCTGCACACGCCCGATCTCCGTTTAAAAAAATGTGATTTGCAAATTCTGATCAACGCCTGTCAGGGCAGGTCAAAAAGCTGGCTGTCGCTGCTGCTGGAGCCCGTAGAGACGCTGAAGGAAGCGTTGCGTCGCTTCGCCCCTCCCTTCTCTCACACTGTGCGGACACGCAGCGGCAAAAATGTAAACAAACACGTCTGCTGAACTTTTCCCCTGGGACAGCCGATGTAGCGTTTTCATCCTACAATGACAAATACGGCGTGGAGGAAGCTCGTTATTTAATGCGAGTTTTAGAGATGAAACTCTGGGTGGTGTGAGGTGAGTTTTTAAGGCGCGCTGCAGAAACTAAAACGCGGAGCATCAACAGTCAAACACAACACTTGTCTGTATGAGTGCGACACTCACAGCTGCACAAATAACCTGTGAAATGATTAAAGACATCATGCTAGGTCAGCAGCCTGTGACGACACCTGGTTCTGCTCACTATATGAGCCGCTTCAGATAAATAAATGTAATAAATAAATCCTGAAAATTAATCGAACCGAGCTTTTAAAAACACTGACCGAACCGAATCCGATTTCAGCGTACCGACTACTCTTAACCCTTAGCAAACAACATGCTATCAAGTTTAGCACCCCCTCCCCCAACATCAACCGCCTTTGAAGAAGAAGAAAGTATCATTTCTATAGCGCCTCTCAAGATAAAAATCACGAGGCGCTTCACAAAAACAAAAAATGTAAAAATATAAAAAAAACATTTAGAAAATGTTTAAAAATATATTTAAAATGTGCAAAAGTAGACAATTGTGATTAAAAAAATGTTAAGAAAGAGAGAGAGTGAACAGGAAAAAGGGGAATCAGTGGATCCTGAGGAAGGTGGAATAGGTGGGGAGAGCAGAACAAGGAGAGAGAGGTGAAGAAGGTCATACAAAACCAGCTTGAACAACTGAGTCTTCAGTTGCTTTTTAAAGGAGACCACTGAGTCCACTGATCTCAGGCTCAGGGGGAGAGAGTTCCAGAGTCTGGGGGCCACAGCAGCAAATGATCTGTCACCTTTGGTCTTTAGCCTGGTGCTGCACAACCAGTAGGCTTTGATCACTGGACCTCAGGGACCTGCTGGGGGTGTAGGGACTAGACATTTGGACATAATGCCTTTCGCTTTGTAGCAGCACACGACTGGAATACGTCCCAGAACACCCTCAAACTTACATCCCAACCTCCAAGTTCAAGCAGACCATCCAAAATACAATAGTTGACTTTTGTTCCTGCTGAGAATACTGAAAACACACGCACACACACACGCATGCGCGCACACACATGGACACACGACGGGGGCGACGGTGGCACAGGAGTTAAGTGCTCGCCCCGTAATCGGATGGTTGTAGGTTCAGTCTGTCGCTGTCGTTGTGTCCTTGGGCAAGACACTTAACCCACGTTGCCTGCTGGTGGTGGACGGAGGGACCGGTGGCGCCAGTGCTCGGCAGCCTCGCCTCTGTCAGTGCGCCCCAGGGCAGCTGTGGCTACATCGTAGCTCATCCCCACCAGTGTGTGAATGGGTGAATGACTGATTGTGTTGTAAAGCGCCTTGGGGGGTTCCAGGACTCTAGAAGGCGCTATATCAAATACAGACCATTTACCATTTACCACACACACACATATTGTATACATTGTCTGTTATACTTATTTATTCAGCCTGTTCACCAGGTCATGTTTGTAAACGAGAAGTGGTTCTCAAACTGTTTACTTGGATAAATAAAGGTAAAAAAAAATATATATATATATATAAACCTTTAACAATTACTGGTTTTACTAAAGAAATCAACACTTAAGGCTGGACAATAATTCAATAACCATATATATCGATCGATAGACGTGTAGTTCAATAAAAAAAACTGATCAATAAAAACAGCAATAAAAAGTTTCCTTTTTCCATTATAGCCTGTTGGGTAGCTTCATACGAGTCATTCCTCACACCCAACAAATCAAAAACACACGCTGCCCTCCCCTCACAAACCTAAACACACAGATGGGACCTAAACAAGATGTTGCAGCAAGGAGAGGTGGAAGAATTATGTCCTAAAGAAGATTACATTAGTTCACCAGTGTGGCAACATTTTCATTCTGACAGCAATAACAACAGTGGTTTAGTGAAAACCAGGTGTGCTAATGCAGCCAACTTGTCTTATTATAACGTTATTACATGAAGCAGCCAGGGCTGCACTTCAAATGTATTTTCTACATTTTTCATATACTTTTCAATAATAATTTATCGATTAAATATTTTTTATATGAACTTTTTCTACATCGTCCCGCCTAACTTGAATAAAAAAAGCTTTTTTTGTTTTATAGAAGATTAGATGAAATGATCGGTTTTTAGGTAAACTTTCCGGTAAAAATAATCTGTATTTTAATTAAATACCGCCGACAGGCTGCAACAGTTTACTTCACATTTGAGTTTGTCTTGAGCAACATAATCCTCACACGCAAACCTAATTTATCCAAAATAACTTGTTTTTATTTATTATAATAAATAGTTAAAACCTTTTATTTCTTTTTAGTTACATCAGTTAGAATGTCTTAATGGGACATATTTTTGAATGAACTAAATTTCAAGGCGATTTCTCTTCCACCACACATCTAAATAAAAGAGTCTGTGAGTTGGCAGAGAATATCAGACGGTTTTATTTAAAATATTCTCTGATTTTCACTGCAGGTTTATAGAGTTAATGACAGCTATTTTATTTATTCTTGGTCATTTTGGAGCAGAAACATTAGGAGATTCTGTGTAGAAACAGCTGCTGGGGATCTTTTTCACTCTAGTGTTGTCTGTGATGAGATGTAGGTTAAACATGTCTAAGCCACATATCATCATCATCATCATCATCACCACCACCAGACCTGAACCTGGTCTCTGTGCTTCTAGCTATGTAGCCTGATAGGTCATGTGATTAAAAATGACTGATGTTGGTGCTGTAATGGGAGCTGAAGGGGGGGTTAACATTAGAACAACTGTCAGGAGGAGCGTGATGTCAGCCAGCGCGCTGAAAGGTTACCAGCATTCTCCTGAACCTGTCTGAACTCCGAGGATCCGTTCTGTCATCTTAAATCCTCCCATTGTCCAGTTTTGATGATTTATTGAAGCTTGGAGGGCAACGGTCGGGAGGCTAGAGGATGTCGTTTAGATCTGGCCGAAGTCAAAACCTCCAAACAATAAACAGTTTAGATTTCGAGCTGTTTCCTGGTGTCACTAGGGCGGTTCTGTGAAAGAGGACTGAGGGGCGGGGGGTGGGTGGGGTGGTGGTATTTATAGCTGGTGTTAGACCGACTGATATGGTGATGAAAGCTGTACTACAACACCGATCATCTGCTCGTGCTGTCGCCTGCCGGATCCTGCTCCTGTGTCAGTCTACCAACCTGCTGTGCTGATCATTTTTTATTGGTGTGTATTTTAAAACATCCCAGAAAGCCTGGTAGGGTCAAAGGTCAGAAACCATTGTTATGCTCCATAGATGCAGGAATGAGTGAATAGGATTAGATGAAAATGTAAAATGACATCATTCAAAGGAAAATGTGCTGACATTTTTTTAACGATGCAAATAAAGCTGAACAGTTCAGTCAGAGCGATCTAGCATTTTAGACGTAAGAAGAAAAAGAAGAAGAAAGTATCATTTCAATAGCGCCTCTCAAGATAAAAATCACGAGGCGCTTCACAAAAACAAAAATTGTAAAAATATAAAAACTCATTTAGAAAATGTTTAAAATATATTAAAATGAGCAAAGTTGGGCAATTGTGATTAAAAAATGTTAAGAAAGAGAGAGAGTGAACAGGAAAGAGGGGAATCAGTGGATCCTGAGGAAGGTGGAATAGGTGGGGAGAGCAGAATAAAGAGAGAGTGGTGAAGAAGGTCATACAAAAGCCAGCTTGAACAAGTGAGTCTTCAGCAGCAAATGATCTGTCACCTTTGACCTTTAGCCTGGTGCTGCACAACCAGTAGGCTTTGATCACTGGACCTCAGGGACCTGCTGGGGGTGTAGGGACTAAGAAGATCACCAATGTAAGATGGTCCGTGTCCATGCAAGACCCTATAGACCAGAACCAGGATCTTGAAATGAACCCTGAGGTTGACTGGCAGCCAGTGAAGCTGGAGGAGAAGCGGGTTGATGTGGGTGTGTTTGGAGGACTTGGTCAGAAGCCGAGCACAGGCGTTCTGAACCACCTGTAGACGGTTCAGGGACGTAACAGGATGCTAAAGATAATAAAATGGAAACAAATGAAGTAAAATAGCATAAACTACTGTTTTGGTCAGCTGGACCTTCCCTTTTATTACTCCTGTTATAGGCTTTGGCTTCTGTATTTTGTTGGACCTTATGGGCCACCGTACAAATCTTATTAAACACGCACAGATCAAGTCGCACACGCACAGATCTAGTGACACAGATCAAGTCGCACACACCTAGTGACACAGATCAAGTCGCACACGCACACACCTAGTGACACACGCACACATCTAACATTGTGTGTTTGTTGTTAGCCCTCAAGGGCAACCTGCTGGTAGTTTTACTATCAATAGCACCACATGCTTTGCTGTAATTATTCCTCATTGTTAACTTGAGAAAATGCCCATAAAGAGACAATGTGTGTTTTTACTGTTAATCTCTGTAAATATCCATCAAAATGTTGGTAAAGATTAATTAAATGATGCCCAGTTGTTGCTTTGTAACACGTAACCATAAAAATCAGGTCTAAAATACACGGGAGCGGGTCTAAGTCTCTGGGTGACACCATATCAGACACCATGTTTCCTTCTACGGGAGCCCCTGAGGACAAACCGCATTTACTGATTTGTAAAAAGCGGTTACAGAATGTCACCACTCATAAACGCTGTTTTACACATTTACCTCTTCACTCGTTACCAGTGATGAAAGGGGGTCTGATGTGCTTGGCGTTTTGCTGAAGTTTGCACTTCTCTAGGTGTTTTGACCCTAATGAGCATCCGTTAGTAAGGTCTTCCTCCAACATAAAAATACTGCTTGCTTGCATCGGTTTAGGTATCTACTGCCTCCTAATGCCAGGTAAAATACACACTGTCACTTTAAGTATTGCTGTTGGGTGTTTTGGTTAAATTCTTCAAAAATGAATGTTAAACGACTCTGATGTGTAATTTCATTACATGTAAAAAATATTCCCTAAATTATTTTGGATCTGTGCGTGTGCAAACTGCAAACTTTCTGAAGTCTCATCAATATTTAGCAGAATAAATTGTTATTTTGCTGCATCTATGAATAAAATAAATTTATTTTAGGTCACACAGGGAAATATTCAGTAAGAGTGGCTCGGGGAAGCAGGTTTACGTTGGTTCCTTCTGAACGTCACGGCATCGGTTCAGACCAAGCTTCCTCCTCCTCCAGAGTCTACAACCCAGCTGCTGTGAGAGCTCACTCACCATTTCATTCATCAGTTCACTCGCACAGTTTTTCATGTCTAATTACATTTCGTTAGCGTTTGCAGCAACATGCAGGCCACAGCCATTGCGGTTTGATGTGATGAGAACAAAATCCACATGGGGCATGTTTGGACCGTGGTGAGGAGAAACGTCAGCTGCTGCCTGGATGACGAGCTGATAGACCCTGCTGCATGAGGCGTCCGAGCTCCTCCGCTTGAACTCAAACACGCCTCTCAGGATTTACTTTTAGTTTGAAAAACACAATCTTCTATATTTAGAGCCTCAGGGGAAAGCTTTGTGAGTTATAGAAACATTTTGCTTACATGTTTCTTGTCACAAATCAGCTCTCAGCTGTTTATCTTGGCAAGTGTTGAAGTCAGATTTTGAATGGCATCATCAGAAAACCATATTAACTTTAATATAAACGGTCAGAGGAGTCGTCGTGCAGTCGACAGTTATGATATTGGTTTTAATACAAAACACACGTTCTGTTAAAAAAACAAACATTAATTCTACTTTTTATTTGATAAATTCTGACACCTGGTCTGTACATTTTGGCATCGGTTGGCTGTTAAAAAGACAAACTGTAGTTTTTAGGTTGTCCTACAAACACTTTTAGTCCTAAAATTGATCTTCAGGAGAAAAATGTATAGATTTTTTAAGGCTTGTGTTAAAATAGAGAATAGTTTTAAATGATAGAAAGCATCCCTAAAAGGTTGAAGTCCGCTGGGATTTTATGTCATGCTTACAAAACAGAGAGAGGTCCTACCTCAAGCGGAGGAGTTTATATTGGAGTCTTGTTCACGAGTGAGGGTAGGAGGATCGGGAGATCGACAGGCGGATTGGTTCGGCGTCTGCAGTGATGCGGACGCTGAGCCGATCTGTCGTGGGGAAGAGGGAGCTGAGCCAGAAAGCCAGGCTCTCGATTTACCGGTCAATCTACGTCCCAATCCTCACCTATGGTCATGAGCTTTGGTTAATGACCGAAAGAACGAGATCGCGGATACAAGCGGCCGAAATGAGTTTCCTCCATAGGGTGGCCGGGCTCAGCCTTAGAGATAGGGTGAGGAGCTCGGACATTCGGGAGGGACTCTGAGTAGAACCGCTGCTCCTCCGGATCGAAAGGAGCCAGTTGAGGTGGTTTGGGCATCTGGTCAGGATGCCTCCTGGACGCCTCCCTGGGGAGGTGTTTCGGGTATGTCCTGCCGGCAGGAGGCCCCCGGGTCGACCCAGGACACGTTGGAGAGGTTACATCTCCAATCTGGTCCGGGAACGCCTTGGGGTCCTGGTGGAGGAGCTGGTGGAGGTGGCCGGGGAGGGGACGGTCTGGAGCTCCCTAGTTGGGATGCTGCCCCCGCGACCCGGATAAGCGGAGGAAGATGACGACGGCGACGCTTACAAAACATTAATCTCAGAATCAAAACCTCACAAGAACCCTAAAGGGGATACAACTGAATGTTCGGTACAGAAAGAGAAATCTGTAGATTTTTGGTCACAGACTGAAGTAGGTAAATTGAAATAAATGCGTAAACGTTACTGAATGTAGTGGCATAAACCTCTAAAACAGCGGGACCACCTGGCCGTTCAGTGATTTATTTAATTTTTGTTGCCGTTTCTTTTCTTGCAGTTTGAGTTGTATTCAGAAGCCAGCATTGCTCTGCTTCACCTGAACACTGCACAGGATTTCGCTGATCTGACCCAGCAGGCTAAGAAAAACCTGACTCTAGATGGGAAGGAGTTAGCTATCAGTCCAGCCTACTTATTCTGGGACCTTGCTGCCATCTCTCAGGTACATTCTTCTTTCACATCTTCTCAAAATGTCACCAGACCAGAGAAAGCTGCTGAAAGTGGAAAACACAGACCGGTGAGAAGCTGTCTACAGCTTCGTGGACAGCCGTAGCAACAGTAGATGTTCTTATTAAAATCAGAAACCCTCCCTTCAGTCTAAACAGGATGAAGACGTGTCAGCCAGCCGCTTCGAAGACAACGAGGAGCTCCGCTACTCGTTGCGTTCTATAGAGAAACACGCCCCCTGGGTGCGACACATCTTCATCGTAACAAACGGTCAAATTCCCTCCTGGCTGAACCTCGATAACCCCAGAGTTACAGTGGTCACACATCAGGTAAACCTAAGTCCTAACCCTAAAAACCTGCTTTAAACTACTGATGAAAACTCTTTTTTTCAGGATCTAAACCTGGTCAGTGCTTTATTTTTTCTCTTCAAGGCACTCGCGGAGTACAGACGCTTCTCTTTTGCTCCCGTATCTTTTTTCCCAAGGCTCTGTCCTGTCTGCCCACAGAGCGCTTCTCTGCATTTCTTCTGAGAAACCCTATTTTAAACCATGGATTTGATAAATTGGTCATTCAATGGGTTTGATAAGATTTTTACAACAATGAGAACGGAGCAGGGGGCTCCCACATGTCCACAGGGGACACACCCGGTGGGATATATGTTGGATTTCTGGAAGGAGTGGAAGATCATATGCCTCTCCCAGCTGTCCATTGAGGACATCGAAGACGTGTGGATATTCGATCTGATGATCACTGGATTTCTCCTGATTGGAGTGGGAGGATATCTGGTTTTCTGGAAATTTGGGAAGACAGGAGCGATTGGAGGGCGACCCGCACCCACGGAAAGCACCGTCCGTGTGGAGACTTCTCAGACTGGGACGTTACTCGAGGTGTATCGTAAGCTGGACAATGTTCTAGCTGCGATGCCGGTATTAGTGTGCTAAATGGATGTCATCTCGGAGAGAGTCACTGGACAGTATGGACAGGTTTAAAAACCCAAAATTGGCTTCACTGAAGGACTGGAAATGATCAGTTTAAAGACTGAAGGCAGAGAGGAAAATTATCTCAGCCTTACCGAAACAAATTCTTGTTATCCGAATCTGACGCCCTGGTGGTCTTGAGCGGTGAGCAAAATAAAACCCCACGAAGGAATGCAGACAGATGCTGTGAAAACCCGACCTACCCCCCACCCTCCGCCCGCCTTCGAATTGGAGACTTCAGCCTGGCGAGGTCATCAATCTGCAGGAGTCAATGTACTCTTCGCTTCTCCCAAGATCTCCCTCCCACCTGTGACTGTACAGTAGATGAGCGCCGTAGATGGCTGCTCTCGCTGGGTGAAACAGGATCCCCCCCCCCCCGCCTTCCTATTGGAGTCTCATGTTGTGTTGTGTTGTCTGCAGTCCGTTGCACATCTGTCTAGGTGTTTTTTTGCAGAGCAAAGCTGCCCTCCTGCTGGAGGGTAGCCCTGAAGTGCCTTTTTCCCTCCACCTGAACCAATCCTCATGTAACTCTCTTATCTCTATTAAGGTAGCGCGACTCGGGTTGCGAATGACCACGGTCACCAATTCTTGTCATGTGTCTTGCCCATGTATGTCTGATCTCTGAATTATGTGTACTGAAACTCTAATTTCCCTCTGGGATTAATAAAGTATTGATTGATTGATTATCTTCCAGGATATCTTCTTGAACCACACCCACCTACCCACTTTCAGCTCTCCTGCCATCGAGACCCACATCCACAGAATCCCGGGCCTCTCCCAGAAGTTTATTTACCTGAACGATGACGTGATGTTTGGCAAAGAAGTGTGGCCCGACGACTTCTACAGCCACTCCAAAGGACAGAAGGTGCCAACGTTTCAACAATAAAAGTTCTCAAAAATGTCACTTTCATGCTCATCATGTCTCATCATTTCGTTCCAGGTGTACCTCACCTGGCCGGTTCCCAACTGTGCTGAAGGCTGCCCAGGATCCTGGATCAAAGATGGATACTGCGATAAGGCCTGCAACAACTCTGCTTGTGACTGGGACGGAGGGGACTGCCTCGGTGAGGAGCTGGACTGCTGCGATCTGTGCACGAGGTTGTGTTGGCTTGTTTTTAACTCGTTCCCTCTGACAGGCGCACCTGGGAACAGGTTTCCTGCAGCTGCGGGTGGGGGCGGGCCCGGTGGAGCTGGTGGGCAGATATGGCAGTTTGGTGGGGGTCTGGGAGGAGCTGGCGGGACGTTATACTGCAATCAAGGCTGCGCCAACTCATGGCTGGCAGACAAATTCTGCGATCAGGCCTGTAACGTGCTCTCGTGTGGCTTTGATGTGGGCGACTGTGGCCAAGGTAAGTTTGTACGCGTATTTTTTGCTCTACATGTTGAATTTTGTTTAATTTCTTTCATGCTGCTGTTTTATTTGAGACGTGGTAAATCCTCCATAACACAATCTTTTTTGTGCAGAACACTTTGGCGAGCTGCACCAAGTGACCCTGCGGAGGAACCAGAGTCTCTATACGCTCCCTCTGGGCGAGACCAGGCCGTATTTCAGCTTTGAGAAGCTGGCTCGAAGAGTCTCCGAGGCCCACGTCGGTGACAGCGCCGTGGTTCGACACACTTCCGTCGCTAACAAGTGGAAGACCATCCACCTACTTCTCCATCCGGGATACAATGCCACCCAGATCCACTACAACGTTACCTTCCAGAGGGATGATGACACAGAGTTTAAGATGAGCTTCAGTGTAGCGGTAGACACCTGCGAGGTTCCTCAGAAAAACGTCTCTCAGCCTGTGAGCAAGGAGGCTGGGCAAGATTCCCCGCTGTCCCTGACTCCCGAACCTGTTTTTCCCTTTTCTGATATTCCCGAGGAAAAACGAGGGCCAAAGATCCACAGGAGGAAACCTGGCAAACATGAAGCCGTCATTCGGGTTCCTTCAGTCAATGTGTCACTTTTACCGGCGGCTGTCCGGAGTGAGCTCCATAAGCTGGAGGAAAAGCTCCTGATTGGTGACATCACTGTCAAGGGTTACAATCTCACCAAGGCTGAACTTCTGAAACCCTACGAGCTGCTGGAGCCAAGGCAGCAGGATGCGGATGTACAAGCAGGCCGATTCCAGGGGAAGCCCTACAAACACTTAGAGGGAGTTCAGTTGGAAGGGAAGAACGAAGCCGGAAAAATCATCCGGGAAAGTCATGACTCAAACGTGATTGTTCAGAATAAAGCCGCTCCTTCCATCCCGGTTCGCATTGATGATAAATTAAGAAATGGTAATTCTTATCTACTGAACGCTGTTATAGCGTCACCCGTGATTTCCAAACTTTTAGGTAATATTTCCATTAAAAAGAGCGAGGAGTTTCCAGCAGAGCCATCTGGGGCTCCTGCGGTCGGGAGGAAACTCCAACACTTCACCTCCTCCGATCGAGGCTTTCTGCCGTGGGAACGGAGGAAGTATTTCCAGGCCTTGCTGGAGGTGACTATACTTCAGAGCTCGGATGTTTAGGCAAGCATTCCAATGTCTTCAGATGTCCCGTGTTTTGTGCCAACTCCACAGGAGGAGGAGCGTCTCCAGACGGAGCTGTCCTACAGGAGCGACGGTGCAGCCGCAGGGCGAAAGCTTCAAGACACGTTCGCCGACTCGCTGCGCTACGTCAACAAACTGCTCAATGGTCAGTTTGGCTTCACATCTCGGAAAGTCCCAGCTCACATGCCGCACATGATCGACCGTCTCGTCATGCAGGAGCTGCAGGACACGTAAGGATCACAAGGGTTACTGGTTCTGTGTCGTTGATGTGGCAGCGTCTTTAACCGGATCACGTCTCCCCGCAGGTTTCCCGAAGAGTTCGATAAAACATCAGGCCACCGTGTGCGGCACTCGGAGGACATGCAGTTTGCGTTTTCCTATTTCTACTTTCTGATGAGTGCCCAGCAGCAGCTCAACGTCTCAGAAGTGTTTGATGAGATCGACACGGATCACTCGGGCGTTTTGTCCGACCGCGAGATTCGAACTCTGGCCACCAGGATCCACGAGCTCCCGCTCAGCCTCCAGGTTTGTCTGAATCTCAGACTCGTCATCTGATCCTCATTAGCACGGTTCAGGTTTCTAAGTTTCTATTATCCATGTGAAATCTAGGACTTGACGGGTCTTGAGCAGATGTTGATCAACTGCTCTAAAACACTCCCGACTAACCTGACCCAACTCCACCTGGCGAATCCCACCCAGGAAGCCTACTACGACCCCAACATGGTGAGTTTCTAAGGCGGGTACTTAATTTTTCCCTTTTTAAATTTGCCAAAATGAAAGATGTTCCTCCTTTCAAGCCTCCTGTTACAAAAGGTCTGGTCCTGTTCTGCAAACCAATCACTGAGCGGATCCATAAAGCCTTCAGAGACCAGAATAAATACAAGTAAAACCATAAAAATCAATTGTTCTCGTGGAATTTTATGTGGGTTTCTAATAGGATTTTCTTTGTTTAATAGATTTGAGATCATGGGGGAGGAGGAGATCGCTTTCAAGATGGTGCGGACCAACGTGTCCCACGTGGTTGGCCAGTTAGACGACATCAGGAAGAATCCCAGGTGAGGGAAAACTCATTTAGTGTTTTGGCCGATCGATTGTTCAGTCTGGGTCACCTTTACGGTCTCCCAACAGGAAGTTCATCTGCCTGAATGACAACATTGACCACAGCCACAAGGACGCTCCGACAGTAAAAGCGGTGTTGAGGGACTTCTATGAGTCCATGTTTCCTCTGTCTTCCCAGTTTGAACTTCCCAGAGAATACCGCAACAGGTTCCTGCACACGGATGAGCTCCAGGAGTGGTGGGTTTGATTCTTGATGCTTGTGTTGGAGTTCAGGACTGGAAGTTTTTCTAAAGGAGCAACTCTGCTTTAATCACGAATCTTCCTACTTGTGTGTGAATTTAAAATGTAAATTCTCAGGTTAATTTGGATTTAAACGTTGGGACAGTTCATTTTTACTTGTACAACTTCTGATTATTATCTAGCTGAAGCTATTTGATGAATTAACATCAGCATTAATGTTTTTTCATTAGCATATTTATGTAAAATTGAAATCAAATCTTTAACTGGTAACAGGTAAATCTGTTGACTCTGGCTTTTAAAAATAATTTTGGTTTCAGCCAAGAAACAATAGCGTCTTGTGAGTCATCTCTCACCTCTATACCTCCACCTCTCGCTGCCTTGCTCGCTGTCAGGAATCATTGGACCGCTAAACTTTTCCACACGGCTGACTCGAAAGAGGCAGGGTGGTATTCCAGCTGTGTGTCATTTATGTGTTCATTTGGTTGTAATTTGCTTTAAATGATCATTTTCTTTGTGCTTTTATCAAGTCGATCATTTACTCCTGCGGCGACTTTTTGTTTTCTTGTCGGAGTAACGGGAATCCTTTGGATTTAAATCCATCCCTCCATCCATCCATTTTCAGCTGCTTATCTGGGGTTGGGTCGCGGGGGCAGTAGCTTAAGCAGGAAGGGCCAGACTTCCCTCTCCGCAGCCACTTGGGCCAGCTCCTCAGGGGGAATCCGAAAGCGTTCCCTGACCAGCCGTGAGACATGGTCCCTCCAGCGTGTCCTGGGTCTACCTTTAGACCTCCTCCCGGTTGGACGTGCCCAGAAAACCTCACCAGGGAGGCATCCAGGAGGCGTCCTTAAGCCGGGCGTACACTGTGCGACTTTTTTGAGCCGATTTTCCACTCGTGCGAGAATCCACGAGATCGGGGCGAGTTTTGCGCCGAGCGGTCGTGTAGTGTACAGGGGGTTACGAGAGGCGATTAACACACGTGACCAGCTACCGATCAGCAATCGTGAGCTCGCACGGACTTCTGGCGTGTTTAATATTTCGCTTGTCCCTCGTGAGGGTATCGCACTGTTGAAGCGGCGCTGCAAGCAGCTGCAACCCAAAAAGTACCAGAACCGCTCACGGCGCATGCGCAATCCTGCATCAACGCCGCTCGCCCGCTATTTCCCTAATAACACACGTTGTTCGTTTTTATTTCTACACGTTGTTTTACTCACAAAGATTGTCAGGAAAGCGTGTTTGTCGTGTTCATGTCAAATTAAACTGATCACAAAACACAGATTCACTTTCTTTATTTCGTTTTCCTCATCCAACCCCCATAAATCCCTGTGTGTCCTCCTGCAGCACTCCCAAAGTACAACAGGCAAAACAAGACAAAAAAGTCTGACGTGTTGTGTAAAAACTGCTATTTTTAGCATATTTTTAGGTCCAACGTGTTGCTACCAGACGTACAGTGTTGAGCAGTCGGGTCGCATCCGAGAACTGGGTCGTACAGTGTGAGCACATGACTCGTGAGTTCTGCCCTGCGAGGAAGTCGAACAGTTTGGGCTGAAGCGGAGTGCTACGAGTGAAAAAGTCGCAGTGTCCGCCCGGCTTAATCAGATGCCCGAGCCACCTCAACTGGCTCCTCTCTATGTGGAAGAGCAGCAGGTCTACTCCGAGCCCCTCCCGGATGACCGGGCTTCTCACCCTATCTCTAAGGGAGAGCCCAGCCACTCTGCAGAGAAAACTAATTTTGACCGCTTGTATCCCTGATCTCGTTCTTTCAGTCACTACCAAAAGCTCGTGATCACAGGTGAGGGTAGGAACGTAGATCGACCGGTAAATCGAGACCTTTACCTTCTGGCTCAGCTCTCTCTCCACCACGACGGACCGCTACAACGCCCGCATCACTGCAGACGCAGCACCAATCCGCCTGTCGATCTCACGCTCCATCATTACCTCACTCGTGAACAAGACCCCGAGATACTTAAACTCCTCCACTTGGGGCAGGACCTCGTCCCTGACCCGGAGAAGGCATTCTACCCTTTTCTGAGTTAAGACCATGGTCTGGGAGACCGGATTTAAATGAAAACTTTAAATTGATCCGGAGCTGCTTCAGACGTGCAGCTGGATGTTCTGAAAGCCAGATGTGACTGCCACCCTGCTGCTCCTGCTGCTGCCTCACAGTAACCAGATGTAACTCTTAACAAACTAAAAAGGGATTTTGTTCTTTTTCTCAGGCGGCTGTATCGAGACAAACTGAAGTTCTGGACTCACTGTGTGCTTGTGACATTGGTCGTCTTCACTGTCATGTCCTTCTTTGCTGAACAGGTCTGTATGTCGATCTCGGAAGTAAGGGGCACTTTTTCTGCTCTGTTCAAAATCAAATACCACTCACCCACCCTCCCTCCCTTACTGCACTCTAAACATCCCCAGAAAACTCACAATTCTAGATGATGACAAGCTAACAAGGGACAGCCAAAGGCCAGGATTTAAACCTACAACCTTTTTGCTGCAAGGCCCCACTGCTACCAACTGCAACACCGTGCATTCTGTACCAAATCCTATAAAAAACAATCTGAGGAGTTGTTGAAGAACCCCGTTAAGGCTCTGAACTGCTCAAATCAATCAAATCAAAGATACTTTATTAATCCCAGAAGGAAATTAGAGTTTCAGTACACACAATTCAGAGATCAGACATACATGGGCAAGACACATGACAAGAATTGGTGACTGTGGTCATTCGCAACCCTGAGTCGCGCTACCTTAATAGAGATAAGAGGGTTACATGAGGATTGGTTCAGGTGGAGGGAAAAAAAGAGGCACTTCAGAGTTACCCTCCCACCAGGAGGGAAGCTTTGCTCTGCAAAAAAAAAACACCTCAAACAGATATGCAACAGACTTCAGACAACACAACATAAGTGTCCACTAGGTGGGGTGGTGGGTTGAGACTATCCCTTCAGTTCCTGCAGCCACGATAAGCAGCGCATGTCACCTCAGTGTGGATGGGGGGAGGAGCATTGAGGGTTGGAGGGTTGCAGTGACCCTGGAACGTTTCAGTGGCCTTCCCGCAGTCCCGCCCAGGCTGGGATAGGAGACAGAGTTGAGTTGCCATAGCGACGGCACATTCCACAAATCTTCTGAGGAGGGAGTTTTCGTTGGAGCCTTGCAGGCTCAAGGACGCCAGATTCCGATTAAAAATTGTTTTGGGGCCAGACAGAGATCATTTCCTCTCTGTCTTACAGTTTGTTGGTCCTCAACCTCTCAAAATCCCAATAATGGACATTAATCTATCCCAATCCGTGCTGATTCGTCCACTCTCTCCTTGATGGCATCCATCGTTTGTGCCAATGAATGAATCTCGGCCAAAGTTCCAAGCTTACGATTCATCTCGACAATTATGTGAGTCTGTGAATTCACAGTGCGGTGCAATCCATCTCTGAGCTCCGGGATCAGGCCAATATTCCTCGACAGCTCGTTAATTTTCCGGTAAGCCTGGTAGCCTCCAATGCCGATCAGCAGGAAACCCGACACCAACACCACAAATATCCACACGTCTTCAGAGTCCTCCACAGACAGCTGGTCTGTCCTGGAGGGGCATCCGGGAGCCCCTTCTCCCGTTCTCATCGTTGAAAAAATGTTATCATCCACGTTGAGTGACCAACTGATGAGATCCATTTTAGTGAATTTTAGTTTCCAGTTTCCAGAAAAATTCAGAAGCAGGCGTGCACCCAGCACACACAGGCAAAGGCCTTGAGGATACGATATGGAGGAGAGGAGAAGAAGGCGTCTGCACCCTCCAAGAGCCAGAAGAAGAAGAAGAAGAATGCTGATCTGCATCCTAATCCGAAGGTTTCCAGTTGCTCCTCAGAGAAAGATTAATAACTGGAATGACCTTGAGGGAATCTCTCCCACAGCAAGCCCAGTGGCACCAGTGCTCCCAGTGAGGAACGTGTCCGACTTGTCCAGCGTTTGTCACCGCTCTGTTGATGTCTTTTTGGCAGCAGATGAGTCTGGTTACCTTGAATTATTCAGGTACAATCTAGATTAAAGGGCTCCTGAGTGTCCTCGCTCCCCAGGGAGACGAGATCTCCCCAGGGAGATGGAAGTCGGAATTCTTATGACCCTGGAAATGTAGGCAGGATATTTATCATTCCAGTTGCTTTTCAATAAGATGAGTATCAGGCATCCAAACATCAGTCTAGCATTAAACAGTTTTATATCTTTTCAGTTTATTTCTGAATATATAGTTAAAATCTTGTTGGCAGGTTCTGCACTGTACCTTTGTAGATTTAGAGAAAGTGTATGACCGGGTGCTGAGAGAGGAGCGGTGGTGCATGGGGAGGTCTGGAGGGAAAGGGACGTACATTGGAGAAGTGCAGAACATGTGAGAGAGTTGTGAGGCAGGAGTGATGAGGAGTTCAAGGTGGAGGTGGGACTGCATCAATGATTGGCGCTACGCCCCTTCTGGATTACTTTGGTGATGACAGATGATGTTAGAAGTCTCCATAGACTCTGATGTTGTGATGAGGGAGGACACGAAGTCCGCTGTTGTGAGGGTAGAGAAGAGTTGATGCCCTGAGAGAAGATTTAAAATCCTGTTTGCGGTTCAAGAACAGCAGTTATTCTCTAGAGAGAAAAACTGCTTCATGAAGCAAAATTTTCCATTTTTTTCCTGATTGCATAAAGTTGAATCACTTCTCCTTCCTTCTGCAGCTCATTCTCCTGAAGAGGAAGCTGTTTCCCAGACGCATTGTGACCAGAGACAGTAACCCTGAGCGGGTGTGAAAGAACTCTTCCCGCTCTTCTTCTTTCTGAAGGGTACGGTCCACCTGTCCTCATCCTCAGTGGTGAGGATAGGGATGGAGCCAGACTGGGCAGAAACGGGGATCGGTCTGGTCCTGAATCCCATCGGTGCAGATGGAGGCTCATGTCTTCTTTGGAGGTGATGGATGGAGACAGCTGGTGAAGGAACAGGCAGCTAGAAACTTCATACCTGTACTGTTTGTCTTCGCTGAGGGGATTTGAGTCTTGTCATACAAAACACTCCTCCCGTCCTGCCATCAGCATGTCGCTGACAAACGTACGCTCCACCCTGGAACTCTTTAATCAGGAGACTCACACCGGTACAAACCGCTGAAGGTGTTTGTCATTTCTGCGTTCAGGATTTTTCTTTTTTAAATTAAGTTCAAATGTTTTTGTTTGAAACCGAAGACTTCAAATGTTTTGCTTGAAAGCAAAACAGGATGCTTTTGAAGTTTATCGGAAAAAGAAAGTAATGCTTTCACAAGTCTTAAAATATGGTAAAATCGGAACAAATCATTTAAATTTTGACTGTTACACATTTGAAACAAGTGCCTTTGTTGTCTTTTCTGGAGGTTTTTCTCCTAAACATTGAGAACCTCCTGATCTCTTGGTTTACATTAGGAATGAATGGGACGCAGAATGAGATGATTATTAATGCAGTTGAGATCTACTTGATTGTTTGAGCTGCGAGTAATTCTGTAGCTTTCACAGCTACCTGTGTGTGTGTGTGTGTGTGTGTGTCCGTCCCCGTGGGACGCGACAGGCTCACTGCTGTCTGAGATTCAGACCTCCTTGGCATGTTCAGTAACTTATTTCCATTGTGTTGTGATCAGTGCATCCATTTTGATTGCCAGAATGTAAACGTGTCTCATTAATGACCACGTCCTCAAACTCTTCTGAGAGTCAGTTTTAAAGGTTTTCTTCATTACAGGCAAACGAACACTTGAGCGACTACTAGAAACTGGTGTGATGTTGACCAAGGAGGTGAACAGAAGCGTTATGGAACGCATTTGAAGATGGGATTTTAGTTTTTTTATTTCAGGGTTTGTTTACTTGAAATAAATTTGAGTTCTATTATTTTTTTGTTCCGCTCCATTCACTTTGTTACTCAAAGGAAGAAACTTCATTTTTTTTTATGTTTCAAAGTCTTACGTTTATCTAAAGGGCACGTTGTGATCTGTGGGGGAACCGGGAGGAAACCCGCGCATGCGTGGGGAGAACATGCAACTCGACGCAGCCGAGTTTCGAACCTGCAGCCTTCTTGCTGCGAGGCAACAGTGCTAACTACTACGCCACCATGCAGCTAACCATTAAGACTGAGATCAATACAGCGTATCGTCTCCCTTGTATTGTGACCAATCGTATCGTCAGATTCTTCCCAATACAAGCCATCCCTGTTACCCTACTGAGGAATGTTAATGTGCAGCAGCTCAGGAGGAAGAGCAAGTTGTTCAGAAATTGGAAGGTTGTCAGGGTATCTGCAGGTCCTTAAAAAGTCTTAAATTTGCTTTTCCAAATTTAAGGCCTTAAAAATCCTTAAAACTGACAAATAATCCTTAAATAGTTTCCAAAGGTCTTAAATTACCAAAGACCCAATAAACAAGATTCTTTCATTTCTATAAAATTTTCATGAATTTCTAGTTAGTTCAGCATTATTTGTGTACGATATTGGCGTAAGCGGAACCGTACACATTCAGTTGGTTGTGAAAGGGGGCTATTTTTAGATGAGCATGCTAGTGGGAGTTTGCGCCATGGGGAAGTGCAACATTAATGGCAACTGGATGGCTAATCCCACGTTCAAGACGTGGTTAGCACCGGATCCAGGCAACAGCTGGAAATTATAGCTTAAATTTAATTTAAAAAAAATAGCTTAAATTTGGTCAAAGTGGCCTTAAATAAGGTCTTAAAAAGTCTTAAATTTGGCTCCCTTAAACCTGCAGATACCCTGGTTGTGGGCTCCATCCTGGCTCCTGCCAGTTACTGCTGCTGTTGTGTCCTTGGGCAAGACACTTAACCCACCTTGCCTGCAGCTGGTGGTCGCAGGGACCGGTGGCGCCAGTGCTCGGCAGCCTCGCCTCCATCAGTGCACCCCAGGGCAGCCGTGGCTACATCGTAGCTCATCAACAGTTTATGAATGTGTGTTGTAAAGCGCCTTGGGGGGTTGTAAAACCTTAAGAAGGCAGCACTATACAAATACAGGCTACTTTACCATTTTACAGCATGTCTGCCACAAAAATCCAGAAAAAGAACATTTTTCTCCAAAATAAATCTCGGACATTTTTACCACTTAAATATTTTTAATGACTTAGGGGAAAAAAATCCCTTTAATCCCCCACAAAACTGAATGTCAGATTACAACAGTGATATTTAGTCATTGTACAATTACTGAGAAGGCAACAACTGATTCAGTCATTCATACATGTGAACAGTTAAAAAAACAAGAAAACGTCCAGTTGTTTTATTGTAACTATGGTTGTATCCGTGGGAAAAATAACACAAAAAGCTGTTTTAAATATTCACAAGTAAAACAGTAATTACAACCAAAGGTATTTAAGGCGTAGTCAGTTCATCTGTACAGTCGTACATAATTAAGTAATAGCCCTTTAGGGAGAAGAAATGAGAGCAGAACGAGTCGGGCGTTGATGCTTCATCGGTCAGCGGTACTCGAGAGGTCAGAGTCGGTCTGTTGTCTGATCTGGGACAAAAATAAGTAACGGGAGGTAAAAAGCTCTCGAATCTGGAGTGATGTTCGTGGAACAACTAAAACGAGGACCCGTCATCTTCAGCATCAACGTGTGACCTTTAACCTCCACAGAGCCCATCGACAACCTGCCAGTTCACGCCGGAAACCTCACTGGAATTTTTCTTTTTGAGGTTTAAGTTTTTAAAATACAGATTTTAAAGCCCTGATTAGTCAAATTAAACCATTTGGTAAACAAAAATTCTCAATGTTTTTTTTTTTTAGCTTGGTAACATTTTCAGACTTTTGGTGATTTTTGTGTTAATAAATTTCTATTAAATTAATTTGACAATTTATTTCAATTTAAAGCAGATAAACATGGTTTTGAAATTTGCCAAAAATTGTATGAAATACATAACTAAACAATAACTTTTGGTATTTAAAAAGCACAAAATGTCCCTTTCACTTCTGAAACATGAACCAATGTTTCATTTAAAACCTGTTGGGAGTCTAAAGCTAGGATTTCTAAAAGTAAAACTTTTTTCCACTTAAAATTTAATTCAACAGAAACGTTTTTTTTTCTTTTGGTTTAGTTTGAATCGCTCCTTTTACCGGGTGAGGCAGTTTTTAATCCGAAGTTGTTACTTCATCAAGGCTCTGGGTCGAAGGTCTTTCCTCCTCCTCGTCTGCTTTCAGGAGCGGGGTGAAATCTGCATTATCCCCCGCCTCCTCCCGCCGGGCAAGCCGTCAGTCGCGGTGGGGATTGGCTTGAGGCGTGATGCTGAAGACTCGGATGCGCAGGTGGGAGGCGATCTGAAGGCACACACCTGTGCAGTAGCGTGTCAGATCCAGAAGTGAGAATACCTGGAAAACATGTTTTACTTATTAATTTTCTGTATCTTAGACACCAGTTGAGCTGATCTGAAATGAGAAAATGAAAGAGAAACTGAAAACTTCTGCAGCAGTGAATGCTGCTTTAGATCAACACTAGCTGGCTCCTCTGAGCATGTTTTATCAGGACACCGTGTGATTCATAAAAGTAAAATTGAACAATCATTAGAATTTCTAGACTAAAGACAAAATTATCTATAAAAGGCCTTCTGAGAGTCCTCGTCACATCAGAAGTCTGGAAATTATTATTTAAAGGTGTTGAACACTTGTTTAATCAGTACATTTGCTGTTTACTCTGGTAGGAATGAATGCAACGCAGGCCGTACTCGGGGTAAAACCCAGAAGCGCCTAGATCAGCACGGAGAAGTCTGCTGGAGCAGAGAGTGGCAGAACACGGAAGGATTTGGACATCTCGCCTCAGATTGGATAACAGCAACACGATTACCACTGACTCGGTTTGCTTTGCAACTCTGATGTTTCATCTCCACAAATAACACAAGCCTGGAGGAGTTCTGCGTGTGGTGGGCCTGCTAATGCTAACAGTTAGCTTTTACTAGCCGAGGCATCCTCCGCTGTTTCCTGGATGCTAAAACAACGGCTTTCCCCGTCGTGAGCCAAGATGTGTGAGTCAGAGCGACAGCCTGTTGTAGATCTGTCAGGATTTTCTAATCCTAGAGTTTCACCGTCTATTTTCTATCAGAAGCTAAGGAGGTAGGTGTAGGAGACTATTTCATGTTCAGCCTGCATGAAAACTCAGTGGCCCATTATAATCAGAAATAATCATTAAAAATGGTTTTATAGTGAATCTGCTGGACAACTAGTGCACTACAGCACCTTTACATTAAGCCAGTTACCCCGTTGTCTTATTACCATGTTTACATTTATACTTTTACCTTTTTTGCACCTTAAACTGGCTCTGTGTGTGTGTGTGTGTGTGTGTGTGTGTGTGTGTGTGTGTGTGTGTGTGTGTGAGTGAGTGAGTGAGTGAGTGAGTGAGTGAGTCAGACGTCTGTTTTAGCCTTAATTTATTTTAATACTGTAACGTCCAAAAGGGTCAATTTTCACCTATATATTGAACAACATAATAACCTTTCACCTACAGCATAAATCCACTTTGTTTGGCCTTTCAGAACCAGAAGGTTCTGTTCAGCGCGTGTTGACATACATGAAGACAAAACATTCAAACAAACATTCTCTCCCAAGGTCCTACACACTCTGCATGAATGCCAGACGTCAGCATTCTTCACTCTGAACAAGTGATTACGGTATTATCACTTATTAAATTAATTAATTAATTAGGTTATTTATTTATTTTATGTATTCTTTCTTTATACATGCTATTTTTAAACAGTTTTTTACCATAGATTTATGATCAACGTTGTTATAATATCTATGTAATTTTTTATATTACAATTCTCATTTTAGCTCTTATGATTTTATATTTTAACCTTAATTTAACCTTTTTCCAGTGTTTCCTCTGTGGGAGCCCTCTGCCCTGGGGGCGGTGGTCGGCTATGGCGGCCTGGGTGCTTTACAGGTGTGTCTGGGTGGAGGTGGGGGTCTCCACCCTCCCCGCCCTGGGCGCCCTGTGTCAGTGCCTCGGCTTCTGCTGTGGATCTGCTGCTGTTGAGGCGGATGGCTCCCCTGATGGTGTTTCCTTATCCTTATCTTAGCTGGTCTGGCTCATCTGATCTGATCTATGGATTCCTGATATCAGAGATTCACTCCACTGGCAGTGACCAGCATCGACCCCCCGATCGAATGAGAACCTCCACACCAAGGGTGCATAGACGACAGATTGCATCTGACGCTGCTTTTAATAAACAACTCCCTAGTTTATAACAAACAACAAATTCTTTTACACCCAGAGTTCACATTTTCTCTCAGATACAAAGAACGCTTGCTACAACATCTTAGCCTGGCAAGCCAGACTAAATAAATGTATTATTTAGTCTGGCAACGCTCCATTGACGGCTCTCGGTTGTGGGGCGGGTTCTACCGTTGTCTTTCAAACGATCTCCGCATTCTACTGGCCAATGAATGTGACATACTCTTGTTTCACTCTGTTGCATCATCCCACCCACCAGGCATATAGAGTGCCCTGATTGGCCCACAAAGCGGATAAAGCTCTGTGATTTGTTCACTAAGCAGATAGAGCACTATGATTGGCCCACCATTATGGACCAATCACAGCTCTTTATGTGTTTGAAGCCCCTCTAGAGAGCTGTGATTGGCCAGCCAGAGTCCTGGTAGGAGCTGTGGAGGTTCCAATGGAGCGTGCCTAGAACAAACTTTGCAAAGCAAGAATTTGGTCTAGCTCACTAGGCTAACAACATCTAGCTTCCATCACAACACCTCACATACACCACATCACATCTTGTCATGTATAAATTATTAGTTTAGGAAAAAGAATTTAATTCATTTTATAAACTATATACTGACTGTCTGAATTAATACGAAGTGTGTTTATGGTCCCTAAAGAAGTAAAGAACCCTCGAATCTTCTGATTAAGCATTCAAAGATCAATCCGATTGATATTTCATATTTATATGGAAAATCACATCTTATTGGTCATAATATGGAATAATTGCTACATATTATGGCGAGCTAAACCAGTCCTCATTACGTGAGATCTCTTTAGTGAGCGCAAAGTCAATTTTGCCAAACACCTGTGCAATGGTAATAAAATGATCTTGAATCATACCATTAATAGTTAACTGACTGCAGAAAAAGTGTAATATTCTCCTTTCTAAAAACTCAAATCTAGTTTATAATGATATCTTTACGGCACCAGTCCTCCAAAAGAGGTCTAGAAAACCAGTGTGTAGATAGGCAGCGTAGAGTAACCCAACCCCCTAAAAACCCAATCTAGTATTTATTTTACCCAATTTCTGGATACTGACCATGGCGATCCAAAGGACGATGTGTTCATCAATGAAGCTGTTAAAGTACTGGTTGAGGAAGAGGAGGCCAGGCCCGATAAAAGCTGTATCTGGAAGGTATAGCTCACTCCTGGTCATGTGCGCGATCTTTAGACAAAAAAAAAAAAAAAAAAAAGGGAAGTCGATTGGGAAGTTTGAACAGTTAAATGTGGAACAGGTCCATCAGGTTTTCCCGGCTAAGCCTCGTCTCCAGAACACAGGAACATGCAGAAAAACATCTCCAAAATCACAGGTCGTACGTACCACCAGCTTATTGGAGATCTTGGAGGCCACCATGCCAAAGGTGAGCAGGTAGAGACACGGGTGGTGCTCAAATAAATGGCTGGACGATTTCTTGAAAATGATGAAAGCCAACGTGATGAAGAGGCCGATGTGCAAACCAGGACTCAGCACGCTGGTGTCCTGAACAAACAGGTTTCTTAGAACGTGTAACGTTCCACGTTTTGGTGTTTAAGTAGTGACCATTTCAACTCCACTTACAGCCACAGTAGAGCCATTCTTGCCAACACCTCCGTTCAAAATCACATAGAAGTAGTTGTAGCAGGAGTACAGGGCACCCCCGATGATGCCAAAGATGGGGAAGACATTCAGCTTCAACCCAATCACTGGTAACTATGGAAACACAGAAGGCTCAAATTAAATACGCCACAAAGAGCTTCCAAACAAAGACACAGGTTCTTATATAGGAGCTGCAGCATGCCGAGCGTGATGGGAGCGCAAAGCAAAATAAACAAAACAAACAAAAAGATGCAGGTGACATCATCAGCTTTTTGAGCCAGATCATGTCCAGTAGATGACCTGTTGCCATGGCGTCGACTACCCATATTTACCTTCTCATTTCTCTCATGTGATGTAAAGTCAAGCCTCCAAAGGCAGCACAGAGTGAAAGTAAGACACAGATTCTATTTAAAGACAACTACAACTAGAAACTGTTCGTTTTTCTTCACTCAGGTGAAATGAAAATGTCCCTGTGACTACAGTGTCGTCGCGCGTGAGACGGTGAAACGAGTCGTTTGTGGTTACCGTAGTGTCCCAAAGGCTCACGCCTCCAAAGGCCGACATCAGATACATGATCATGATGGCAAACTGCACCTCGGTGACGTCGACGCTGTGCAAAGATTAAAGGGGGATGCTGGCTTTGATTCGGGCATTCAATAAAATGACTGCTGGTGAGAAATGATGTTTAGAATAAGTGAATGTGTGACTTACAGCCCAAAGCGAAGAGTCCCCGATACATAGGTCTGCCAGTGGGCACAGAAGAACATGAACATCCCGACGAAGCCACAGAACCACATCCAGTTTGGGTATTTTCCTATTCCACACGAAACACATGTTCCCACAGCAACAACAGCTGACAAACAAAAAGACAAGAAAGGGCATAAAAGTCAGGAAAGTTGTTTTTAACCATTTGAACAGGAGTCTCGTGTACAAACGGTGTGTACACAAAACCTGGTGTTTGTGCTTTTCTGTGGAGAAACAGGTGCATAAATGACTAAATGACCAGCGTACCCACAAATCTACCATTACCAGTTTGATGGCAACATGGCATAAAAGTGATTTAAGGACTGTCTCACTTGTTTAATCAATACATTTGCAGTGGTCTCTAGCAGGAATTAATGTCTTTAAGTCACATGGGGGAGCTCAGATGTGCCTGCTTCAGGAAGCACAAGTCAGCCAGAGGAGAAAGTAGCTTCAGACGGTGGGATTCGGAGTCTTATTTACTGATATTTGGATATCTCACCTCGGATTGGATAACAGAAACGAGACTCTACCACTGAATCTGTTTACTTTGCAACACTGATGCTTTATCCCCACAAGTATCACAATCCTGAAGGAGTACTGCCATATGGTGGAGTTGCTAATGCTAATGGTTAGCTTTTCTTAGCCGAGACATTCTTTGCCGGTTACTGGATGCTAAACTAACAACAGCCTTCCCCGTCACATGAGTCCATGAATGTTTGTGACGGTGTGACGTAGAGCTGTCAGGCTTTTCAAATTCTAGAATTTCACCGTCTGTTTTCTATCAGAAGCTAATGCAGGAGATCGGTGTAGGAGACTATTTTCATGTTCAGCCTGCATGAAAAACTCAGAGTGACCGATTATAATCGGAAATATTTATTGGAATTTCTTTTTTTGTGAGCCACACCTTTAATGATTAATACATGTGTATCACGCAGCTGCTGAGCACACTGGAGTGTTTCAGAGGGAGCTGGCAGACCAGCGCTGTATTCTGTCAAGCAGCATGGCTGGCAATGAACTAGCTGCAAAAGTGTTTATTAACTCCACACGATGTGCATGAAGTCCGTCTTCATGAGTCAGTAACATGTATAACACCACCAAACACTACACATCACATTTTTTTACGGTAAAACTACGATTTCAGCACATTCTTCCATAGTTTCCACGTATTCACAGTAGTTCTATCAATCCCATGCAGGACTTATTTGCATCTAGTTCACCATTTAAACGGGCCGTGTGAAGATGAGTCTGGTATCCCCTCATTTGAGCTCAGTTCCATGTTGATTAGGATGTAAAAAGGGAATGAATTTAGTTTGGATACATAATGTACGCGCAGTTCAAAACATTTAGATTTGTCTATGTGTACGGGATTTGTACAGGAGGCCTCAGAACACCACAGTTTGGGTGAAGCACCTGTTGAGACGGCATCACAGCCATGATCAAAGAGTTCTCCAAGAGGTGAGCTGCTGTTTGTCCTCCTGGCCTGTTTCCCATCAATAGCATCCAGTGACTGATAGATGAAGAGGCCCAAAGCCGACAGGATGAACACCCACGATGGAGCCTGAGGAAGGGAAAAGGGAAATGTCACAAATCTTTTTAAAAAGTCTCGGGAGAACTTCAATTTCTGTCTCTGTTTGGGCTGACCTTCAAATAATATTACACACGGTCAGGAGAAACTGTTTTATTTCACTATTATTTAAATCTGCATTGAAAACAAAGTGAACTTGCCTTTGGATGTGTGAAAGTCTGATATGGCTAAGCAGTATGTGATGTGAGATTTCATACTATAACTGACTATAATTGATACTGATAGTAACTCATTCCATTACCCTAACACCCTTTATAATGCATTGGTGTGCACGCTAAGGCTAAAGTCTGCCGAGGGAGGTATTCCTGTACTGCTACTCCTACTAGGGTGAAGGTTACTAAACATCTGCACACTGAGCAAAGCCAACACCATGTGGTCACAAGAACAAATTATGTGTGCATCATTAAAATCAGTAGACACATAGCGAACAAGAATTTTACGTTTCTCCAAAAAGCTGCAGTGATCCCACACAAACTAAATCCAGCCTCTGGGACAGATTCTGCTTGCGTGGGTTTATTATTACAAGGACAGCTTTGAACAGTATCTGGGATGTGACGGTATCAGCAGACAGCATGGACTTTGATTCATCTGCAGTTTTTTTTTCAGAGACAGACAGGATGAAGCCTGATTAAAAACACTAACTTGATATAAATGTGTGGTACAGTATAATGAATCTACACTAACACATTTAAAAGTCAACTTTGGACTCAGCTTTATGCTGAAAGGCCTTTTTCTTCTTTATTTTAGGTGTAGAGTATGATTTTTATTTACTTCGTGAGCCTCTTCTGTGATTGTGACTTGCCCCAACAATGCTGCATCTCTAAAAGATCGATGGACACGTCAACGCTGAAAACTTTCCAAAATGCGCTAAAACATCATCTGACCACCGCAACAGCTAAGTGGTCTAATGCGAATACTTAATTCCTCATTTTATGAGATTAGTGAGATGTCATACAGGTGATAACTACAATATTCCAATTCCAATTTTATTTATAAAGCGCATTCAACAAGGCATTACAACCTAACAAGGCGCTGTACACTAAAAATGTTAGTTAATTAAACCGGCGTTATACAATCATGTCGAAACACAGATACTGGATGATTGTACGATTATGTCCAAATCGGCATAAAATTCTTACCCAGAACAATTGTCATTTTTTCAATTTTCCTTAAATTTACAAACAATAGCATTTTAGCTAGCATCATTATCCAAGACGTTGTTTGAGTATACGAATGGTTTTCCAACTTAAACTAATGCCGAATTAATAAATTGAGTTTATGTATTCAGATAAAACTATAGTTGTTTGTTTTTGTTATGTGTAGATGATAGAGGTGGCAGCAAAAACATTTCTTGTGAAATTTCTGAACGTAGGTCGCCATTATGTCCATACAAAAAGGGCACATAATTAGCGCTGGTCTCCGTGTGGAAACTTTAGCCAATGTCGCTTTACTTACCTCCTCTGTTGCCGTGGGGCAATAATATACAAGCACCACGGTGGACAGGATATTGACTAAGAGTCCGACAATAGTCAGTGTGTTTGGAGCGATCCATGTTGGTATCTGCTGGACCAGCCAGTTCCAATAAATCTGACACGGAGGCTCAAACAGCGAGCGACCGGAGGCGCTGTATTTATGTTCCTCTAGGCGCTTGAGTTGTGCGGGTGACAGCGGCTCTGGCCACAAGAAATGTGGCATTATTCTTCTATATCGTCACTCCTCTTAAGTTCCGTAATAAACAACCCAATTCTACCTAAGCCCGGTTGATGACTCAAATATGTATTCTCTCGACCGACTCCTAAAAAAGGCAGCCGCAGATCATTTGGCGTTTAAAGCCGCAGACGAGGCCATTTCTACAGCGTAACCAAAAGCTGACGGAAGGTTTACGAGGAGGTGCATCTGTACAGGAAGCGGAAGTAGAACGTGGCTGTCTACTGGGAAGTTTAAAACTGTCTGGGTGAAAGCAAGTTTTAAGATGTGTTTTCTTTATAAAGATTTTTAGCTGTAGTGTGTTTACATTTATCTGAGACCATGGTCTTGATTCGGAAAAGGGTAGAATGCCTTCTCCAGGTCAGGGATGAGGTCCTGCCCCAAGTGGAGGAGTTTAAGTCTCTCGATGATAGGGTAAATGAAAAAGAAAGTTGTCACAGACTCTGCCCAGCAGCAGGAGGCTATATTCATTCTGAAGCAAACTACCGACCTGATTAATGATTAGCTGGCGCCGGTAACTGAGAGGCTGGCGCTGCTTACTGAGAAATAGCACCTTTACCGGCGTTACTACTAGATACGCTAGGGACTAGCAGCCCTCGGCTGGTCATTGACTGGTTCACACACTCCCTCTGCGGTCTGTTAGCATGGATAGGCTAGCGTTAGCCTGGACGGTCTGGTGTTAGCAATGGAGAGGCTAGTTATTTGCGAACCTAGGCTGGCCACTAGATGGATTTCCTACCTCCTCGACGGACCATTAGCATGGATAGGCTGGAGTTAGCATCGGAGAGGCTAGCCATTAGTGTTCCTAGGCATGCCACTAGCTGGATTTCCTACCCCCTTGACGGACCTTAAGCATGGATAGGCTGGCATTAGCATTGGAGAGGCTAGCCATTAGCATATCTCGGAGAGTCACTAGTCAGCTAGTGGCCAGCCTAGGCACGCTAATGGCTAGCCTCTACGATGCTAATGCCAGCCTATCCATGCTTAAGGTCCGTCAAGGGGGTAGGAAGTCCAGCTAGTGGCATGCCTAGCCACGCTAATGGCTAGCCTCTCCGATGCTAACTCCAGCCTATCCATGCTAATGGTCCGTCGAGGAGGTAGGAAATCCATCTAGTGGCCAGCCTAGGCACGCTAATGGCTAGCCTCTCCAATGCTAAAACCAGCCCGTCCAGGCTAACACTAGCCTATCCATGCTAATAGACAGCAGAGGGAGTATTTGAACCAGTCAATGACCAGCCGAGGGCTGCTAGTCCCTAGCGTATATAGTAATAACGCCGGTAAAGGTGCTATTTCTCAGTAAGCAGCACCAGCCTCTCAGTTACCGGCGCCAGATCATCATTAATCAGATCTGTAGTTTGCTTCTGAATTTTTATAGCCTCTTGCTGCTGGGCAGTAGTCTTAATTGTGGCCCCCGTACTGCGCCATACAGGGAAACTTTCAGAGCAGGGTTAGGGTGAGGGGTGTGTGTGTGTGTGTGTGTGTGTGTGTGTGTGTGTGTTCCGTTTTGCCTTTGCCCCCAAAATGCCTTGAATCAGCCCTGGGTGTGTGACTAAGTTTTGAAGGTGATCTGAATTGTATCAAATGTATAAATATTACATGTGCATAACTTATTGTTGCAGGTAAAAACTTGTTGTGGAGATAAATCTACCTACATTTAACTTTTCAACACTTTAATTCCATTTGTGGTTCTTTTTTTAAAACACAGAAAAGATTTATTTTTACCTTGCTTGCTGACGTTTTTTTTAATTGAACATCAATCGCAATACACTTTAATAACAAACAATAAAACTCAGTAGGCAACCAACAACTTTCATCAAATACAATTGGAAAAAAGTCTAAGCAGCCGAAATAACCAGATTTATAAATAATAAAGTATAAGGTAAAGTAAAGTAACAGACAGAGGACTTTAGTTCAAAAGATCTTCAGTAAAACTGACAAGTTAAACAGCCTGTATATTATTTACCTTTTGAAGGGGTTTGCAAAAACGAATCAAATCATTTTTGAAAAAAGGCAGGCTTGGCTTCACTTTCATAAAACGGCATTTGTGAATAAAGAATTTCCCAAAAATTATTACATTGTTAACAACAAATTGAATCTATTTATTTTTCCCATATAACACAACTGTATAATTTTATATGTGAATAAGGGGATATTTTAACTCTTTTGGGATAATAGCAAATTGTATAAATCCGACCAAAAGGTATGTACCGAATTGCAATCATAGAAAAGGTGTTTCTGAGTTTCAATATCACTATTACATGTGACACATAAATGATCTTGTATATTAAATCTGATATTCAATAATTCTTTACATGTATATATATTATTAATCGTTTAAAAGTGGACTTTCTTCATTTTGGGGAGAAGAGGATAAGAAAGAAAACCTGTTCTTATGAATTTGATATCTTAATTTGAGAGAATCGGAGAAAGAATTTTCCTTCTGACAGGAATAGGGAAAAACTTGTCTGACAAGACTGCTCTTAGGTAAGCGTTATTACATTTAGGGTCTGTAAAACACAAATCAACTATAAAGAATTTAGGAAGCTTAGGTGTACTTGCTCCATGTTGAATACTTTGACTGATCAGCTGACCAAACGCTGGAGAAATGGCCTTTATAACTCTAGAGTATTCCGTTACCGAACAGTCTAGATTATACTTCATTTTGAACTTATGCTCCAGAAGCTTGCCATTACTGTCCATCAACTGAACTATGGTCCAAACCCCTTCGTCCATCCAACTTTTATAATACATCGATTTCCGTTTATACAAAACGAATCTGTTATTCCATATAGAGGAGGAATGTGGGCTAAAGTTATGCGAGTAGATCATTTTCCAGCAAGTTAAGACTTGTTTAATATGATTAGAAAGTTTGATGAGTAATTTAAGAAGATCAAAATCACATTTTAACAGAAAGTCTATACCTCCAATCTTCTCAAACAGAAATGAAGGAATTCTGAACCAGATTGAATTTTTCTTAATTAGAACATTTTTAAGCCATTGTAATTTAATTACCCCATTCATTACTTCAAAGTCAATGACATTCAGACCTCCTTCTTCAATAGGTTTAACTAGATCGTTTTTCCTAATCAAATGTTGTTTATTATTCCAAATAAAGTCATATTGTGTTTTATTTCTTTTCTTAACATAGTGGTCAGGGATAGCTACTGAAAAAGCAGGATAGATTAATCTAGAAATACTCTCCGTTTTTGTTAACAGTATTCTACCAAAAATTGATAGATTTCTTTGGACCAAACTATTCAGAATCTTTTGATTTTTATCAATTATCGGTTGGATATTGTTATCAACTCTCTCCTTAAAGTTTTTATTAATTTTCATACCCTAATACTTAATTTCATTCTTAATATTGATATCACAAATATGAGAGTCCTCAGTATCATGAATTGTTAATATTTCACATTTGTTTGTGTTCAACCTTAACCCTGAGGCTAGTGAGAACAGAGACAGCCTTTTCATGGCATTAGGAACTTCCTTGGCACTACTCAACAATAATTCAGTGTCATCTGCTAGCTGAATTATTTTAAGTGAATGTCCTGCCATTGTTAACGGTTTAGATGACTGATCATTTGTAATTAGTAAAGTCAACATTTCTGTTGCTATAATAAAAAGAAGTGGACTAATTGGATCTCCTTGTCTAATTCCTCTATTAACTGGAAATTTGGGCGACGTACCCGAATAAAGAAGAACTACATTTGATCAATCTTTGTATAGGAATGTAATAATATCAATGAATTGTTTGCCAAATCCAAAGTGATGAAGTGACTTTATAATAAATTGATGTTCGAGACTATCAATGGCTTTAAAAATAATCTAAGAACAGTATAGCACCATCTTCTTCTACTAAATTTTCATAATCTAATAAATCAAGAATCAGACAAATTTTGTTATGAACAATCCTATTTGGGAGAAACCCTGATTGAGTTTCACTAATGAAATCATTTATGCCATTTTTTAGCCTGTTAGCCAATGCGCGAGTGAATAACTTATAGTCCACATTCAGTAACGTAACAGGTCTTAAGTTATCAATAACTGTTATGCCTTTTGGTCAAAAGTCAGTAGTTAGTGCATAATCTGATAAAGTTACGTAAGCAAGGTGATAAATAAGTTCAAAGTTAAGAAATGTGTGATTCATGCTAAAACAGTTAAAATGTGTGGGTTTGAAATTTGCTCAGAGTGAGACATTGTTATTACAAGCGATCTTTGTATTGTACGTGCGGAAATGGGAGCGAGTGAGCGCTCCGATCATTCACCTATCTTTGACGTTTTTTCTCCGCGAACGCTTTAAAAGTGCTTCGGCAGTATTAAAACAGTGAATAAGTTAATGTACACGCTATAAGTGCCCTACACGCTTGTACCTTGGGAAACGTTCGTCTTTGTAAGTATTAATGTGTTCAGAAATAACTTATATGTGTTTACATGGAGTGAACTGTGATGCTAATGCAATGTACGTGTTAAACTAGGCTAATCTTTAAGTTATTAAGATGTGTATTAGCTAGCAATTTATTTTCACTCTCTGTATGTTTCAGTTACAAGTAAGAAATAGCAAGGAGAAGCCTTGAGAGAGATAAGGCTTCACGTGGTCACGTGTCGTGAGGGCAGCACAATAACAGATTTGTCTTTGTTGGCTTTAGGTATCAATATTATTATTCCTTATTTCATCATAGTTAAGAGTGAATTATTCCGAATACATTCTTGTAAAACTTCAAATAGTAGCTCTCAAATATCCATCCAGAAGAATTTATGAAAGTTTGTGGTTAATAAGAAATAGCAAGGAGAAGCCTTGAGAGATAAGGCTTAAAAAGATCTTCAGTAAAATCAAGAAAAGCAAGCCTTGTGTGGAGATCTCGTCTATTTTGTTCGCTGGCTGTCTAGCTTCACATGGTCACGTGTTGTGAGGGCAGCACAGTAAAAAAACGCATACTCAGCGGGTTCAAGCATACAGAGCTACTTTAAGCAACATGAGTTTACGCTCAGGAAGAAATTATCTAAAAGACTACGCTGCTGAAGACCGAGACGAAGCGGCCGGTGAGGAACAGCAACGAGATGTCGCCACTCAACCAGCTACAATGCAGCAGCGGTCTCAGCCATTTGACACCAAGTCGCAGCAATCCAGAACATCGACAAGGCGGTCTCAACGGACATCCTCATCAACAGCTTCTGCAGCTGCA